GTTTCAAGCAGAAGCTTTACCACTGCCTCATGGCCATATCTAGCTGCCACGAACAGTGGAGTCCAGCCATTTGAATCCTTGATATTTATATCCATCTTTTTTGTTTCAAGCAGGAGCTTCACTACTGCCTCATTGCCATTCCTGGCGGCCCAGAACAGTGGAGTCCAGCCATCTGTATCCTTGGTATTTATATCCATCTTTTTAGTTTCAAGCAGAAGCTTTACCACTGCCTCATGGCCATTCCAAGCTGCGAAGAACAGTGGAGTCCAGCCATCTGTATCCTTAGTATTTATATCCACCTTTTTAGTTTCAAGCAGAAGCTTTACTACTGCCTCATGGCCATTCCAAGCTGCGAGGGACAATGGAGTCAGGCCATATTTTGAAACTTTAGAATTTATGTTTATTTTTCCTGTTTCAAGTAGAAGCTTTATAACTGCCTCATGGCCATTCTCAGCTGCGAAGAACAGTGGAGTCCAGCCTGTTAAATTCTTTGAATTTATGTCCACCTTTTTTGTTTCAAGCAGGAGCTTCACTACTGCCTCATGGCCATTCCTGGCTGCCCAGGATAGCGGAGTCAGGCCTTCCTCCGAGTCCCTATAGTTCATTTCCATCTTTTTTGTTCCAAGCAGAAGCTTCATTACCGGCTTTTTCCAGGACAGTGGGGTCCGTGAATACGAACCCTCAGAGTTCATATTCACATTTCGTGTTGCAAGCAGAAGCTTCACCACACCAGTTAGCCCGAAGGATGATGCAATCAAAAGCCTTGAAGTACCCCTAGGAATAATATTCATCTCGGCTGCATATAGCTTAGACCATACCGGATACACATCAAAGCTTGGGTCACAGACCCTTTGCGCGCGCTTGATTAGCACATTTCCATCTTGTACATTCGCTTGATGGTAGTGCGTGATCCAATGGCATGAGGAATATTTATCGAATTCTTCCCCTCTCTCTATATCGCTCTGAGCAGCAGTTATACTTGGTAGCCATGAGATGCATATGTGTGCAAGAACAGTATTAGACTCCTCTGGTATGAGTGCACATTTCCATCTTGTGACCTGACAGTTTTGATGCACATTGGATTTGTTGCTCTGGACTAAGAATTCCTTCGCAGTTTGATGCAGAAGATAAATCTTCTCATCTATAACAACCACGAAAAGTCCGCAAAGATCCCTCAGGGTCTCTCTGAATCTCTCCTTTGGTTCCAAGTCATCGCTTATAGCGGTGAGAGTCGTGTTATCCAGATTGATGTGTATTGCCCAGGCAAGAGATAACTCTTCCAAAGAGAAAGGCCGTACAGCAGCTGTAATTATGTGAAGAAGAACTTTGGCTTTCTTCTTATCCGAGCTCCGGTCCAAGATTCTTTCATAGGCACTCTCAACAGTTGTAGGAAGATGCTGTATCACGCGTCGAATATTCCCCTTGGTGAAACCCGGCATATTCTCGAGTACGTCCAAGGTGAGAGTAACCCATAAATATGTTCGATTTTCAACCGCAGTCAATTGTTGTTCCAGCAAGTTGCGTTCATCTTCTCCAAGTGATCTCTGTTCACCAATATCATTCACTCTTTTGCTGATAACAAGGCCTATTTCACGGGAGATTTGCTGGACCTCTTCCTCGCCATCCCCACTTAGGTGAATTGTCGGTAGATTGTTCCTCAGCTTCCAGAATAGACGCTCTATATGAGGATATGGCCTGCTTGTCATCAAGAATTTCAGCTTCCGGTCTCTATGAAGTCCTTGATAAAACATGGTGACAGCTTCAATAAGTTCATCCCAATCACGACACTCATCTAATGCATCGAGAATGCAAATAACTTCTCTGGCTTCTTCTTCTTGAGCAGAGACAGACATGAGTATGTCCCATAATTTATGGAATGACTGGATAAGCTTTTCTCCATCAGTCTCCAGCTTTTTCAGAACTGTATCCGATAGAAGCTTGGGCCGTGCAACAAAAATCTGGTGCAAGATAGCTGATAGTGCACCTGCTGCATTTCTTTGATCCGGGAAGTCGTCTTTGAAGAAGAAATAACACACAGTTTGCTTCTCATTGCGGAGAACCTCATCTACCAGGTACCTTGTTAGAACTGACTTGCCGCAACCTGGATCGGCTGAGACCCATAGTAGACCGGCAAGATCATGACTTGTAGACTGTTGCCAGATGGTGAATTTTGGATGTGTTGTAAACCATTCACAGGTTCCCGGGACTCGTCTATTGTTTCTGTTTTTCCGGTCCTCGTAGGGGCACGTGTTGAGCAGACTCAGAAATTTTCTTACTCTGTCATCTCGAGGATTTGAACTCTGCTCTAATAGGGTGCAGTGTCAGCTATGCCTAGCTTATTAGAAGAAACTAAATAGTAAACATGATTGTCAGGCTTGTGGCATGTTTCTTACCAACAGTATATTGAATGCTACCGTAATTGTTCCCGGTTTGGAAGCCTGAGTTTGGACCCTCGAATTGGACTGATGTCATTGTGGAAGCAGATAATGATAGGATTGGGATGAAAGACAGCGAGCAAAAGATGAGCGGTAAGTGAATCCCAAGTCACAACCCAACCCCGCTGTCAGGTGACGGGGACCTGCAGCTGTGCTTTAGTGCCTACTTGATTCAATATAGCTGGTCGGATGATCTCCGATCTCAAGTATCCCCCGAAAGTTGCAAACAAGAAAAGATGAAGGTATGAAATGCAACATTGTGGACTTAGCATCGAAGTTAATAAGTGATCTATCTAGATCTCAAGATGATGGATGGTTGGTGGTGTAAGAGACGGTGGTCGTGGTCAGAGACCGATTAGGCAGTGGCCGAGGAACAGGTGCCAGATACCTGGCTAGAGTGAATAATATCTCGACTAAAAATTCTACGAAACTACAGTGGCAACAAAACAGGCACAGTATATACTAGTTGATATAAAGCAGTATGTTGGGAATAACTTCAATGTACGTACTTGTTATTTCATTTCATGTACCTGTACTTAACTTACTTGCAAGGGGCTTAAACGAAAAGTATAAACGAGGTAACAAGACATAAACAATTCGAAAAAAGACACATACGAATGATGCAAGGGCTTAACATAACATGACTAACTGAATTGGGGTTATTTGGTTACTCGATCATCATGATGGAAATGGAAACGGAAAACATACACACAAGCTATTTGACAAACAAGACAATAAACTGATCGGCAGATAAGAGGAGAGAGACTCGCCAGAATAACGTCCACAGAAGAATGATGATAGATACTGTTTATTGATGATGATGATGGTGATGAAGATGGAAAAGCCAGAAATTAGAACAATAAACCATGGAAGTAACAGGAAATGGATAGGACGGCATCAGTGCGTTTTCGTGATATCTAGAGGGCAAAAACAAAGCAGCTAGACAGGCAAGCATGATTCAGCTAAGAATCACATCTGCTGGGGCATCATGAAGGCCCGTTTGCGCGGGTCGTCGTCCACAGGCGCACCGCGCTTCTGGGGCGGATTCAGAGTCATTGGCTCAGTATGTTGCGGTTGTGCGTGGGGATGGAGATGGGGGTGTAGCTGAAATTGGGCGTGGGGATGAGGGTGAGCCTGAGGATGATGAGGGTGAGGATGACCCTGCGCTTGGGCGTGCAGCTGATGAGGCTGCAGTTGGTGATGCATTGCTGCATGTGGTTGGGCCGGGATTGGCATTTGACGGGGCTGTGGCTGTGGCTGCTGTTGCGCTTGTGTCTGTGGTTGAGGATGCATTTGACGGGGTTGGGCTTGAGCCTGGGGCTGCGGTTGAGCCTGTACTGACCGGGCCTGAGGCTGTGGCTGAGCCTGAGCTTGTATTTGACGTGGTTGAGGCTGAACCGGTGTGTGGGCTTGGTTTTGAGCTTGCACCTGTCTAGGCTGTGCTTGTGCCTGTGCCTGCTGCGCAGCCTGCCCGGAGCGGGCCTGCGATTGCGGTTGCGCCTGCTGTTGCTGGTTGGCCTGCGTATTGGTATGCGGTTGAGGTTGCGCTTGGAATTGATGTTGGAGTGCCTGGAATTGGGCCTGGCTTGAGGTATGCATCTGATTCGTGTGAGACTGCGCCTTAGACTGGCCTGCCATTTGCCCGTGCATCTGTTGAGGCTGCTGCGGGGTGACTTGGAATTGATGGAATGACTGGTATGGTTGTGAAGGTTGTGCCGGTTGCGGCTTGGACTGAGGCTGATTTTGCGCCTGTGTTTGAACCGAAGCCTGGGGTTGAACTTGGGAGTGCTGTGGCTGCTGTAACGCCTGGCTTTGGCCTCCAGCTTGACCTTGGTCACCTTGAGGCTGGCCACTTGCAGCTGCGGCGGCGGCCGCCGCTTCAGCAGCCTTTCGTGCTTCAACATCAGCCTTGCGTGGCCGTCCACGGGGCCGACCAGTGCCCGGCTTGGACGATGGCTTCTTTGGCGGTCTAGGCTTTGGAGGCACGTTGCACTGTTCTGATTTGCGAGGCCGCCCGCGACGTCGCTTCTGGGGAATGGGATTCCCATCCGGCCCGATAATCGGTTGCGGCGGTGGTGCAGGTGCAGGAGCGGGAGCTGCAACCGCAGGTGTACCATCAGCATTAGTTGTGGGTGTCGGGACTACCATCGTTGTGCCATCGGGTGCTGTTGTTGTTACTGTCTGGGCCTTCTTTGGCTTTTTCGGCCTGGGTTTCTTTTCTTCTCCTGGCACAACGGGTTTCCTTGGACGACCTCTCTTTTTCGGCGTTGGCGTGGCAGTATTTGTTGGAGCAGTGCCGGCTGCAGGAGCGGCCCCTGTGGTGGCAGGTCCCTGGGATGAACTGGATGTACCAGCAGGAGTGAAAGTGGGGCCTGAACCAACACCAGATACTGGAGCAGGAGCGGAAGCAGGGCCTGCAGCAGGTACAGGAGTAGGAGCTGGATAACCAGCTTGAGCTTGCCCGTTAACCTGTGTAGCGGACGCAGCCGGGGACGCAGAAGGCTTAGATTGCTTCTTCCGTTGCTTGGTTCCAGTGCTCTCAGCTTTCTCCGGTACTGGAGCAAGGAGTTCAGGTCCCGACATGCTAGCTGAAGCGGAGGCATGTGGTTGATACTGTTGCTGAATTTGCGCTTTTGCCTGTGCAGGTGATGGTTGCTGCTGCTGTACCTGATGTTGTTGCAACAGAGAAGGATGCTGCTGTGCTTGGGGCTGGTGCAAGGCATGATGGTGCTGCTGCTGGGGATGCTGCTGCAAGATGGGATGCTGTTGCTGCTGCGGCTGCGGCTGCGGCTGTTGAGCTTGTACCTGTGTTTGCGCTTGTGGCTGTTGATATTGGCGTTGATATGCATGATGGAACTGAAGCTGCTGTGGCTGAGGCTGGTACGGCGACCGTTGAGCCTGCTGCTGCTGGAACCTAGACTGTTGTTGCTGGTATGTTTGCTGGGCTTGCTGCTGCTGGGCTTGAGTATGAGCGGGCTGTTGGGTCTGCTGTGCTGCTTGCTGCTGGGCCTGTTGTTGCGCCTGTTGCTGAGCTTGTTGCTGGGCCTGTTGCTGTGCCTGCTGCTGAGCCTTCTGCTGGGCTTGTTGTTGAGCTTGCTGCTGAGCCTGTTGTTGCGCCTGCTGCTGGGCCTGCTGTTGAGCTTGCTGTTGCGCCTGCTGCTGAGCTTTTTGCTGGGCCTGCTGTTGGGCTTGTTGTTGAGCCTGCTGTGCTTTCTGCTGGGCTTGTTGCTGAGCCTGTTGCTGGGCCTGCTGCTGCTGCTGATACGTCTGGTGGGCGTGTTGCTGGTAAGGAGATTGCTGAGCCTGTGTCTGATAGGGAGAAGCTTGATGCTGGGGCTGCTGATACTGGGCCTGCGGATACTGGGCCTGCTGCGCTTGGTAGGGCGATGCTTGAGCTTGTTGGTAAGGGGATTGCTGCTGCGTATGCTGGTACGGCGACGCTTGTTGTGTCTGTTGATACGCTGACTGTTGGAAGGCATGCTGAGGTTGGGCGGTAGTCAGCATCGGCGACGCCGCAGCAGAGGTTTGCGTCGTGGGATGAGTGTGCGGCGTCTGTCGATGCTGCAGATGTTGCTGCTGCAGTCGGTCGAAAGACTGCTGAGGAGAAGCAAGACCCATTGCATGCGCATGTGGAGACATGGCAGCCTGCGCATTCATCGTGGGATGAGTGCGGAAATTGGCCATGGGGTTCATATTCCGCTGCAGACTTTGCAAGGATAGATAGGGATCCTTCAATTGACCAACAGAGTCGGCATTGCGAGACAGCAGGTCGGACGAGCCCTGTGGCGGGTAGTGTCCGGAGAACGGACTATAATGGCCGCCCGTGGGGAGGCCGACTACAGGGCCCGTGGAGGATGGGGTCATTTTGCGGAGATCTGGGGACTGAGCCGCCAATTCCACCTGCGACTGACCCCGAAAAAGGGCGCCATTACTGGCCATGCCGGGAGCATGATGGGGATGAGCAGCAGCCGCAGCAGTCATGGACGGGGACTGCAGATGATGCTGCTGTTGGTGCTGCGGATGCGCATTTTGCTGGGGAGGGCGTTGTTGATGAAACGAATGCCCATTATAGCCCATCATCTTGACGGAAGGAAGATGAGAGTGAAAAGAAATTCACTCAATGCCTGACGTGGTGGATATTTTCAATGGCCTTTATTATTTTTATTATGTTTTTCTTGTTTTTCCCTGATGAAGTTTGATTGATTGTCAGGGACACTCAGATAGCGGGCATGTGACCACCACCGCGTCTGCACCAAACGAACGACACGCTTCCTTTCGGGGGGTGAGAGAGAGAGAAAGCGCGAGGCAGGGAACACCAATTCCAGTGCAAAGAGCAGCAGCAGTCAGAAAAAGACGCGCACTGAGGCGCGTATTTCTGAAACTGAAGAAGAGCCGTGCGACCGGCTGCTTTGCTGCTGCTGCTTTGCTTGCTGTGATTTTGCGGCGGTGGATAACACGAAATAATAATAATAATAAAATGAGTCGGATTCCCACCCCAAAGCGGAATCAGAAAAAGCGTGACTGACAAGACGGGACAAAATGCGGGATTCGGTGCCTAGTTTGTGTGGCCTGAGGTATCAACCAACACAACACACTTACTGACTTTGGTGACTGAGAGAGTAATACGGCGGACCCACAGCGACCAAAAGCGCAATTGTTGGGAGAGGCAAAATTCCCAGGGGGACAGTCAGAGGGGGCGCCCGACAGGCAATGCAAGGTTGACCAGGAAAACAGGAGCAAAGAAGACCGTGAATGCCGGGAAAAGAGACCTCAAACCACTCAGGAAGCGATGCCTGGATGGATCTTGAAGTCGTGAGATGGCCGCGCGCGATGATTTGTTTGGGATCTTGATGGACTCCGTTCCTTTTTTCGTTATTATTATTTTTTATTTTTTATTTTCGATTTTTTTAATTTTTTGCTTTGGGCTTTTTGGATTTTCGAATTTTGGATTTTATTTTCTGCCCCCCGGGAGCGGGCACGTGACTTCTCGGCCAGCTGGCCACTCACAGTGCGCAAGCTGGCTGGTCGGGCGGGGTTCATTATTTTTTGTGTGGAAGGCACCCATCGGGCACTCATGGCGACTGCTTAGTGATGCAGCAGAGACAGCTTTCTAGTCAGCATCTAACTGACTCGATAAGTAAAGGAAATGGGAGAAAGACACTCGAGAATATTCCTTCAAAAAAGAATAGCAATTTTCGGGTGGACAAACAGAGCACAGGGTACCTGACATTTCTGCACTAAAGGGTAGTCAAGTCCTACGTAACTAAACCAAAGTAACTTAATGAGGGGGTGTGGGTGGAAGACTAAAAAGAAAATTAAAAAATCATAATTAAAATAAAAATAAAAATTCACCCATAATAATAAAATCCATGCTATTCAAAGCCGAATACAGTAAGTAAAAATAAAAAATTAAGATAACCCAAAATTCCTCGCCCCTCCACCACCCCCTTCCCACCACAAAAGAAAAATTCAAAATGGAAAATAATAACAACAAAATAAAAATGGAAATGAAAAAAACCCCATCATCGACAGCTAAAAACCGCATTCCACCTATGATAATTTGCCCTTGATGTTTAAGCTTACTTTTAGTCGATGATTCCGGATAGATCTGGGTTGCTGTTGCATTTTTTGATGCTTCCTCTGTGACGTTCCACACTCATTCGAGTGTCCCCAGACTGTCTCTTCCCTGGGTGTATTGATTTTAGTACCTAGGTGTTTAAAAGTACTGGTATCTCATAGCCTTGTATTAGTATCATTCCCCCATTCCATCCAAATCTCGCTTTCCTTTTTGGATTGACCTGTTACGGTATCATTATAGTTTGCCCGTGTTCAGAAGATGTGCACGTCTGAAACACTTAAGATTACATCCATTCTAGAACTTTTCCCCTTCGAGCAACAAGTAAACCCTTCATTAAAATCAGGCTTCCTTTGTTCCATCTTTATTCTCGTCCTCCCGTGCCTTCAAGTCCCCCAAACATGGCGCAAAGAACAACCGGCCTGACACGACTCCCCGCAATGTCCCAATACTCACCACAATCCATAGAACCACCACACAAAGCGAGAGGATCTGTCGTACATCAACATTAGGAAACATCACAACAAGCTTAAAGAAGTCAAACCTACCGTTCCCAACACCCGGAAAAACTCCGACGGCAGCTCCTTGCCCATCTGGCACGTGCTCGTGGCGTACACCCCCAAAGGGAACGTGAATCCCCACCATCCAATATTAAATGGGAAGCTCTTACTCCTCGCAATGGATGCTAAGGCAAAAAATAGCCAGACGAGTCCAAAGGACCAGAGAATCAGAGCGATCATGAACCCCATGGTATAGAAGATCGGACCAGATGCAGCCTCGAGGGTCTGTGTTTTGGGGAAGATTTCCTGCGCTGCTTGGCCCAATTTCATTATACTAGTAGTATACTACTTAATATGCGATGATCACATAGCGAAGGAAGGCATAGACTCACCCGAAGCCGCCCTGACCAAGTGGGCCCAGGGGGAGGAACACGCTCACAATCACCGCTTTAGGAGGCAACTTGTGCAGAGTCAGTCGCTGTAGGTAGATCACCATCACCATTAGTGCAAGAGGTAATCCGATGCCCCAGAGAACGTAGCTCACGAGCACGGTCCAGAGAGCGTGCTGTGGATCGGGGAGAACATCCGCTACGATGGCCCCTGACGAAGCTGCGACAATGCAGCTGACGATGGGAAGAAGCCAGACAGCTGTCATGGATGAGAGTTGCATTTCGCTTCCATGGGCCATTCTGCAGTCATGTTAGTCGAGCTTATGATTGCTTCATAGTCTCTGTGCAGGGCAAGACGCACAGTAAGAAGGGTAGAGAGAGGGCAGTGATGACTGAAAAGATTGCGTCAAAGATCCACAAGCCCCAGGCAAAGTTGCGCGTCCAGTCACCCCAGGCTGGAACACAGACGAAGCAGAACATGTTGATGATAGTCGCGAATCCCATCGGAAATGTTCCTATGAACATGGACTGGACTGGATGCTTGATCATGGCGAAGAAGATTTCCGGATATAGGGTATAGCGAAGGAAGGTGATGATACACCCTATGGCAAAGAGGAGGACATTAAAAGCAAAACAGACAACAGAGATCCAGTATAGCCACTGGCCATTGTAGGGAAGGGTATTGAGTAGAATAGACACAATGCCTGTGCCCATGGTAACCGAAAACCAACTGTGCAGACATGTTAGTTATATCTACTTGCGACATGTTCGAGTGCTGCGTACGATGGAGTGAAATGGCGAACTACTCTCCGCCAACCCGTATCATGCTTGGTGACTTCGGACTGGCTATTGGGTTCTTGTCCGCTCATTATGGTGTTATTGGATGACTGAGCTGTGGATATCCTTCTGCTGCATGAGCTCTCACACTTTACAGCTGCAGTTGGTCGTACTGACTTTGTTGAGAAGCCTTGTTTCGCAAATATGGGGGGTTACTAAAGAAAAAAATTTTTTTTTCTATTCTTATACTGAATTTATCCTTTGACGTCTGGATGCAACTTTGCGTTGTAGTCAGTCGGCGACTCCTGTGAGTCAGTCGGCGACTGGATGCTTCCCGCCCGACCCGGAGAATCATATTTATCTCGGCCGAATGCAAACGAACATAATCATCGCAAGGAACAAAATTCTCCAGACTAGAAATTTCTAATTTGCGTAATGTTATCGACAAGACAATGAGGTACTGTCATTCTACCAATGGTGGTGGGTGGATCGCCAACAGGTTGCCTCGGCGCGGAACTGTCCTGGAAACAGAGACCATATCCACGACTTCAAGTGTATCATAGACGCTTGTCACATCATCGAGGGAATCAAAGCCAGTGGTAGTATGGAGGCCATATATAATATACTCGTTATGAGTTCGTTCAGTTTCATCAGACGTTGTCTTTGTCTGAAGCAGAGCTCTGTTCCTCGAAGATACCGTGGCCATGAGTAAAACAAGCCATAATGCTTGAGGATCTTTGCTTATGACTCTCCATGAACGTAGGGCTTTCAAATTACGGAGTCTTTCTGCGCCGCCTGTAACATGGCGGCCAATAATCCATATCGAATGTAGTATCTGACAATTTCGAGTAAACTCGTGGGGTTGTACGGAGCGAAACCATCTATATTCCCAGAGAATCTAGCTTAGTGCTAGCATAGTACATAGATTCCCGGTATATGAGCAGAACGTAGTCAGAATCGTGGGTACCTGCATTATGGAGAGCCCATAATATCAGTGATAAATAGAGACGAATGAGGAAAGATGGAGACTTAAGCACAATATCAAACGCTCACTACACTACACTGTATATAACATCTATTATTATCAGTGGACCAGAACTTGTATATGCTTGAGTAGTGATGGTGTCATCTTCGAATCTGCGGAGGAAGGGTGTAGTAGTCACAGGGGTTCATTGGCGCGGTCGACTAGCGGAGAAAGGTGAACTTGGTCCTGTGCTTTGGGAGAGAGTTGTCAGCAGAGAAAGAGCAGTGTACAAATACACGGACATACCAAGTCTCTTATCATATAGCAGGCCGGCGCTCACTTAAAAATGCCAGGTAGTTGCTGCAGTCCTGGGTCGAGTCGTCACCGTCGGTGAAGCGTCGGTTGGGGTTGACCTTTGTACACAATAAGCAGTGATATTTGCTACGACTGAGCTTCGTCGTGTCGACTGAGTGGAGACTCTATCAGCTTCATCCTCTAGATTTTAAAAGAAAATCACTGATGAGAAGCGAATATGCAGATGAAGGTAGAACCAAGCTCCATTCTCAGCGTCGGGAGAAATCACACGAGCGAGAGAGCAGCTGATGGGCTCGGCGCTAACGACAGTACTTACCACCCCGCAACGGCATGAAGCCAATCACGATACTGTGAAAAAGTAGACGATCTTTACCCACCCTGGACTTACTCGGATTTAATTAATTCTTTCATCTGCCTCCAATAAACGATATGGGATTATACAATTAGTTTGGACAAGGCCATCGACTAAATGGGTAGTCGGTTCGTCGATCAGTCTAACGGCACCAATGTCTTGGTTATCATACATTGACCCGGACGACATCGATTCCGTGATGTCCTACCTTATAGTGAATGATATATTATCAGCACTCTTAGAATATAAGAGCGACAATGTTTTGGGTTAGTAGTATCCATTGAACCATCTCCTCCCCTGCCACTTCTTCTCCGAGGGAATACCTCACTTGCTCCTCCCTGAGGTGAGGATTACGCCGAGGAAGGAAAACAGCAGAGTATACTTCATCGGCGCGGCAATGCAGTCTAATGGGTAGACCTTGCAGGCTATATCTATCTTGATTCTACTTCTTGGAGGATTGAAAAGTGCCAGAAATACTGTATAACCGACGCGAGGCTGAGAATATATATACCAAATAACATGAGTAGGGCATATTGAGTGAGTACCCAAACACACTGTGACTAACTAGTACTCGTGGCGAAACGTTTCTACGTCTCGCTGATTTACGATCTGCTCCTCGGAGAACCAATTTCCGTGCATCCCATATGGTACACGCTGCGGCAGGAGTACTCGGCAGACCACCTCTCTCATACCAACAGCATCGATGACCCAAAGCTCACTGCGCGAGTGAGGTGGAGCCTCGCCATTCTCATCCAGTTGCGACTCATCAAATACATAGGTAACGAGCCAGCCATCATCTTCATACTTTCCATCCTTCCGTGATACAAACGAACACTCCTGGGCATACCACCCCGTGGGAAAGGCAAACACCTTGATAGGGTCGTCGGGGTTGCCTGAAGCGAGCACTTCATCAATGGAGCGCTCGTCTACACAGCCGTCCACTGGAGATAGACGCTCGGTCTTACCCTGTGAGAGAAGCTGTTCCACGTCCACTTTGACGAGACAGTCAATCTTGAAGGCGCTGATATGAGTGGCAGCGAAATTACCCTTTCGCATTGAGCACCCGTAGACAAACCTGGTTGGATCCATCTCAAGGTGCTGGGGCACACATGGGAATTCGAAAGGAATGGCTGATAGCGCCCACTGCTGGGAGATCGACGCTATGCTCTCATGGCTGGGTGGGAACTCATAGTAATAAAGACGGTATTGTGGATCAGGTTGCTTCAAAGCTTCTGGGGCAGCTATATTACCCATATGGTAGAATGGCGCAACACTGTTCATGCGACAAAGCAGCATATTCACCCATGTTCCTCCAGGTGTAATATCATCCCAAGACTTTACTGTATGCATTACCACGCAGGGGTCTGTCGTAAACCATCGGATGAGTTCAGGGACATGCCGAGGGAATACCCCAAGCCTCGTTTGGCCCCGTGGGTTGTATTCATCCACCGGCTTTCCATGTGTGATATTAGACAGGTCGAGTTCGAGAGGCAAGTCAATAATAATGGTATGTCGGTGGGATACTCCAAAATCATGCATCATCTTCCCTGAAACAAGGCCAGGCACGGGCCGATTGAGACGAAACTCCGGTGTCACGGTAGTTCTAGCAGGTATGATAGAGTAGTTCACGAACGGCGGGATGAATGTTGAATGGAAGAGAAGCAGTTCCCCAGTCTGAGGGTCAACCCGAGGCTGTTCATTGCGACAGATTAGCACTGGGACATAGCAGTATAACACTGGCAATTATGTATCTCATCTTCAATGAACTCACATGTGCTGTTGTCATTTCCTTCAAAGCTCCCTCCATCCCTGGGCTGCCAAACGTCTCTTTGCACGCATCAATGCCAATAGGTTCGCCCTCCGCCATATTACCAGTAAACCAGCCCACTGTTTTCAGCAGTGGTAAGAACACACGCATGGGAGGCCCAATCTCGTTCGTTGCCATGACACGACCATCATGATGAAAAATGCTGGTATTCGCACTACTCACCCTCTTGATCGGTCGGGCAATCAAGCCACAAATCGACGCAAAGATCAAAACTATACTCCGCAATATTTCATATATAATTCGCAAAGACGAGGCAGGATTAGTTAACGCCACAACGCTAGGCATTATGGGGTAGAGGTTGCGGTCTCGCGCCGTCGCGCAGTATATATCCGTTAGGACATACTCGTTGTTAAAGACGGGTTGAACATGAGCTGGTCCGGAGATGCGCTTGAAGTATACACCTGTGAGCATGCCGTCGCCGTCAAACCAGTGGAAGCCGCGCGGGTTGTCACGCTGGATTGGGTTGGTGCCATTCCGGACATATTGGCCGCCCAGGAATTCCTCGGGAATGGTACCCTCGAAGTAACAGGGTTTGGAGGTAAGTCGGGTGCTGATGGGAGCGAAGTTTCCGGTTAGATACCTGGCGGATTATGTTTAGCTTGCTGCATGTTTGCTTGGGATCTGAAGAAGAGCATACCAATGTTTTCTGTCTACTTTCGCCATGGTGCTGAATGGTGCTAGCATTGACTGCAGTTGAAAGAGAACTATGGCCGTGAGATAGGCCTCAAGACTACTTATCTCATGTGCATATCCTATGAAGCCTATTCAGTGTCTGAACCACGGATTGAGCCCGCACGTCTATCAAATAAGAGTTTGTGGATTAACCAATTGAAGTACAGATATCCATTGACTTAAACCGGTTTGCGAAGCCTCAGACAGGATCTAGCAACCAAAGATAGGGCCGATCAGGACCTCACTGCTTTATTTTAAAGCTAAGACCTACGCTGTTACCACGACAGGGTACTTTACCAAACTTCCCGCGCAGATGACTGCCGATCACGGCGTAACCTCAATTGACTGCGAGGCCTGAGCTAGACGAAGTGCTCAATCAGGAACAAGTCACAGCTACAAGGATATAATGTGAATGATGTAGTTGAAGTAGGTCAACGCTCCTGTCGGAGACAAATCCGATTCATATTTGGCCTTTGGCCCGTACTGTGGTCCATCTCCATGATACTTTTCAGGAAGGCACTGTTGCGTCACACGGAAAGTCTAGGTCGGGCTTATTGACAGCTAGAAACATGGCAATGGCGTTGACATCTTCTCTACCACCAGTATCTTGGAACATTTGACTTGCTCTACCTGGAGTGAAATTAGTATCAGACCAAGTGTCTCTCTCGAAACAGTTGTCAAAGACGTGTAGAGCAGCATCCACTGGAACCCCAGATAGAACGCCCCGCTCCAACCAGGCCACCTACGCTGTAAGCCACAGCTAGGCCTCTAATGCCAATCAATTCTTGCTTTTAGATTAGAGATCTCTCGGATCAAGAATATTTCAAACCGATGCCACCGAACCCGGCTATCTTATTCCGTGTAATAAAGCGTCATACCGCCTATTTGATAGGAAGCGAACATTATGACGCTGCTAAGAACGGGATGTTCATAAGTTTTGGCGTGCACAGTCCGTGTCGATTGTGTCGGAATATGTGCGCCGAGCCGCACTAAAACCAAGTCTGGCAATACTGCTCTCGTGTTCGCAAAGTATACTCAACAGACCGGTACCCAAGCACTCGGTCAGTTGCGTCTGCTGCTGTCTTAGCTAGATGATTAATGGAATGTGTGCAATTGAATGATCATAATGTTGGTGAGTCTGATGCCCCCGACCTGGATAGTCGTCTTAGAAGCTGCAGATTGTACAGGTAACTGCAATCTGTCTGCAGTATCCTGATCAGCGCGTGGGCGGGGACGGGATCACGCCAAGGGCGACTCAGGGTCCAACAAGAAAGATTCCAGCGCCCCAGGCACCCACCGAGGGCCTGATCGGAGCCTGGCAGTGGGTCCCGTGCCTGCGGCGGTGGGCATTTCTGCCCCCCGGAGGCCTACGCTTTGCCGTTTCAGGAGGCTGCGGTGCAACTGCTGAACAAAGTTAAATACTCAATGGATTTTCCTCCGATGAAAGGTTTATCTCTCAGAAGCTCTTTTTAGCATAGGAGTATTCTTGTTATTGTCCCTGTCATATCGTTGCCTCCTCCAAGTTGTCCATGTGTTGCTGCCGCTCAATCTTATCAACAGGCCTATAGATCTATCACCGCAATGGCGGCTACCTTTACCCTGCCGATACTGCCCGCCAAACATCGGGACCTGCCGAGCTGGATCCAGAGCCACCCGAACACTCCTCTCGAGCAGATTATCGCACCATACAATGAATACGATGCGGTGGCACGCAAACTGTTTGCTCAAGACGGCACTCATGCAGCCCTGCAGGACAATCACCTCAATATCGTGCCCCTCTACGACTCCAATGGCAGGTCGGACATCCGTGTACGGGCTCGAGACTTATCTTCGGAGTCCTCTATGACTAAAGAACAGTATATCATGCCCTTGAAGGAAGAAGGCCGACGTCCCAATGGCTCTCCGGCAGTGGTTCCAACCTTAGACGAGTTCCGAACCAACTTCAACGTCTTTTCCGAAGGTGCATTGAGCGACATGGACTGGAGCAATGTCGTGGTCGCCGGAAGTGCAGTAGTCACTTGCCTGCTCCCAGTTCCCGAAAAGTATCGGGATTCGAAGCGGTCATTGCGAGAGTACTATCATGAAAAAGTTGCGCCCGCCTCGGATGTGGATATGTTTCTCTACGGCCTAGACGAAGCGCAGGCTATTGAGAAAATCAAGCAGATTGAGGATAAGGTTAAGAACGCGATCCTTTACGAAACAACCACAGTGCGAACAAAAAACGCCATCACGATCGTTTCGCAATATCCCACACGCCATGTGCAGATAGTGCTTCGCATATACAAATCTGTCTCCGAGATTTTGACTGGGTTCGATGTCGATTGTTCCTGTGCTGCTTTTGATGGAAAGCAAGTCTTTGTCTCTCCACGTGCCTTGGCTTCGTATATCACCCAAATCAATACGATTGATTTGTCCAGACGCTCGCCTTCTTATGAGAACCGCCTCTCAAAGTACTCTCATCGGGGGTTCGAAATATTCTGGCCGCAGCTGGATCGGTCCCAAATAGATCCGGTCAGTATCTCTCCTTTCTATATCTCTTTTAATCAGACGAACTAATGCCGCCCATAGACAATATTCGAGCGGAGCTTTAGTAGGACAGTTGGTCTGGCGCGCCTCCTGGTTCTGGAGAGGCTTCCAAAATCGTCAGACCGGGAGTCTTATATAGAGCAGAGACGACGGGAGCGTGGACGGCCAGCCCCGAGGTCTAATAGGTGGAAGCAGTCAGGTAACATTAAGGATGACTGGGTGGATGAGATTCCCGACTGGGAAGAGGGAGAGGAGATTTCTGACTACCATACATTTGTAAGCTTGCGAAATCTTCATATAATATCTGAAGGCTAACTCCCTGAGAAAGACTATTCCTTACGGCCCCAGATTCAAAGCTCGAAAAGTCGAAAAACTCATTTATACGAAGGACCTCTTGCTCAATGCGGAGTGGAACAAGCCCAAAGACAGAGAAGTTAACCTCCACCGACATCCAGCATTCTTTGGCAATGTCGTAGATGTCATCGGTGACTGTTGTGGCTGCTGCCCAGAGCCGATGACTCCTGAAGAGAAAGAGATAGCCGAGAAAGAAAGCAAAATCTATATTTCTGGTAAAATCTCTTTTATTAGAGACAACCCAGGTCGCCAAGAGATTGGTAGCTTCAACCCGATTACAGAGACCGACTGGACTGGTTTGTGCACCCTTACCCGTTGCGAGGGACTGAGCAGCAGGCTGACTTTGCGGAAGAAATGGCATACATAGGTAACACCGAGAGGCTGTGTCATGCTATTGTCGAATGCGATATCGAAGGAGTTAAGGCATGTCTCGCAGAAGAAATGATAGATCCTAACGATCGTGACCATACTGGAAGGACTCCATTGCAATTGGCTTGCTTGGCCTCAACAAGCGACATTGTGCAATGCCTTGTCGACCATGGGGCAAGAATGATCTCCCGTCTGGCCGACGGCCGGACAGCACTGCATCTGGCTGCTGCTCGAGGCGATTTGGAGATGGTCAGAGTGCTTTTGCGCAAGAGCAAGCAAAACGAGAGTGAACAGGCTCAGCTTGAAAAACGGTCAGATGGGGATAGCGATGAGTGTCAGCAAGAGCCCGACACTAGTGAGAGTCAAAGCGTTGATTCCGACTCGTTCGTTCATGTCAAGAAAGAGGCTGATAATGTGGATGGCATCGATTTGGCCATGACTGAAAACGAGCAAGAACCGGACATATATGACATCGATGTAGTCGCCTGGGATGTTCCCACATCAGCGCTTCATCTTGCCATTCTGCATGGTCATATTGATGTGGCTCACGAGCTGATTACCTCGTTTGGAGCTGATCTAGCGCTTCCGGTCAAGCTGCTCTGGCCCGGCCAGGATAGGGCGCGAGCTGCTATCTTATGCCTTGTCCTGGCACTTCGACTGCCTCTCGAAAAATCGATTACAATGACAGAGAAATTATTGCAGCTTGGGGCACTTCCAACACAGGCAGATATTAACAGCGCTACCCCACTGCACTATGTAGTTGCTTGTGATTTCACCGATTCTTCTGAAATTCTCGAGACCTATTTCCGTCAGAACCGTTCGGCAACAGTGAAAGCGCTGAATTTTCTCTCCTCCTTGTCTAATCCCTGGAATGTCAAGGCTCATTCGACTCTCACGTTAGCCCTTAGTTTGAGAAACGGCATGGCCGCAAACAAGCTGATTGAAGCTGGTGCAACACCCCAGATTGACTTCGAATCCTTCGTGAATCCCGGCCAGGCTATCTATAGGGTGATCAAGTCAAACTCATCAGAGAGGAACAAAGCTATCTTTCGGCATGACTTTACCCAACCTATCATTCTCGCAGTCCAGAACGACCTACCAGCAATTGCTGACCGGCTGCTCCATAGCGATGGCGTCGATCCAAATACTCTCACCCCCGAAGGATATATGGTACTGGACAACGAGTATATGCGAAGCTATACCGTGGGAAAGTCTGTACTCGACTGTGTCCGAGACAAGATCAGGGCATTGGGCAAATATCATGGCGAGAAGTTGGACGTCTCACCTCCTTGCCAACTAGTGAAACCTGATGACTGTCTGAACGGGCTACAGCCTGACACATACCACCGTTGGACTGTAGAAAGGGCAGTACGCCGAGCAAAGGCACAGTACGAAAAGGACCAGAAAAGGTATAATTTGGCGATCTATTCCAATAAAAAGCGCGAAGGTGTGAAGGAGAAGACTTTGGAGGCTCGGGCCGCTCTTGACGCTTATAAGGCATTGGAGAATGCCTTGGTGGCAAAGGGTGCGAAATCTTTCTACGACATCTATCCAGACTTCGAGAAGCCCTGGAAGAGGAGAAGAACTGGGAATAAGAGCGACTCTGACTCCAAGGGCCAAGAACCAGAGCCTTTCAGGGTCGAAACCAACTTCTGCGTACCAGACCTCACCGATGAAAAGAAGCAGAGGTACTTTGGCCTGTAAGTGTTATCTACGACTGAAAGACAAATGGAAACCGCTTTCAGGTCACTAATGTTAAGCAGTTTCGAGGCTGCTTGGCGCGGCGACCTTGATACCATCAAGGCCCTCACGCTAGTTACGTCTAATGCCGAAAACCAACAGGGCCCATTGCAGATTGCAGTATGGGACAAGGACAATTTCTCACCGTTTTCCATTGCAGTACTGCGTGGACACCTCCATGTGGCAAAGGCTATTCTAGAAATAGTACAAGCCCAGTTCAAACGTGAGGATTCTGTCGCTCGTGAAAGATTCGAGATGGACATCGATGCCTTCCATGACGGGGAAGAAAATTGCATATATCGGGAGATTGTTGATGACAGATTCACGATTGAGAACATAGGAGAGGTAGCAACGCAAGTGGAGTGTTCGATATCGCCTCTTGAAGTATTCTCCCGGTATTGTCCAGCCCACATGTTTCTTGACGAAGGGTCTGAGTCTGAGAAATATATCGATCTGGTAGAATATGCGGTGGGACAGAACAACGTGGATCTACTGGTCTTTTTGCTTCGGCTGGGACAAGAGCTTACGAACAGGGACAAGACGGTCGAACCTGGGGTTCATAATTTCGGTGCCTCTGCTTTCCCACTGGCAATCACAAAGGGTTACTTAGGGTGTCTCGAGGCGATCGTCAGGTATACTGGCGCGGACCTTCCTGTCGACAATCTGCTTCAGAAGTGTGATATCGACGTTAAGGAGAAGCCGAAATATTATCAAGGGTTGTCTATACGTGGGAAGAAAAGGGCAGATTGGGCCGCTGCGGGAAGAGGATTACCTGTTTCATCGGCAGAACAAGAGACGCCTTTGCTCACAGCGGCGCATTCAGGGTCATTGGCGAGTGTGGAATGGTTTCTCAGCCCAGACTCGGCCAAAACCTATGTTGAGTTTGTCAAAACGAATGAGCATATAAACAAACTGAAGCTCTTCTCACAGTCGGTGGAAGACATGGAGAGGCCCGTGTTGAACTGGCTTCAGTGCAAGAGTGAGTGCCAACATAAATGTTCTGAAATCTTTTGCTGACTTGGACACAACAGACAACTATCTTCTGCACTGTGCTGTACTTTCAAAGCCTACGCCGGAATCATGCCAGCTAATTGAAAGCCTCGTCAAGCGCCTTCCACAGTTTATGGAGACGAAATCGGCTGCAGGGCATACGCCCTTGGCACTTGCATTCTCCCTCGGCAAGATAGACTTCGCCAATATCCTTATCAAAGCCGGCGCAAATCAGGCAGCTCGTGATCGTCAAGGCAACAACTTGATGCACCTAATGTTGTGTGACATCAATGGTAACGCTCGAGAAGAGCTAGGCAATATACCAAAGCTTCTTTCCTTGCTCGATCCCCGGTTGGTCCCATCGCTGCTGACGGAGCGATCCTCCGATGACCCGGGGTCGCTGACGCCACTTGCTCGTTGGATGCATAAGAGTTATCACGCTTGGTCAAGGGGATCGAGCGGATGGGAATTCGACCGCGGCCGAGAAACAGATGGCAAGCTGGCTATTATCCGTTGTTTCCTCGAGTTTGCCCAGTCAACGGGTCAAAAGCATCTGGATATGTTTGACGGTACAGGAAACACCCCTGTTCATGAAGCAGTCAAGCATCAGTACCCCAAGATGTTTGAGGCTATGATTGGATATCGTCCTGATCTTCTCCATCGCGAGAATGCGACCGGAAGCACCCCATTGGAGTTAGCTACCGACAATTGGGTGTCCGAGGCCACGTCCAATCCGCCACAAATCCTATCCGACAGAGGGCAGTACGAGGCGGAACACACGCGGAGTGCATGTCTTTTAGACCGGAAACCCGAGTCGTACCTTCCTAGGTATCCAGATAGGCCGGAAAGTGAGAGACAGGCAATTTATAGATTTGCCTGCGAACGAGCCATCACCCAGTCGCGTAAACGGAAGCTAGTGAGCCTGAACGAAGCGAATGAGGTGGCTAAGCGACTTGCTACGCGACAAAATAGAGTGGCGTCTACTACCGAGGAGGACGACGTTGTGAGCCGGTGGTATCGCTAGATTGGGCGATAGCAGAGATTAATGGACGATTGTATAGTATAATACCTGCCATAGCTATAGAGTTACTGCAAGGTGGAAGGCTCCCCTGCCAAGCCAAGTTTATACTTTTACTGCTATACTGTAGCAACCATCAGAATGATCATGATGACATTGCAGCTCCGTTTAATGTAACAGAAAACCGTGCCGACCTAGTAGCCATCCGATGACGCCCACTTAAGGACCCGATGCACGAGTAAGATTGGTGTCCCTGCAACAGACATTCTCGGTCGAGAGTGAAAAGTTGATGCCCTCAATCGCCAATCGATAGCGATAACCAAGGCGGTGAAGAACAAAGCGGGGCAGAATGGAAAGATGGGCTTCAACCATCTTCTTCCCCGCAGGCCTGCAACTTCTTCAACTTCCTTCTTCTATCCTCCTAACTGTTCGTTCTCTTCCAAAATGTCTGCCCCCTCATACATGGCAGACCCTCTTACAGTTTTACCACCCGAGATCGTCTTGCGCGTCGTGGAATTCCTCCCGGTCTCCGCCGTAGCGTCGCTGACCGCCGTCTCCAAGCCCTGGCACCAATTTATCGACATCACCCATCGAGAAGCTATCTACAGTTCCGAAACGAAAACCGCCCAACCTCCGGGTGGCGCCCGCGACTTTTCATTTTTGTCGAACAGCACCACCTCCTTTACCAAATTATTTGAGAACACTACATCATGGAAAGATCTATGCAAGCGCCAGAAGCTGCTCGCCCGCAATTGGGCCGACGAGCGCCCAGTGACCCGCGAGTCGGTGCTTCAAGTCGGCAACAATCCTGTCTGGCGATTCCGGGCAGACTTTAAGCGCCGGTTCTTCATTTCAACATCACACGCGGGTGGTCTGAATGTTACGGATATGGATACGGGCAGGATCCTATGGCGGCTACCCTCCACGCTGGAACGTGATGAGGGTTCCGTTCGCCCGTATGCCCATCTGGAGTATCAGGACGGAATGGCGGTCTTTGACCGTGAGGGAGATGCGCTCGAGGTCTGGCAGGCTGATCAAGAAGGTGCCAAACGTGGAGAGTTCCGGCGCATCGCGATCTTAGACCACAATTGTCAGACCAGAGGCTTCCAGTTGTCGTATTGGACGCTGTGTGTGGTCTCCACACAGGGGCAAGGCTTTGTGTATGATATGACGCAGCGACCTCCGAAGCTGACTACGCACATCTCTATCGAGAATGATGCCGTCGGCCATTTGGATCAGAGCGCGGACGCTGTTATCTACTCTATGGGCCCCCGAGGCTATCATGTCTACAACAAGGCGACCGGCGAGTTCTTGGGCGCATTGCAGCCATCCCGTTGCACAGACATGTATCATATCCTTCCGCCGGTCGCTACCTCGCCGTCTGCGATCGCTGCACTAGCCGCTGCTGCGCGACATGGTCCGACTCAGCAGATGGTCGCTCTCAGCAAACCTCGCAAAGACTGCTTGGTGCCAATTGAGCTTTCGAAGGGTCCGCTTCCACCACCGACTGACTTTGAACACGTAAGGCATGGTGACGACGAATGGGGTGCGGGTATGCTCCACGGTGACCTGTTCGTTGGCTTCTCCCGCGCTGGTCGTGTATTCGTATGCTCCAACTGGCGGAAGGCCCTACAGAATGAGAGAGCGATTTCAGAACATGGGTCCCTTATCGAATGCGAGTCGGACGGTTCTAATTTTGACCTGGGCGGCTGGTTGTCTGTGCGCAACCACCGGGTGATGTTTGAGATTCAGGATCGTATCTATGTCGTGGCCCTCGACGACGAGAACAAGATTCAGGACGTTAACAAGCCAGCTCGGGCTTCCTACTCTCTGCTCACTAGCTCGGTGCCACAGCTTGCTGTGCCGGTCAGTTTCATGGCGTTGTATGATGATGCGATCATGACCACCTACACTGTGAGTCCTATGTGCTCTATTGCCGAATTTGGAATTAGCAGAAGCAAGCTAATTGATAATTACAGACTCTCGGCTTCCGTCAACATAATTCTGACGTTCCAGACGATGAACAAGACGAGGGGCCTGCTCGCATCTTCCCCACCAAAGCCATCCGCATTGTCAGCCTAGCGCCCGATCTCTCCGACGGCAAGTCTGTCCCAATCGATGACCAACAGGCGACAGGCGATGGACTCTGGAGCTCTGAACCACGTCAAAGGCGGGCTGAGGATACCTGGCGCTCACAGGCAGGGCTCTTGCAGTTGGTCAGCCTGCTCGGGGATGAGCTTGATGACGAAGACGAGGCCGAGATGGAGGCCTTAGCCATGGAAAATGAAGAGGAGTGGGAAGATCTGGATGATGATAACCTTGAAGGTCATGACAATGATCATGATCATGAGGGTGATGAGGATTCCGAACCAGAGTCTACGCGTGAACATGGGACAGCCTAGACATAGGACAGTGAGGGCAGATCCTGAATGGCCAGTAACCAATATGAGCAGGATAGGTCCAAATTGACCAATCACGAATTGACTATCGATCTTCCAAGACAACCAACCGTAAGGGGGTGAGATGAGTCTTGATTTAATTTACTGAGAGGAAATAGCTGACTATTACCAGATAACGATATATGCCAAGAAGGGATGGAATATCCACATAAGCAAGTGGCAACGGAAATTTGACGAGGCATCATTCCCCACGTAGAGATCTACTAACCTGACACTTTAGCTGCGTAGAATTTTGAACCTTATAATAATATACGCTCGCATTGGATCGCGGGGAAGCATACCGCAGCTGTCAATCAGATCATGGTACACAGCACCCAGAGCCGGAAGCCTATACATATAGCCAGACATATCCTTTTGGTGTATCTACTACTACCACTGGGGATATTCAGTTTACCATTTACTGTGGTGTATAGTGATTAGCATGATACGTACTATCAAAGCTGTACTCTAAACAGCGAATACAAACCACACATTGTGTCTAAGCCAAAGTAGCAATCTACTATTTACCATACAACTATCCGCTATTGAGAACTTGATTCACTTGTAGCCTACTCTACACCTCATACGAATACAATATAGATTATAGATAGTCCTAGAACCCTAGCACCGACCTAAGTTTCTACATCTATAACTTCCCCCCCCCAAAAACCCACCAGACCGCTCCCCTCACCGTCAAACCTGGCAGAAACTAGTGAACCTCGCTGAGAAAAGTGCGGATATACACGGATATAGACGGATATCCGTTTTATACAGCTCCGAGAAAATGAGTCAGCAAACTGTACGTTTTCTTACCGCCTTTTTCACGGATGGCAGAATGATTCTGGTCCATAGGCGGATTTACGGAGTAGTTACTTGGGCATGTACTTGCAACTTTTCTATTATTCGTTTTATGTCTGATACTTATTTATCTATAATGCCTGCCAGGATGATGAATTGGTCCCAGTTATCTACATGTCAGCTACTCATGCATAATGTTATACCCCGTCAGCAACAACTCCGCGGGAGAAACGGCTAAGCCTAGGCCATGAACATGACATCACGGCCGGGGATGGCTTCGACTTTAGCTTCACAAATACGATCCACTATGGATCCACCCCCCTGTCGCTGCCATCATCATGATGCAATTGCTGATGTTGTTGTTCGATTCAAGCTGATCCTTGAATTCTGATGGAGTTTATAAACGTCTTAAAAGGTCCATTGGGTTGTCTGTGTTCTGTTATAAGCTTTTGCCAAGGCTGTCTGATCTGATATTGATTACTATCGGTTTTTGTTACCATTTTATTAGACTTATTTTGAGTTGGATTGCATTGAATTAGAGTGAAAAGATGGCGCCCAAGTATAAGAATCACACGCCTCGGTTGCATCAGTATGTGTTTTCTTTGCTTACTGTGGATGTGTTGTATAGGAGGTATTTTGACTAACATGATCCTGGTAGTCTTGGAAAATGGATGCCTTCTACTCTCGACGCCCATCATGAATGGCTAGGTGGTGTCATCGCACATGTCGACAGCAAGGAATCTCACGACCTTCATCCGGTGATTCAGGAATTTCAGGACCTCATTGAGAACAACACCCGCGTATATCTGCTCATCTCCGCCATGTTCAATGAACTCCCCCGAAACCGAACGTACACCACTGATCCCACTGGCTGTCCCCAGATGCAGGACTACAAGCACATGCTACGTGTGCTGAACCATCTCATAACCACTGCTCCCTCGTGGAACGACTTTTCTCATCGTGTTGGGTTGGTGGGGTTGCCTATTAATGCGGTCTTGGATTGGCCGATGGGCACCCCGAGTGGATATGCTGCGTTCCTGGACCCAGATGTCAACCGCATGATTAAGAAGATTCTTAATGCATGGGGCGATTTCCTCAAATCACCGGATTCGGCGAAGGTGTTGGATGATTCGAAGTACGGGTGGTTTGGGGAGACAGCTAAATCCGATCTGGAGGAGGTGGGCAATGTGCAGAAGACGAACCATTCGTTCGAGGAGTTGTATGTCTGCGACCCGTCGGCAGAGCATCATGGATTCAACTCTTGGGACCATTTCTTCACTCGGTTGTTCCGAGAGGGTATCCGCCCCGTTGCCTCACCCAGTGACGACAAGGTCATTGCCAATGCGTGTGAGTCGCAGCCATACAAGGTGGCGTATGATGTCAAGGCGCGCGACCAGTTCTGGATCAAGAGCCAGCCCTATTCAGTATATGATATGGTCGGGTGTGATCCGTTGGCTAAGCAGTTCGAGGGCGGCACGGTCTATCAGGCATTCTTGAGTGCATTGAGCTATCACCGCTGGCATGCACCGGTGTCGGGAAAGATCGTCAAGGCGTATGTCGTGGATGGAACATATTATTCTGAGCCGTTGTTCGAGGGTATTGGAGACCCGGATCCATCCAACCAACATGGGATTGATAGCGCTGGTGAGGTCATGTCTCAAGAATACTTGACAGCCACGGCAACACGGGCCGTTATATTTATCGAATGCGATAACCCTGATATTGGGCTCATGGCGTTCCTGGGTGTGGGTATGTGCGAGGTCTCAACTTGTGAGATTACCGTCTCCGAGGGCCAGCATGTGTCCAAGGGTGATCAGATTGGTATGTTCCATTTCGGTGGTTCCACGCATTGTCTGCTCTTCCGGAAGGGGGTCAATGTCCAGGGATTTCCATCGCCTAAGCTGCGACATAACGTGCCTGTCAGAAGCCAGCTAGCGGTGGTGGGTTGATATAGTCAGTGTGATCCTGTATGTACATATGGCCACGGAAATAGTTATGAACTTATGTAAATGATTGCAAATAATTACGTTTACACTCAATAATCTGATTTTATCGAACCTCTTGGCATCAGCTTCCTTCGATTCTGTCTGATAGGCCAAGGATGTCAACTGTAGTGTGCTGCAGTTGTTGAGACGTATGTAGATGAGTGTAATTGAATGAGAGTGCCACGTAAGCAAAGGAGTGGAAGTCATGCTCTGTGCTATAGCACTAGGCAGGCAGCATCGCCTGTTACTAAGTACTGTCGATGATGTCTTTCCCATCCTTCAATGGCCTCACAGTACTCTGACAAAGATCTACAGAAGCATGAAGGCTCACAGACTCGAGATGGTACAACGGGAATCTTAATTTTCAAGATCAAATACTACTAGTTACTACAGTTTCCCAAGATAGACGGTCGACACATGACCCACAATATCATCCGCCAAAACAAAGCGCTACTTCCTTCATTAATCTCCCACATGCACACCCACCTCACAATTTCGCCATGACTTGGGCCGGCTCCACTGGTTGATATTGTTCAGTCGCCCATTTCATGATTAGCAGGATCACCCCGTCCATTTCCTCTCGGGTATTGTCCGCGTGGATCATCAGCCGTATTCGACCTGTTCCCTTGGGCACAGTGGGATGATCAACTGCATTTACCCAATATCCGGCCCGCCGCAACCTCTTGCACAAGCTGTTAGCTTGTTTGGGCTTTGTGATGATTGGAACTACGGGGGACTTGAATGGCCTGGTATACCAGGTTTTCTCTGTCGGCAAGGAAAGGATGCTTCGCGCTTTGATATCCCCCCACTGAGGGTGTTTTGTCAAGGTCCAGTAGAAGTACCATATGTTCTTTTGCAGACGATTTTGGCGCTACAACATGGATATCAGTAATTTGGACATTCTACTAGGGTGACAGGACGAACCCTGTGTCCTTCCTGGGTGGCCAGTATCTCATAGGCAGCGCGAACAGCTGCCACAGCTGTGAAAGATGGCGCAGTTGTGAATATGATGTTCCGCCCATAGTTGATTAGCGCCTCTTTTATTGTCGAATTGCACAATACCACCGCTATTCGATAATATTAGCAATGCCAATCTCCGAATAATAATGGCTTGTCGTACCTCCCGCTGATGCCAGTGCTTTTCCACAGGTATGTAACCTGATCGAAAATTCATTTTCAAGTCCATATAATGAAACGACTCCTGAGCCATGGGGTCCAATGATGCCATTGGAATGTGCTTCATCGACTGAAAGGATATAGTTGCCTCGGGGTAGAGTGTCATAGGCAACCTTTACAATCTCGTGAAGAGGAGCCACATCTCCATCCATGCTATAGATAGACTCGATTGCAATAAACACAAGTCGTCTGCCTTCTGCGACTTCGCCATTCTGGTCCCGGAGCTCTTCTAGGCGTTGCCGCAGGGACAGACTGTCGTTGTGACGGAAGGGAATGCTCTTAGCCCGTCCCAGCCTCATGCCCTCGCGTATGCTAGAATGCACTAGCTCGTCGAATACAATGAAATCTCCGGGCTGCGGAATTGCGGACCAAATGGCTGTATTGGCGTCATAACCGGATCCACAGAAGAGAGCTTCCTCAGCATTGTGAAAATGAGCCAGGTCACGCTCAATATCCACTATGTATTGCCTTGTTCCCTCAAAGACGCGCGTGGAATTGGCCCCAATAGTGAAGTGGGGATGTCTTTCGAGTTGATGCAAAAAAGCCTCGGTCAAAAGTCCAGACGCTGAGAGAGACAATGTATCATTTGATCCAAAGTCCACTGTACCTTCATACTCGTCCGGCGAGGCTGGCTCGTACAGCCGTCCCTCCGCGCGACGGCGGTCCAGCAGGACTTGAAGTTTTTGACAAAGGATATCTCTTCCGGTGCTCATGTTGTGTACTGACTTTGAAGGTGCTCCTCCAAATGACCATTTACTAACACCCTCCGGCCTTATATACTGGGGTATTGACGATCATTTCCGTCCCGCGAGTGTATTAGCTTCGTGTGCGATGACTGCGCACTCATGTTGCAAGTGCCACGTACCCTAGTTGGACATGCTAACCAAACTGCAGTACAATAGAATGACAAAGGTAATGCGTCATTTGAGGGATAAAAGCCAATGGCTTTTGTGACCATGACAATGAATGCAGTGGGCCATCTGAATTCGATATTCTAGAATGCCCACATGAATGACAAGCACGTCAGTGTGACCATCAATTCCTTAGGAGACTCGGCCATGGTCCATATATGATTGAGGGATCTGAGCGTGCGCGGACCGACAATATCAACCAATATGCCATGCAGTAGCCGGGACTGAATCCCACCATAACATGACCATTGTGCGCTTTCAACCAAACACCATTGTCATATCCTACTTGCCATGTGATCTGTCTGGAACTTAAAGTTTTCCGAATCCGGTTTCGTAGGCTTAAGCTTCAGGGCAAGCTTCAATCATGCTAATCATAGCGGTTCAGGCATCTGGGGTACCTTCCTAATACGTTTGGAACCGAACACTGAGTATCTGGCTGGAACCTGGCATCTGCACGTTCTAACAAGGTTTATGAGTCTTCTTTGCTGTTTCGGATATGCAACAGCGCCACTGACGCCAGATGCCTCGATCTTGTTCATTCGGTACCCGCGACAGCCAACTTAGTAGGACTTATCTCGGACATCCTAAGGAATTGCCACGGGTGTTCATCAACTGTATGATTGATTTGGTACGCCTGGATATTCCGAACAGGCAGAGACATCCAGTGAGAAAGAAGCTTGCTCACATGAAATGAGACTCTACCTTTCCATGGGTCGTCACTGTTACTATATCTGGTGGATTTATAGTGGGTTCGTTGCTACATCTTGGGTTGGTACGTGGGCGCGATCCTACACTCGTTAGCTCCTGGACATGTTTGACTGAAACCATAAAGGTAGTTGCGGATCAACTTCCGGAAAGGGTTGCTTACAGGCTCAACCTAAACCTTCCGAGAAGCAGACTTGCTTTGGTCATTCGGCTCGAGTCTCTTCACTGCGTTCTTTGGTGGGTCGCCGTGGTACAAACAGGTTATTGCTTCCACCGGCTGCAGAGCAAGACTTGTAAGTTTGGACAGCCCTATCTCGCATTTGTTGCTCTTCGCTTCCAGCCAGTCATCATGCGGCCCTCAGTTTGATCAACCTATTGTCATCGACCACTTGGTGCGCAACCTTCCGCTAGCACGCCCAACGGTACGCATCTGACCCGTCAACCAGGCGATTCTGCTATTTCTTTACCAACTTTATAGTCATTTCTATTGGTTAGCAGCCCATCCAGTTCGTGAATGTGAGTGGTGGGGAGTGACAGGCGGGCGAGCTTGTTCCTTTTCAAGTTTCGCGGGATCATGCCCACCTCAAGCTAACAGTGCGACCAATCTAAAGTCATTATTCCTCACTGCCCCTTGTGCCTCGCGGTTCAGCCCGACCACAGGAAGACGAACTGATAGTCTATTGCCCTAGCCGAATTGAAGCGGTTACTCAGTTTGCCGACTGAGAAACTCGGTGGATTGGACCATCACAATCCGGCAACCTTAAATATCCCAGCAGCTAACCGATACGCAGGCAATATAGTTAGTATATATCTTTTATAGTATCTCCTCTTACCATCTCGCTCGACAGCTCAACACGAGACCCGCAACTACACCATGCGGAGTGGATTTTATCGATGCTGCTTGGACCTATGTAAGGGACAGGACCCTATGAATACTATTACAGAGGTTCTTTCGTGCTTCCTTTTCATTGGTGCCGAACAACCTAGACCAAAGAGGTCTCGATATTCTGATCTCAATCGTTGAGTTACAATAGGGATTCCATCAGCTCATCCAATATACTCTACCACATGATTCCACTCCGGATCATGTTTCAATGCCTCCATGTCAGCATCAGTCAAACAAATAAGCATCTCCAAGTCTCCCTCCTGTCGCATTGGAAAGATATATAGCAGGCTGGGTATTACGTTTTCCGAGAAGTTAGGCCGTCGTACGAAGTCGGGGCGGCCGAGTATTCCAAACTTATGATGCATAACATCTGCCCGCGAGAGCGAGGACATTCCTACATCTGTATCAGGATTGAAGGCCCCGGCATAGGTGATTGTTGATTTGTCCGGTTGCTGTGCGATGAACGTTGCGAAGCTTCGCACATGATACGCTGTGTTTGCATGGTTCAACTCCCGGCGAAGGTGGCATGCTATCACGTAGAGTGGCAGTTCGACCAGTTCACGAAAGGATAGCCAAGCTGCCACATTGTGGACAAGATCGCCCATGTACTCCGCTGATATACCCAGCAATTTGCGGCCATCCATAGCGCGCGAGAACCGTGATCGGTCTTCAGGCGTATTACTTCGCTGGTTCCGCACCATTGTGAGCTTCTTCCAGAAAAACGCACTTATAGCGTCGTCGGCTGTGATGAATGGCACGTCTGAATCTGAGTCTTCTGGCGGCGGAGTGGCCCATGTCTTGAGATCAGTCACCTTGGCTGCAGCCAGGCGTACAACATGCCACTGGGCTAATTCTGGGCAACCCACAAGCTGCACATCTCCACCGGGAGGGCGCAGGTAATGACTATGGTCTAGCATCGGCTCCTCCGGACGCAGAAGGGGGATAATATTGCGTCTATCACAATTTATCTTCTCCAGCAGATCGTCGGAGAACTGTTCCCCACGCATAGCTTGAGCAACGAGCCGGGCAAAGCCAAATACACCCCCGCCGTCCGTCATATTGTGTTGGGTTGCAAAATCAATAAGCACACCCCCGTCGACAAAGTTCGCCTGAAGGCGGATCACACGGGAGGGATCCTCCTCGGAGTCTTCGAACCGCTGAGGGAACGCCGTAGTGGGCGCCAGCAGATGGGAGTCCAGTAAGTAGTTCGGAGCCTTCAATCGCTGGATTTCTTGATACGAAGGAAGCACATGCGAGATGTCCTTGACTTCAACGAGCCTGTTGGGGGCCGGGCAAGGCACAACGATATATCTCCCTGAATTACCAGGACTCTTATCAATATTGATCACTTTTCCAGCCATCCAGGGCACCTTCTCGCGGATCATGGCGACGGCCGATATCAGGTCAGATACGACGTCATCACGGGTTATGCCTTCGGGTATAGTGAAAAGGAGTAAGATGTGGGTGTAGACCTGCAGCATGGGCAGTTGGCCTAGGACATCCTCGTATCGACTGAGGTCTTCATATCTGCTAGGGCCTTTATACTTTGGTGTGCGGTAGCGTGTCATTGCGATGACTTTCCTAGGGATTGGATTGAAGCGTGGCGCCAATTACAATGTTATTTAGCGAGGCTACGTCCATTTATATAGTTTGCCGTAAGGAGACCTCTTGCTATTTGAACAGAATCCTCGGGTGGCACGTTGACCGGGTACACGGAGTATCTCGACGGACTTGATATGTCCTTTCTAGGATACTCTATCCGATGGATCGTGACTTGAAGTGGCACATTTTATGCAGAAACATGTCTCGTGACACACTCTACTACTATTGAGAACTAGGCCTGATTTACTATATCCACTGACAACAATAAGTACTGGTACTAGCTTAGTTCGCTCTTCTAGCATTATTTCCGTGCTCTCCTGTCCCCTCAGTCCTTCATGATGACTGCCATATCTTCTTTAAGGTCATCGTCGCCAGGCCATCGACATCCACGTGCATTCTAGTAATTAGTAACTAGTGCGTAGGTATTCTATGGAACATATCTCCGCCTAATTAGTTACCTTGCATAGCTAGTAGTTATCCTAGTAGACAGACGCGCATGTGTGTGCACAGAAACAAGCATAAGCAACATTGTCTTAACCGTAATGTACTTTCTTGCCTTACCTCCAAACTCTGATTATCATTTCATTGCATATGCATGTGCATGCGTGCATGCTGTCCATGTAATGCATCTATCTGTCCCTAGGTTTGCTTTTTATGTTTCTGTTTCGGCTGCCAATCTTCTGTACTGCCTATGTTGGGAAGGAGATGAGTCGGAATGGGAATGGGGGTATTTCATTGCGTGTAGTACTTACTAACTATTGATATTTATGAAGAGGAGCTAACAAGCAGGGGTGTAGGTGGGAGTACTAGTATTATGCAGTGAAAGAATACGGAGTGTCCTATGGTATTGATTATTCTTACGATGTCTGTTGTATCGATAGCAGTACTACACCATCGGCCACCGTCTCATGCCTGTTAGAGATTAATGTCTATCATATCATATCATATCCAGCATGTCATCATCATTTAATGTAGTGACCACCACATCAATCCCGTCCCGTCCCCCTTATGTACTCTTATAATATACCCTGCCAGGTTATACAAGCACAGCGTACAACCCCTACCAATTAATCCTAGTACTTACACTCTGTACCCCCAACTGCATACACAACAACAACTATAAACTCATCCTCCCCCTCGTCTCATACGGCACCAGCACGACCAACAACCCCGCCACCACAAACATTCCCCCACTAATATACACCGGCACCGCCGTCTCCATATTCGACACCAAAGCAATAATCGGCGCCAGGATGCCCCCAATCCGGTTCGCACCCGCGACCAACGCATTCCCGGTGCCGCGGTACTGCGTCTCAAAGATCTCCGGCGTGTATGCATACAGCACTGCATACAGCAAACTACTAGTGAAACTGTAGGCGCAGTTCCACCCTAGTAGACCACCGGAGGTATTCGCCGTCGTGGACGCGAGCAAGAATGCGCCCGTGGAGAGTGTGGCGAGGCAGAGCGTGCCCTTGCGTCCTAACCGAGGCATCTCGACCATCACTCCGCCGACCAAGCTGCCGGGCACGCCGACTGCGGCGATGATGAGCGAGTTGCGGTACGTGATGTACGTGGAACCGTCACCGAATTGAATCCCGCGCATTTGCTGCAGGTAGGGGAGGAAGTTGTTGTACAGGGGGAATCCAAGGCCGACGAGGGCCCAGATGAGGATCATGAGGGTCGTGGACCAGGCGCGGCGGGGGGTACGGAATAAAGCGCGCACGTAGGGGGCGGATAGTGGTTCGAGGCGCATGCGGAGATGGTCGAGGGCGCTGAGGGCTTCGTTGTTGGGTGATGTGCGGGTGGGAGTGGTTGTTGTTTCGGTGCTGCTGGAGATGGGCCCGTCGTCTTGGAGGTCGTCTATGGATAGAGAGGAGCTGGTGCCGTTGCGTCGCGCGACTTCATGCACTACGGCGACGGATTCTTCGTGACGGCCTTTGCCCATGAGATACTTGGGGGACTCGTAAAGAGTGAAAAATAGACATCGGGCTAGGCACATGAAGAGAGCGAGGCCACCCATCACGATGAGGAAATACCGCCATCCCATGTTGGAGGCCTTGCTGCAGTGGTCGGCGGAGGCGCAGGTCATTTCTCCGATCAGAGGCCATGCGACCAGGTTGGCGAGGAGCTGCGCGAGCGCCCAGTTGATCGACAGCACCGTGAGCAGGTACTGGTGCGATCCGGGGAGAAACTCGAGGAAGATGGCCGAGTCGACGGGCAGGTTGCCGCCAACCCCGAAGGACCATAATGCGGCGAAGACGCCCACGGCTGCGAAAGACGGTGAGCCAGCAGCGACCAGGCCGAAAATGGCGGTGATGGCAATGGTCAGGTTGAAAGCCCATCGCCGACCGAACAGATCGCAGGTGAAGCCCCAGAAGAGCGAGCCGGCCAGCAGCCCGATGTTTTGGGCCAGGGACAATAACGGCGGCTGGGCGACGTGGAATTCATACGACACCGGGACGAGAATGAGGGAGGTGACGATGGGCCATAGGTTGTCGCTGGCCCAGCCGAATCCAATAACGCCGAACAGCTGCCACTGATACCTGCCCATCCCGATGTCTTGGATGGCGCGGTTGAGCAGATCGGCCTTGTAGCGATAGGCAGCAGCAGCAGCATTGGGCGTCGGCGGGTTCGATGCCCCTTCCAGCGTCGATAATACCGGCTCTGACTCATCTGGTTTGGATGCGCCCGTCATGATCACGGTGATGGAGGATGACAGCTTAAAGAATAAATTCCTCAGTGTTGGTTCGGTCGGTTTGGAATTGCGGGGTTGAGACAGAAAGATTGCGAAGCTTATCGGCGGCAATTTTCTGGTCGCATCTCAACCTGCGATCGGGAGCACAATCTCGTTCACTGAGGCTGCCAAACAGATGTCATTTCGTGAGAGTGAAAGAAAGTTAAGGGGGAGTGAATGGGGAAATGGGGAGGGAGAAGAGCGACCAAGACATCCGGATGCGGAGGAGGATGTTCGGTGATTAATGATGGATGATTACACAAGACACGAGGATGAGATGAGCATCAATGAAAAACTCACGGAAGAAACCTTAATAAGATGGCGGGATCTGCAGGGCCGATGGTCTCATTTCTTTTCATCACCAGCCAATCACACATTTATATGCATAACTTGCGCATTCTTCCAGTGTCTGGGATGCAGATCTTGAAGCAAAAGAAATGAAAACATCTGAAAAGGTATACACCGCCAGTTAAATGTTACTAATTATTCATTTACTTACTAATTGACTATCTACAAAAGGTACGAACCAGTCCAGTACCTATTTGGATACTTTGTCAAACATGGGCACGGACTGAATCATACTCGATTTCAAGCCGTGGTGGCAGCCGATGCCAACGGACTGATCGCCGTCAAGCCGGGATAGAAGGAAGTCGGGATGGTAGGGATGGGAATGGACGCGGTCGTGCCAAAGTCCGTGGTGAGATCTGCTGCCATTGTGGTTGCCGAATATCCTGAGGGCGCCGTGGTGACAGTCTGGGTGGTCGTGTACGAGGTGGTGGAATCGCTGTCTTCAAGGCAAAATCCATCGCCATACGCCGACTCGCAGGTGTAGGTCTGCTCATCGCCGCTTTCGGTCCACATGGCAAAATCCTCGATGGTGATGTCGGTGCAAGGGGCCGTGTCTGAGCATACCACCTTGATGGGCCCGCGTTCGGCGCCATCCGCCTCCGTTCCCTTCCAGTTCTTGAACGTGATGTTGCTCAGTTGCACACCGTCGCCATCCACGGCTGTCATGCTGCTCCAGTAGCTGTCAACGTCCAGAGAATAAGCGTTGCCGTGTCCTGCAACCACATTAGTCAGAGGCTGTATATACCTCGTTCGAGTGGGTCAAACATACCAATGAAGTTCTCCAGAAGGGTGTTATTGACTGTCCCACTGCCGCCGTTGCTCTTGATCATGTACATCTGGTTGGAACTCCAGGTGTAAACGTTGCGGTACAGAATATCAGTGATATCGGTGTCCGCGCCGAGAGATCCCATCGCACAACCTCCACTCCAGTTGCAGTAGATACTTTCCACAAGGATGTTGTTGGCAGGGCTCTGCGGATTGTCAGTACACGAGCTAGGGATGATCATACCAGATGGCCCTTACCTTGACCGTGACACATTCATCCTTGTTGGTCACCTCGACCTGGATACACGGGTCAGCACTGAGCGCTTTTTATTGTGACATAACGTGGGACATACATCGTGGACCCAGATGTTGCTACCCCACACATCAATCCCATCCAAGCCGCCGGAGTTACCACCGCGAATGGCCATGTTGTACACCTCTCCGTCGGAGCAGTCGTCCATGACGAAGTGGAAAGCCGGCGCGTCCACCAGTATAATATCATGAACCGCGAAATTGCTCACGTCCTGGAGTCGCAAAATCCGTGGCCCATCAAGATCACCCTCCCGATGGTACACATATCCAAATCCCTGGACGGCACCAGAGGACGAGTTGCTGTACAACTCAAAGTCGGAAGAATTCTCCACTAGAATCATATTACCTCCGTCGGTGCCAGTGCGGTAGATAGTGCCGTCTAATATGATGGCGGTCGCCTTGCCTCCCGACAGAGACACCCAGGTATCCATCGCATAATCACCAGGAGGAATATAGATCAGACCTCCATCCGAGCACGCATCCCAGGCTTCTGAGAGGGCGGACCCAATGTCGGTGGAGTTGTCCGCCACAGCACCATAGTCCAGCACGTTACACGTCTTGGTCGCAGCCTTGGAGTGTGCCGAAGTGAGCGGACCGACGCTACCGGAGAGCTGGCCGTTGACCAGCAACGGGGCGAGGGCAAGGGCGAGGATGGGAAGAGCAGGCATGGTGAGAAGCTACTTTGCAAGTGTCTCTCTGCTTGGTCTCAACGGAACGCAACTATTGTCGCCGGCCTTATATAGACATCGAGTATGCCAAATACCTCGTGGGCAGCTCCTCCCACCGGAGAATCCATGGCCGCCCCTATAACCCCAGCTCATATGAGGTGGCTGCAAGGATTAACACGACGATGAGAGACGGCAGCTTTCTTCGATATTAATTCTGGAGTCATTGTTTCGTCCCGGTGGTTTCCCGTTCCTGGGCCGATGCCGATCATTCTCTTCTCGTGAATCAGAGGTCAAGCTTTGGCTCAGGCCCTCCAGAGCAATTCCTTATTCACGGAGAAATCGAGTCAGGAGCAGGAACCCCGCCGGCTTTGAGACGACGCTGACGAGAGCTCGGCTATTTCGAAGGGGATATTGCAGCGATGATCATGTCTGAGCTGACGAAGAGTCAAGAACTAAGTCCCTTTAGCGGTTCGACAGGGCCGCTTGGCAATCCACGAGTCAGGGTCTACCGTTGGCGAGTCTCATGATTGCTGGAACGTGCACTCATCAGTCGATAAGGGGCCACGAAATTCGCATTCAAGCTTACGTACCTGCAGACATTGAAGCTTGTGTTCGGTGGAAGATGTAACAGAGACAAGAAAGTGTATCGGATGGGAGATGCCGTGTCTGCTTACGTATGGTATCATACATTACTTTAATGGTACCGTTATATACAGACTGATACGCAGCTAACCGCCTACAATCAATACAAATTCTATGTCAGTACATGTTAGATACACACGGCACGGTATCATGAATATGGGTCTCTAGTGGATATCTCGGCAGTTCCGATCGCGAGATTCCCCATAGTAAAACCACAGCCACAACACGACCTGGAAAAGATCTAACTATCTCTTCACCAAATTCTCTCCTAACCCCCCTTGGACTCTAGAAAACGCGCACTCAACCTCCTCAGGAATATCAACATGACCAATAAACTCCTTACCCATGGGCCCATACCCATGCTCATCATCCCTCAACCGTGGGATCTCACCCAGAACCAGACCCAAGAAGCGTGACATACTCCACAAACCCCCGGTCACCCCTGGCATACTCTCATCAACATCATCATAATCATACACCAACTCACCCCCCTCCATCTTAACTCGGGGCACTATAATCGGCCAGCTGAGCAAGTTTGGGGGCCTCGGCGCATACGCCTTTTCAAATGAGGCAACCGTCCGCCGAGCCATGGTAGGATCCTGAACAACAATCATAGATTTAGGTTCCGGAATACCATTCCTTGCTAATAATGCCCGTGTTTCTGTGGCATTCTGGCCGCAATTCGTGGACTTATCTTCTAGTAGAACCGTGCAGCCGGATTTCTGGATGAAGGTGGCATCAAAGCACCGGGTGAAGATAGTATGCAGGACGTGAGATTCTGGCTTGCCTGTGATTTCTGGGATGAGGTGTGCGTAGTCTGGGTGCTTGGATACGGCCTCGTAGAGATAAGGCGTGGAATGGCCGATTCCACCGCATAGCACCAGTGTTTTAGTTAGTTGGGGATTGCGCTCTAGGTGTTTGAAAACGGTCGTTGCGGGATAAAGCACTGCCGAAACGCATATCACGATGCAGTCGGTGTTGATCGGGGGGTGGGATGATGCTGGGATTTGTTCGTGGGCCAGGAATTGCGCTAGCAGATTGATGTCGTCCGGGTTGATGGATGACCGTGACATTTTTGCTGCTGTTGGATTGACTGACCGACTAGACAACTAGCTAGCTGATTATTGTTGACTTTTGTCCAAACTAGTTGCTTAGATTGCATATCGTGCGTTTGAGGCAGATGAAAGGAATTGGGGATTAGTTAATTACGGAGTAAAGATCGTCTGCTCTTCCTGGAACCATGATTGGTCCATGTTCTTGCGGGGTATCATTGTCCCGAGTCCCCGATTCATCTTGTATCTTGTCTTGTCGCCCATGTTCGCTGGTTATATTGATTTCAGTAACGATTGACCTGTTGAGTATGTGATAGATTTCATAAATTGGGTTTGTAGCAATACATTTATAGGCGGAGAAATCACCCAGTTTAGAAAGACAATTTACCTAAACTTCTGTCTGCTCATTAGCCTCTCCTTAATACTTTTCACTTCCTGTATCTTGAAAACAATGTATGAATCTTGTTGAGATGACCGGTCTGATAGCTTCCTGTCGTTTGGCTGAAGTCATTGATCATAGTTCTGATTTAATCTTCTTTTCTTTAATTGTTCCATATTTTCTTTTCCCTGAGGGTGAAGACCGGGGTGGGTACTGCCCTTGAGCTAGTGGGGAAGTGACTCAGATGACAGCATCTGGAACCCATAAACAGGAAACCACCAGGGGTATTCCTTTCCTTTTTATTGTCTTTCCAATGAAGGGTTTTTCTTGGTATAATCTATGTGTTCGCTCAACTACGAGGATTACCTTAGATCGCTCTAGCATGGAGAGGTTCTCTCCACTACTTACTGCTGTTTATCTTCACACAGGGAATACTGTCTGCTACTACAAATCCATGCCTACTACTGCCTCTGTCAAGCGGGAGGTGCTGAACAAACTCTTCACTTCACTAATGGAACTAACACTATAGTCATTTCATGAATGAAACAGCATGGATGGCAAATTCTCGATGCTGATTCTTAAATGAGACGCATCGTGGTGCCCACCTCGAGATACTCCCATCATTGTCTTATACAAAAAACTGTTCACGTGATATCATCGCTCACAGGCACATCGTACAGGCAAGAAAACATTAAATTGCCCCTCAAAAATGCATGATCTAGGGATTTAAATGCTCTAGGATACCTAGGCCAGATAAAGTGCGCACCAACACAAGACATACGCAATGCCTCAAAGATCATTGTCGATGCTGTCAACTGCCTCGAGGGTCCGCCGGGGTCTCGACAATCTGTTTGGCAGAGACACGGAGTATGGGAAGTGTGTGCCTGTCGATGGTCATATGGATATTCACAATCTTAAGTCTGTTGAACATGTGGTTCGGTTTGACTTTGAGCACTTGAATGATCCCAAGCCTTATAATTCTACAATCTTCCCACCAGTCCTTTTCCGTCCCATTCTTCTCCGTCCCATGGAGTCAAGTCAGTTACAGAAGTCCTATCCTACGAAACGTCTCTTTGCGAACATTGATCAGTTTATCGGCAAAGTGTCTCCCAAGACCCGTTGTAGTCAGATATCTAGCCTTATCCATGTCCATGCGACTCGTAAGGCAATGCTTCATCGACTGCTTGAGTTTGTTGGGTAATTTCCTTGGAAACAATCTTACTACATGGCAGATATACCTTCTCTGCTAGCATTTTATATTATAAACCCCCGATAGTACCTTTCCTTTGGAAGAGGATCTCGCATGTCCTTACGGCAAGGGACGTGATTGGTGGTATGTTCCTAGAGCTTTAGAGCCAGAACCAAGACCAGTTGATGGACAAGCCTATCCTCACCTCGCTCTTCATCTCATTGATACAAAAAAAGCTCGAGAAGGCTCCATACTCTTCTTTGAATTCAGTATATTAGATTTTGCTACGCGAGGCCGCGCCAATCAACGCAAGGTGAATTCAGAGATAGAGAAGTGAGGACTTATGGAGAATGATAGTGAAGGCAAAAAAGAATATCCGTATCTTTTCCTATATAAATCTATAGTATTTTATGGTTAACTCTTTATCTAATTGAGAGGTTGTCTGTCAAAGCACTAACTGCTAGACCAAGAATAATGAAGCGCATTTGGCTAGCCAGGCAACTGAGAAATATGTGTCCCAACATAGCATACTTGGGAGAGACAGCGGAAAGTGTGGTGAAGTCATATCATGATCCTATTCGGTAATATAAGAAAGAGTAATAGAAGGAATCCCTTGTAGATAATAATAATATATAAAAGGCCGCCAAGTATCTGAAACCTAGAAAGGATGCAATATTCGGGAAGATACCGCCGCTCATTAGAGCATGGGGAACTATTATCATTAAACATAAAGAACAAGCAGAAGAACTACTAGCTGAATTCTTTTCTTCTCTGCCAGATAAGATTAATAAAAAAGAAGCCAGGCCACAGAATGCGCCAATAAAAATACCTGTTATTATCAAGACAGTAAAGTGACAGCTATTCACAGCAAAATAATAGAAAGTATCATATCTAAGCATCATAATAACTAAGTAAAAATTCTTAGAGATATTTCAGTACTAATCCAGCAGACAATTAATTAATATTAGAAAAATAAAAATTATTTTGATCCATTTGATTGCGAGACTGCCTTAGAGAAAAGGTCTAACGGTAAATAACATCGGGCTTTGATGTAGGTATGGCCGTATTAACCGCATTGACAGCGAACGAGGCTGCAAGTTTATATGCGGCTGACCGCGAACCGAGAATTTCACAACAGTGGTCGCTTAGTTGCGACATCAAAAGGTTCCACAATCCCAATGCTGCCGTCCACGGAGGGAAACGCAACATTCGATTGATTGGGTTTCGCATTTGAAGCACAATAAAATGCCAAAGGTTTTACTATTAACAAACTGCAACTTTATTACTACTTTCCGCTAACCCAGAATCTTCCAAAACTTAGCATGAAGAAAGAGTATGAGTTAACAAGATCTCTACTGATAGACAACCATTGGCATTCGTGTCCGGGCACATTCTACTCAAAATAGATTTGTTTATGGTAGATGTCTCTTGTAGATCGCAGCCTGGCCACCGAGTCTTCGAGCAAGTCCATCCCTTCTAAACATCCTGCTCAAGAGCAGCCAACATTAGAGTCGGCACTCATTCCTATAGTGACATATACTCCATATCAAAGCGATTAAGCTGAGAGCTTTATCTTTACTGGGATATATACACTGTCTTAGGACGTACTTGCCAGTCCTGCAAATTTGGATAACTGCGCTGATCGCCCACTTCATCCAATAATGAAGGCTCTGCCTTTTTTTCCTACCCAACTATTGCTCTCACCTGAATTCCAGGCAGATCGCAGGTTTTGATAGGGATAGAGATTGCTACACGTATTACTTTACGATCGAAAAGAAACCAAGTCGAGACGATATGCATTGCTGTCTTCGTCGAGGGTGATTGTCGACATACTCGAGGCTGACTATGCAAACTCAAAACTGACAGTGTCAACCAAATGACTTCCTTAGAGAACGGGGTTTCTGCGGTGCGAGCCGTGCGCTTGAATCGAGCAGTCTGGTCCGGTAGTTACAAGCAATCTCCCTTGAATAGCTTACTTAGGAATTATCTGTGTGTGGGCTGTGCACGTAAGTTTCAGCCTCATTAGGTAGAAATAGCAAACTGAGAAGACGGCGCCTGGGCGGCATGGTGTGGACAGGGATCTTAGTGCTTATATGTGCAGAAGTGTGCATACGCCAGCTGCTTTCCCACCGTCAGCCTCGTTTGTCTTCCTCTCTTGAACCCCCGCGATAACCTTCTTTAAACTCCCAACCTATTCAACTCCCATCATCTTCCTTCTGTACTGATACTCAACGAAGGCGCCAAGCGGGCTTGATGGGTGGCGATTGCCAGCCTATGAGCCGCTACACAATGAGCTTGAGCCACACGAGACTGAACAGGCGATGTCCTCATCTGCCGTAATCAGGGAGGAGACCGGAGAGCTCGACGACCACGAAGAGACGAGGCCAGGCAATATTTCACAGTCTTCAAACTCTTCCAGCAGGGATGAAGCATCGTGCTCTGGATCAACTTCGGATACGGCGATCATGCGAGGCTCAGCTGAGGACAAACCTCCGGAGTCCAATGTCAGCGCACCAGAGCCAAAAGATGCTTCAGACCGGTTTACCCTTGAATTGGCTGGGGTCGTCGTCTCAGCCGGTCTACTTGCTACGATGCTGGCCCTCCTGAGTGTTTACGATCACCACCCCCAACCGAGCTGGCCGCATATCTCGTTGAACGCGGTCATCTCTACCCTCAGTACTCTCTCCAAAGCGAGTCTTATATTCTCCCTGGGTGAGTCATTGGGACAATTGAAGTGGGTGTGGTTTAGTCAACAAAAGAGACCACTACTTCACCTGCGATTGTTCGATTCGGCCAGTCGGGGAGCTTGGGGGAGTTTAAGACTAGTTTGGCACCAACGTGCCCAACATTTCGCAGGGTTAGGTGCTGTTGTTATGATTTTAGCCTTGGCATTTGACCCATTCTCGCAGAACCTCATACACAACTACGTTAAAATGGTAGCAGATCCATCAGGGACGGCACGGATCGGAACTGTCTCGTTATACAATACTATCGGGTCCGATATGGCGCCTAGTTGTATGTTTACGCCAAACCCCAGTCCAGACACGCAGTCAAGACTAACAGGAAGCGAACCCATAAGTCCCTGAGGTTGACCCTGCACTGAAGGGAAATGTTTACAATTCGCTTTTCAATAACGATCAAAGCCGACCTTGGGAGATCCCAAAGTTTGTCTGCACGTCCAGTAACTGTACCTGGGATGAACCCGTGGCGTCCCTGGAATTCCGGACTCTTTGCACCAACGTCACCAGCGCTCTGATACCCAACTGCACGAATTTTCCCGCTAACTCATCCTACGCCGGTCAGACAAACTGCACTTTTACCCTTCCCAAATCCAGCACCTCCGCCTGGTATCTCCCAGATTTCCCCTTGATGACCCCATTCTCGGTTGCCGAAGTGGCGCCCACCGACGCGGAGGTGTATACAAATGCCAGCCTGATCGTGATCCAGCATATAGCTCCACAGCACGCGAATGTTAGCCTCTTCGAGGGCGGAATCTTCCCGAATGGGACTCTGTGGGAGGCGACAGAATGTCTTCTGGATCCTATCGTGCGCAGCTTCCGCCCAGCCGTCCATCAAAACGCCTACAGTGAGGAGACACTTGCCATCTGGACGCAGAGCAACTTTGTCACTGGCGACGATGCCAACGTCACTGATGGAAATACGCTTACGCCTCCGGACTCTTGGGTGGCCGACTACGGCGTCCCTGTGAATCAAAGCAGCCCGCAGAACAACAGCGCCCAGTCCTATGTGCTCGGTTTTGTCGCCGGCAAAGCAATTGAGATATTTTTTCAAGCCATCTTATCCGGCCAGTCGAGCCGCGGCATCCTACACACAGTGTTTACCCCTGCATCTATTAACTATGCTGCGTCCGATGCCCTCGAGGCGCTGGGGTGGGGCAATATCACCGGGTGCAGCGATCTCCTCGCCGACCGACTCCCCCGTGCTATGGGCAATGTGGCCGCGGCGATGACCAAGACCCTACGCGACTCGGCGTACATCGCTGGCCCCCGGTCGACCTCGGGCTGGGCCGTGGGCAACGCGATGGTGCCCGCGGTTTATATCGCCGTGCATTGACAGTGGGTAGTTCTGCCGTTGGTCGTTTGGGTCGCAGGGGCGACGCTCGTGGGTGGCACACTCTGGAAGACCCAGCGCGCGCGAGCGCCTGCTTGGAGGAATGATACACTGCCCTTGCTGTTTTTGTATAAGAGCGAGGAAGGGCTGTTGCGACCCGACGGCAGACTGGCGGGACCGGGAAGGGAGCTTTGCATGGCTAGACTCTATGAGGACGAGGGTCGAGTGTTTCTTGGTCAGTGGACAGAGAGCGACAGACTTGATGATAATGATGAAAGATAGAGTGAACTTTACAGGTATATTCTAACACCACTACGAGAAGCCCCGACATTCAGGATCTTAATAGTCTGACTTGTTCAATTGTCAAGTACTACGCGCATCTGAGCTTTAGGACATCAATCCATCTATATCTTGAGGTTGACCCTTTTTTTCCTTGTGATCCTACGTATTCAACCAAGCCGCTTGTTCTTTTCCCATCTCCTTCTATTAGGGATAATCATGGTAATGGTAACTATCCTAACCATACTCAATCTATATGATTATACTATATAGAATAGAGCCAGCTCTCTAGATTACAAATATACTTTTTCTATTATTTTTATTCAATTCTCTTGATTTTATATAACTAGTCAAAAATGAAGAGTACTTCCTGTACTTCTTCTCGCTTGTGTTTTTTTCTCAACACGCAAAGATCTTTCCTACATGTATGGTCCAGGAAAACTCATCATGAAAAGCGCGCCAATTGATTTAATCCTTCGCCTTTCTCTGAGCCGTCCGTCCTTTGGAGACCCGGAGGTGAGTACGGTCATGTCCTTCACCGCACTCTCCCCCATGCTTTTTTCCTTATGCAGTGTCTGCGTTTACTGTGTAGCAAAAACAATCTATTACGGAACAATCTATTTTTCATGCCCTTTCCATTCTTTTCCACAGTCAATCGCTTGGCAATATTCTTCCATTAAACAGTCAGCCTGCCTTCAAATTATTGTTTTTCTCTGGTTGTCAATACCATGCATTTCGCATACCCCAAACCAGAGCGGAGTGGACAGCAGCGACTAATGCATACAATGTCATCAAAACATTATTCACCCGGCCTTATCTGCACTCGGGATCCAAAGTAAACAAAGAGCAGTTCCCTTTATAGTTAGAGTGTCCTGCTACTCGACTGCAAGGAGCCAGAGAATCTAAGTTCTTTACGTTCTGCTATTTCTACGACTCTTATCACTCAGGCACAAAATCTTTTCGTTGAAAGGCCAACATATCAGTTATATATTGAAAGGTTGAGGAATGACGACTGGAATAATCCAGAATTGAGATCATGCGGATCAGTATTGATATTGCGGTCAGAGATCCACAAGGGATGGCTTCAGGATTATAAAAAGAAAATGTGAACCGACGAAGACACAGTGAACCCCGCTTTTGTTGAGCTTCTCAATGCTCTGACCTCCACGATTCCCGGAACAAACTGCTGGTGGGGAACTTTCAAGAGACCGATGAGATACGATTGGGAGCTTACGAAGGGCTTTGCTATAATAACAGACGGGCAGCTTGGGAATCAGCACATGCAAGATATAAAGGCCGTCGTCGAGTGTAAGGGCTCCGAACGGAAGATACAGTGTATTAGTAAGTGGCAGTAACCCCAAACATCGTTTCATTACTGCAGATAAGTCCGAGGTCAATTTCTGCTGTACTAGTCTTCTTTTTACTTTTGATATAACAGCTGTCACTAGCACTTCTACTGAAGCGGCATGGCATGTGAAAATCATACAAGCTTTGTTTAGTCCTGGGACGGAACTGGGACAATAGTTTGAGCACCTAATATACAGTGAGTGTTCCGAGTCATGAATCCTTGCTTGTATGTATAGCTAACACCTACAGGGTCCTCAGTGACATAGTCCCTAGTAGGGTGACATGGACGGGCCTGGTTCATCAGACATGGGAGGAAGGGGGCTCCGGGTTGTACGTTGCGGTTAAACTATGGGTTAATATTTGGAAGAGAGTTGACAGGCTGCAACCTTTGCATACCTTAATAGAGAACCAGACCTCGGTTGGGCGGTTGGGATGGCCCTGGGACATCGAATTCTACATCTACTATAGAATCTATATACTGCAGTTCACAATGTTAACTGTTGCTGTTTTATTCAGATGTATTCAAATATGCCTAACCGACATACCTTGCATATATAAATTTATCTATCTTTGATAATCTATTCCAAGAGCCGCTAATTAGGCACTGCCTGATACAGCGGACTGCTGATGACGTTATTCTAGTTGTACACAGAAGCGGAAACAGGAACGTCTAGTATCAGGACTAATCATCAAATAAAGCAGCAGAATGAATGTATATTCGATTTTGTCAAGAACTAACTAAAAGCATCTAAACATAGGCGGGAGATGTAGTAGAATACGACCCCATACGGGAAAGTGCAAAGGTTCTGCCTGCAGCAGGCACCAACCCTCGAATCATCAACACATGCTCTGGTATACTCTCTTCCCAAAATTTCCAGGACTCTTTTCTCCAAACATCTCTAGCAGCGCAACCAAGTAGGAGAGATATCTATTTAATTAGAAAAACAAAAAGCTCACCTCAACTATGGGGTGCCAACCCATAGGAGGCTACGAAAACCGCTTAGTGGGTTTTTGCAGACGATTTCCAGTCCACGAGGGCGCGTTCTTGAGCTTAGTGTCAAGGGCCGCTCGATCATGACCGGAATCGTACCCAGGGCTCCCGAGTGTCCCTGGTCTACACGGCTAAGGGGACAGAATCACGAGCCTGCCTTTAAGCCACTCGGTTACCCTGGGTTTGGTTACTCATTATTTTCCAGAACTTGCCTGTCTCTCCCTTTTTTCACTTTTCTGAATCAGGTGATTCTAGCTGGCCCATTTGCCCGAGTGTTGATTCTGGAGGCTGGGCTTTCCTTGGGGGCGTGATTTGGTGGGTGTCGGTGGGATGCTGCTGGTGGTGAAGCTATTCGGGTCCTTCCCTCCAGGTCTATATCATGTCTTCCCGCATCCGCACCCCATGAGGCTCTTACCATACTATACTGTTCCTTACCTTTTCTTGATGCTATTCATATTTCATCCCTCTGTCTCCCATATTTTATTCCTACTTTACTGAAAGTATGACCGTTCTAAATCTACATACAGTCCACTGCACACCAGTTGGTCCCCCGGCCCACCGATTGCTACTAGTTTCTTCCGTAAGTCACTACCCCCATCAAGCTTTTCAGTCAGTGAGGTGAATCCAGAGCGCTACCTTCTTGTCGATAACCTTTTCTTGTATACTGAAGCCTAATATTGTCCGCTTTCTGCCTCTGCACCTAGGCTGTCTAAGAAACAAGCCTACCTCGTCTCTTTACCTACTTCTTCATCCATCTAACCAACTGCACTCGCACCTTACATTTATCATATGAGACTTTAACCCTTCCTCTCCAGACGATTCCGCTAATTTCTTGAAATCCAGACTCTCTCCTAGATGATACTATTCTCGAGGCTATTACTGCGGCTCATATGTCACAAAGACGGTTACACTAGTCTGAGTGGTGGATTAAGAGAAAGCTTCTGCTAACAAAGATGGAGACGGCTGCCAGTATCCCTATAATTTTCGTTTACCAGCGGCAAAATCACCCAATCTACTAACACTGTTCTCCTTCTTTAGTTCGCTTCACATTCGCAAATCGTTTCGGCTTCCTGTCGCCTGGAAGACTTTGCCAAAGCAATATTGTTCGAAAGAGTCCGCGCGATCGCTAAAAAAGTGAACCAGTATGCTATGAAAACACCCTTGTGTATATGCCCTTACACCTACAAATGACAGCACAAAGTGAAGGTTTTTCATAGCTTCGGCTTGCTTACACAAGAACCTGACGAGCTAACAAACGTGATTTGACTAGAGATCTAAGCCAACCAAAGCCCACCAAAGCGCCCTATCCGAGCGATTCATCGATAATTTCGATTTATTTTGCGCTGCAAGTACCAGTGCCAGTTTTTGGAGCGCCGCTACCATACAACGCGAAGGAGAAATACCGGCCTAGGAGATCTTACAACAATTCCACGACCATTGTGCATTCTACAGGGTCATGTTTCAATAAGCACCGAAGAGCTATGATATTTATGACGCTAGACTATGATCGTTAACTTGGTGAATGGGTGGCACATCATTTCAATCACGCATCCAGGTCGTTGATATCAGCTGCACACCAGAACATAGGGCTATCGCGTTCAGGGAGCACTAAGCCGGATTTGTAAGAGTGTAAAGGCGAAAGTCGGTGGCCTGACTGATTGCTCCACTGAGGAAGCTTCTTCGTTCTTCTATTTCCTTTAGTCTCATGCTATCCTTGATTTTCCACTGCCTCCACACCTTCTAGTCATCATCGTTGATCAACCGTTGGCATTAACCGTTGGCAGTCGCGTGCCAAGGAAGCAAGTTCCGGTGGTTGTTTGCCGAGAGAGCCATTCATATTGGCTGCCTCGGCTAGATAAATGGAATCTTCACTCAGGAACAACCGATGCCCCAACTTCCGCAGTTCTGGCAATAAAACAATGCACCCCAGCTTCCGCCAGTACCGATTTGGGCCGTATATGCTCCATCTATGGCAGATTCTGTCGTTCGACTGAAAGGATTATTCTTCCGGCCATCCCGAATAACTAATTGCCCCAAGGCCAAATCTCGGCCACCTCTCTTGGCAGCCATGAAGGTTTTAAAAAAGGGCTGCTGCCTTCCCCGGTGGGTTGTTCTTGCGTGCACTGGGTAGCCAAAGTCTGTGACAATGCAGCTTCAATTCATCGTGGGCTCTTTGCTTCTCTTTGGCTCTGCTTCGGCAGCCCCAGCTCCGCCAGCAGATGCAAGATCCCACCCCAGCATTGATTCTCTGGGTACCCTCCAAGCTCTGAAGTATAACAACTTGGGCCCAGGAAACAACGGCACCGCCGCAGTCTTGGTCTACGATCGACTGCCATACCTCAGCGCAGAATCTAGGTGTGCATCCATTGGCGAAGCCCTCTATCCGCTGCAGGATGTATCCCAAGCCAACGCCACAGAGATAGGGTACCAGCTCGACTATCTGGTTTACGCGAAAGATGTGGCGGCAAATAGCTCCTTTTGGATAGCCAAGGGCTCACCGAATGGCTGCCAGGCATACTCTCACAGCCGTAAGCAAGTCATTCCCGCTCCATGTGATCGACAACTGCCTGCCCTTTGCACCTCCAGCGTCCCTCCCACTACCGACAAGGACAGGGAAGCCGTGAACAAGTCCAAGATCTCTATCTCATTCGATGATTACCGTATGACTGGCTATCGTGATGGGCGCTCGTTTCGGTTCCTAGGCATTCCCTTCGCAGACCCGCCTGTAAGGGATTTGCGATTCGCACCCCCGCGCCCCTACTCAGGTCCCAAGAAAATTGACGCGACTAAAATGGCGGACTCATGCATTCAATCGGTTTCGGGCTTTGGAACACTCGACAATGGCGGTATCTCGGAGGACTGTCTATACCTGAACGTCTATTCTCCTGTCCTGCCCTCTTCACATGACAGGAAATCCACCCGCAAGCCTGTCGCGGTATACTTCTACGGTGGTGCGTTCACCAGTGGAACCGCGTCCATGGTTGATTACGATGGAGGAAATTTCGCCAGCCGTAACGACGTTGTTGTTGTAACAGTCAACTACCGAGTCGGTGCTCTAGGGTGGCTGACCACGGGCAACCTCACCACTGGCAATTATGGTACACGTGACCAGATACTTGCATTGAAATGGGTCAACAAGTATATCGAAGCATTTGGTGGAGATCCAAACCATGTCACAATCTTTGGTCAATCCGCCGGAGGTCAGAGCGTGATTGCGTTGCTCTCTTCGACTGCAGCCCACGGCCTATTCTCTGGTGCCATTGTGCAGTCCGCCCCCGTAGACCTTCCCTGGTTCACACGTGAAGTTTATACCAAGATTGTTACTCCCAACATCGCGGGGGCTGTTGGCTGCAACGGCACCACATCGGAAACCGCCCTCGTCTCCTGCCTGAGATCAGTTCCGGCAACCCGGTACCTGGACAACACTACTGAGTTCGAAGCTGCCATGACAGCCTCCACCGAGACCATCGCCAGCGATTGGCTGCATTCATCTGAGATTCTCGCATCGATCGAGCCCCTGATGCCCATAGTAGATGACATCGGCAGTGGCGTCATTGACGACCAGTTCTACCGTCTTCTTGCTTCGGACAGGCTACCCAACCGCGTTCCAACCATGTTCACAACAGTCACTACCGAGGCTGCTCTCTACGTTGATCAGTATGTCCCGAATCTTGGGGCAAGCGAAGCTGCTCTTGAGCTTGTCTACAGCTATGCCTACCCCACGTCACTCATCAAGTCCCTCATCGCAACCGACGCCTTTCCTCTGAACGCCTCGGACCCTGACAGTGTCCGGAATACTGTTGCGGACGCCCTCACCCACAGCGAGTGGAGTTGTCCTCAGGCATATCTCCTCCGCCATGGCGGCCGACATGCGTTTCCGCGCCTCTGGGAAGTTGAAGTCAGACACGGTCACGTCCAAACCACCGTGGATGTCCCCAGCATCTGCTCCCCCAACACTGATTTCAACGCCACGTGCCACTCTGCAGATGTGCTTCCTGCCTGGGGCACTCTCAACAGCAAGACGAAGAATGTATCCCCATACTACAACAAACGGGACATCCGGCATTCCCGTCTCCTCAACGATATCTTCGGTTCATTCTTCCGCACCCGCAATCCCAACCCCGATCTGGAGATGCTGAAGCTTCGTGGGCCCGCCTATGCATCGACTTATCAGATCTTCGGCCCTCGCGGATACTACATGCCCGAGTATGAAATCGCGGAACGAAATGTCAGTGTTCTGGACATGCCGCCGTCGATTGTGGCGAATCCGGGTGTTACAGAGAAGTGTGCCGTGTTCGAAGACTTTGGGTTCAGCTTCCAGAGAGCCAATCTTACTGTCTAAGTCTGCGGGCGGGACGAAGAATATGTATGGAGATACTTTCTGACATATGGAAGCGGAAGTCAGTATGTATATAGTAGTAGAAGGAATGGATAATATAATTGTGACTCCATATTGAAAAGGTTAATATTTCAATTGCACTCTCCCTTTCTGCCCTCCCCGTCTTACACTCCAAATTATGAACGGCATGATCAGCCACAAATATCTATCTGCCTACCAGCCGAATGACTTACCAGTCACATCCGCATTCCCCTTAGCCAGTCATTCACTCATTCAGTCAGCAAAACCAACCATGATCAGGTGATTCCAGCTGGGGAAAAGTGTCGATGGTCAGTGCGCTACTTCTATATTCCGAATCAAGTAGTAGTAGTACTACTACTACTACCAAGGTGGCTCGATGATAATGCTGCATGCTAAGAACTAACTATTACTACTACTATTGTTATAGCCATATAACTTATATGTCATATGCCAGATGAGTAGCAGAACTTCATACTATTATGTGATGAAATAGTATTAGGTCGTAAGTAGTATGCGAACGCGTTCCAGTCTGTTTCGTTTAAGTACTACGGAGTAGCTTATAGCATAGATAGAATATGTTGGGGGGCAGGGGATGGGCATATCAGTATGTGAGATGGATGTCGCTGGAGCTTACTGTGCTGTATAACTAATAGTATGAGTATACTTGTACTTGATTTGCTGCCTGTGGCTCTTGTGTTAGATCAACTTAGTCAGTATCATATGTGGGTTGTTATATTAAGACCTCCCTTTGGTAGAGGGAAGCAATTTGGATTATCTGATATTTATGATATGGTAAGTAGCGTTTACTAACTGGGTAAAAGAGAAAGGTGACCCATGGATTCAAATAAAGTAAAGTAAAACAACAGAGAGAAGAGTGAGGAACAGCAGAACTCCATCTAACTCTCTAAAAAAAATACTCGTATCGTCGTTAATCGTAACATAGCTGGTCGCCATCAGGTCCGTCAGCTCATCATATCATATCGTATCGTATCATGTGGCATTATCTTCAGATGTGGGGTATTGGCCATTCAGGTAGCCGCCCAAGCAAGTAAAACGCCGATCATTTGTATATTCTTATCCCGCTCCGTTCTCGCTATCGTCAATAATGGCTGTGCGTGGCGTCATTCTTCAAGGGTTGTAACGTAGTACTGTAGTCCGGGTAATGTGTATTGATTAGGGAGGTATCGTTCTTTGCTGTCGTGCATAGAGATGGAGTTCGGGGTAGGGGTAAGCATTCTTATTGGAGGTGTAGAAAAGGGCTGTTTTGTTGTTCACCGGTCATACATAGTGGACCGTCGGCTTCGTGGAGGATATTCCATGTCCGGCATACCTACTGCAATTCCTCGGGCTGGCGATGGCTGTACCGGATTGGCCCATCTCTGGGGCCGATAGCCACCTGAGGGGTAGCGAGGACGCTCCGGTGTTGCTGAAGTACCGAAACCAGCTGCGTTGGCGTTGACGGGAGGCCCTCTGTAATTTCGTCGGCCGTCATCGCCCGCGCGCATGTCGACGTCGGGTGGGGGAGGCGGTCGGACTGGGTAGGTGCCATTCCTTTCCATGTAGCGAGGGTGCATGTGCGTGTATACTGGCACTTCATGGTTGACTGGGACAGCTGCTGGATCGCTAAACACGTGGTCGCGGAACGTTGGCCTTGGAGTCCGGGGAGGGCGGACCGGCTCCTCAGCATATACCCTCGATGAGCGTGCCCGACGCGGACCATCGGAGTCGTAGGGCCTGGCCGAGCTGGCATTGTACATGTCCCGATGCATGTATCGTCGCTGATCATCTGGGGAGAATGCTCGCTCGGGTCTCCTGGCGTAGGATTCATGTGAATGGCGGCGAGTGTGAGAATAGTGTTGCGGAGTATCGGGACGCAGATGACGATGGTGTCGACTAGCGCTGGGAGACGCGCGGCGCACTGCACCTCCCGAGTCCTCGGATGACGCATCGGATGCACTATTTCCTGGCAATGTACTGGGACTGACGGGACGGGAATACGCCGGCGTGCGATCGCGACCTCTTGGTTTGGGAGCAGACTTGGCCCACATTGGAGGTGAAGGAGCTCGACGAGGCGGCTCAACGTCTGGTGCGCGGGGGAAGTATGTTGACTGAACCCGACGGGTGGCTGACGGTGGATACTCTCCGCTGCGACGTCTCTGATGCCTACTAGGAGGGGAAGGTTCCTCGGGAACCAGGTGAGGGCGATGTGTTGATGAGCGACGGCGCGCCGGGGGGCTGGACTCTTCTTTGGTGAATGGAAGGTCTTTGTTGGAAAAATGAGAATGGTAGGTTCCAAAGTTCGGTGGAGATGCACGCAGGATATTTCTCTTAATGTAGTCGAGTTCGAAGCGTCGACTGACCGACTCGTGCCATTCTACCATTTCCGGGTCTGGTCTGTCTGGAAAAGCTTCCCGGGGGATTTGTTTGGGAAAGAACTCCCCGTTCGGAGTTTCAATGTCCCACAATTCGACCGCATTCTGGAGGTAATGACAATGCTCGTCCGGATCGAGAAGGAGCTGGATGGTCTGCCATCGCACGAAGCCATTCGGCTGCAGGGCGGGAATAGCGGGGGGTTTGTAGGGATCGGAGGTTGGCTGAATACTATGAAAGCATCCTAGTCGCTGGTAGATGAAGGAGAGCGCGGACGGTTTGGTCTGGAGGAAGAGGACGTCGTAGTTGCCGCCCACCTTGCGATAAAAAGCTGCCAATCGTTCTGGAGTGAGGTCGGTGGTAGCGTAGTCGTCAAAGGATGTCTTCGCACGCGAACATTTGGAGATAAGCCTGGGTTCCTAGTCTCCACCAACTCAGGGGAAGCTCCAACCATTCCCGACTTACGATGATGCGAGCAATCTCCAGACACAGCTGTTCCAGCAGCGGGGCCGGACTCTTATCGGCATTGATCAACACTCCCCAATAACTCGGGCCCTGATGATCATGGGCGGAAAACATGGCCGGGCTAGGATGGGGCCCGTTGTAGAGGCATTAGACAACAGCGAGAGAGGCGGGGACATCAATGGGGGGCAGGAGGAGGAGGAGGTTGAAGAAGATGGGATTGTAGAAACGAGGCTGGGGGGACGCGGTAGACTAGTTAGTTAGTTGTGGTGAGGTGCAGCACCGCAACTGCACGTTGGCCGCTGCACCTCTTCATGGTTTAGTGAAGACCCGTGATCGCAGGCGGTTAGTGGCCCGTCAAGCGCAAGGCTTCGGCCTGGCGGTCAGGCACCCATCGAGCACTGGCTCCACTGCGGGGGAGCCCAAAGGAAATCTGTTTGCTGGCATTGTCGACACGCCAACTCAATCCGCCTCGTCTGCTCCCTTTCGTGTTATTGGCGTCGGACCATGTTGGCGCTGGATGCGACAGAAAGCCAAATGGGGCCCTGCACGAGGCCGCTTTTGGGTACCTGAAGGTTTGATGACTTCCGGTCTGCCCCCCTCGCGGAAATCACCTGGTGATGGTTGGGTTGGAGGGGGTTCCCTTCCCATGGAGAAGAGAGAGTAGCTCCTACTGCTGTTTAACTACAGGTTCCAGACGAGCTTGGTCTGCTGGCCTCCGTGAACTTTCTGACGATTTTCTATCCTTGATACAGCTGGCTCAACCCAAGCGACAGAGCTACATGCAATCGCGTCAGATGAGGTACATGATCTAGATCAGCACCGCTCGTGACTCCAAACCCAAGCCCATATCTAAACTATATGACATGATTCAACCCTCTTCTGAGCTGATCAACAAACGCTAATGGACGGAGACATCTGCTCCATCCTCCAATAGTCCCGCTTCGGGTTATCTTTCGAAACTGCTATAGGAAGACTGCCGAGGACTGACGAAGACATCCTATGGCATGTGCATGGATTTGGCCATATCCTCTTGTCTCACATCCACGGAGACCATCCTTACCACATCTTTGAGATGTCTAAGGAAGGCGCACACGCAATGATGCCATTAGAAGAATACCTTCTCAAAGGGTAAGGTCCAGGCAGCTGAGCCGCTTGGAGCAAGAGGACCTGCTTCTGCGCCACCTGCTCGTCGGCAAAGCTTCACTGGAGCCAGGTGCTTATCTTCGGATGATGGTCTCGGCCAGCCATCTCGGGAAACACTTTGAGTAAGAGACAAAGTCCCTCTCCGAGAGCCAGTGTTTGCCAGGGCCAGGTAACGCCCAGGCCGAATACCACACTTCACCTTGGTGATAGAGGGTAGGGTGGAAAATTATCTCTTTCCAGTTCCAGATGATCTGATAAGACGAGTCGTAGCAATGATCGATTATGTTAAAGGTAATCGTGTGTCGAGGCCACCCTAATGTCTATGCTAGACTCAGGTGTGGTATACGAATCTCCTCGTGATAGCCGCAATAAACCGAACGATAATAACATGCATTATTACTGCAGCAAGGATGAGTGTGAATGCATAGGGGCGGTCCAGTAGATACAGTTTCTTCCAAACCTCCAGTGAGCATCATTCTTGCTGAAACGCCGACCCGAGCTGATGCCTGCCTTATGCCGTAGGGGGAGTAAGGCACCAGAGGAAGAAGGGCTAGGCTACCTAAGGCCAGGTGGCCCAACTAATTTCGCAGTGAGTAAGCTCAATTCTGATAACCCAGTCCCAGCCAATGGAATCAACATAGCTCTCCTGCCACTGGTCTCTCACAGCAACCCCACGAAGGGCAGACAAGGTAATGTTGAAACTGCTTGTCCCCTTACTCGACCCGCGTTCCCCATTGCAGAGCCTATTAATAGACTGTAGATAAGCCTTTTCCTTGGCTAATGGTGGGTGGGGCGTTTTCTCTCCTGGCCACGCTTGCCAATATGTGTGTATGCTCTGTACACATGGTCTATGTGAGTCAAATCATGCATGCACATGAGTAAGTCGCATGAGACTCCAAGATAAATTTATTCATATTTGGTCGTCTGTGTACCTTCCTCCACTATCGAAAAAATGGCCGATAGCGATGGCATATCAAAGCAGTTCTTGGTCCCCAGAGTTCAGACACGGAATCGGAGGTACTGAATAGGCACAAGTCTAAGTATCCGTCCACGCCAGTTAATCTGTTCGTTGGCCCTGAAATTCTTTCATCGAAAAGCCTGTTGAATCTATCCTGAAGAGACGGATCAGATTGCCGAACATTTGCGAGTCAGACAGTCGAAAGAATGTGGACAAAATCAAGGTTTTGAGAGACTCGAGGAAGAAAAGATAACATTCTCTCAAAGTACCGGGACAACCTTTGAAATCGGAACATACTTTGGGCTCGTTGGTCTCGCCTGAAGAGACGGCTGCTACGCGGTCGGATTTTGGGAGATTTGTTTGTTGATAGGCATTCAAATACTTGGTCGCCATGCTTGTTGCTCGTGCCTGACCAGATCAATTCGACCGGCATGACCACGTACCTTAATCAATCGAACCGTGGGCCGAAGATGCTCGTTTTATTGGGTGCTGTCAGATTCCGGTGGTTGTGATTGGGCGGCGTGCTGGCGATCCAGATTCCGCGCCGACCCTGGCCCGGGCCCGTCATTCCCGCCGAGCAGTGTGGAATCCAAACAGCTCTACGGTAGCGTTGCAACAAATCCAGCATCCCATGCTGCTGGTGTTCAGCAATAATGTCTTCAATCGTCCCTGTTCCATCCTCATTTCATCTTTTGTAGCTTTTTCTCAAATCCCTGTTATACTCGCGTTTGCGCTCCCTGTTGACGTCCCTCGTTCTATCGTCATTCGGGAGGTCAAACTTAGTCCATTTTCTGAAGCCTTCACTTGTTAGACTGATCTGAAATTTATTCACTTCACTCTCTCTCTCGCTGGCGCTCCAGCCGTAAGCGGAAGGGACCCATTGCCGCTTATATTTTGGTTGACTGTGTCAACGTAGCCTTGTTGATATCTCTGACATTCACTATCCTTGACGCCTCCACGCTCCAGGCTGAGCCATCGTACGACCCTTCAATCGATACGGCACAGACACCTGTTTCATTCTGGACCCAGTGCACTGCGGCACCCCATGTCTGGCAACTAGTGGAGCAGCGTGATTATGGCACTTGTCCGGGACCCGGCGTTCTGGAAACGCTTTTCTGCCGCTATACACCTCGACGAAGAAGCAAAGACGGAAACAGGAGCGAAGAAACCCACCATCTGGACGTACGTCTGACTTCCTTGTATGTTTCCATAGTTTACTCGGCTGACCTTGATGGGATACGGCACAGAGATCATTGGATTGAGGCCCAACGCCAGAAAAGAAGGCGGACTTTCATCTGTGGCATCCTGATCTTTATCATAGTAGCGATAATTGTTGCGGCCATTGTTGTTGTTATATTGTGGCTGAAATCGAAAAACTGGCTCAAACCTGAAACAGAAGCCGTACCGATGTGAGGGGCACAATAAGTGTGTACTTTGTCGGCCCATGCGATATACCAACGAACATCCGTCGCTCTGTGGTGTATGGATACATCATTGGTCGCGATACTATCGATTTAAGGCTGAGCACAAGGCCTGCAACATTGCTGAAGGTCCATGCTCTAAAGGAAACGTCCTGTGGCCATCTGATACCATCTTAGCTGAAAGCGACAGGCAGAAACATCGGGCCTCGAGGTCGAGGAGACAAAAAAACTGGAAAGAAGAGAAATTCTGTGAATACGACACCCGGGCTGGATATGGACGAGCAGGTCTCATCTGTAAATTTAGCACCCCATACGGCGTTCAAGGTTGACTTTCGGAGAAGAATACCCGGCATATGCTCGCGGACATTCTGGCATGTACTAGGCGTCAGCTGAGGTTTTAATGGTCGAACAATAATGGGTTTCACGTTGAGTCGAATCTCCCTAGAAGACGCTGGGAGATCTTTGCTATGGTTCCAAGTAATGAAACGTGTGAACTTCCGAAGGCACAAAATAATTCATCATAGTCCTTAGATCATCAGCCATCGGCAGTGTTAGGAGCCGACTGATCCGACATCACCATAACTGAGCTTATAAGTGAACGAGACAAGCGGGGCGCTTACTAGACTAATAGTGAGTGTCGAGTACGTAGCACATAATTAGACGAGACTAGGAGATAAGAATTTCAAAATGTCGCCTTCTAGTCCTCGTTTAACTACTGCTTGTTATCCGCATGGACCTGCCGAATGGGGCAAAACAAGCGCCGGCAGCCGGCTTCTGTGTCAGTCACGTGTGGTACCTGGGTTTATCACTCAGGAAGATCTTGCATAGGATAGTCATTGTCAGTGAGCTGTATTACATCCAAATTAGCAGCATGGATGACAGACAGGTGCTGGATATATCTAGACATGGCTGCCATAGCTTATCGTGATGGGTTCGAAGCTCAAACAGCTCAGCGGACGCAGCACCGGAAGCGAACAAGTCAGCTTAGACACAGAGCGCTTATCAGCGGGTCTGGCTTATCGGGCTTCTCCGCACGTGTGGTGCTTCCCCCGCAATAAAAGGAAGGCGCCCCCCTGCGTTGTGACGGATCTCTTTTTCTGCGCGGAAAGTTGCTCTTCTCCTCTCTATCTTTCTCTGTCCTTCCCCTTGGGCTTCTGCACAGGCTCCTAAGGAGGTGACATACAATGCTTCCCCCCTTTGATTACTTTACGTATCGTCGCATCCGGTAGGTTACCCCGTGTGCCTTCACGCAGCAACTTAAGCAGTCCTACATAGCCCACATGCAACTTAGCCGACGGCTCACTGACCATTCACAGGGACCTCAAGAGGAGGGAACGGGCGGCTCGATTTGCATCGCTATCTCCCGATTATCATGCGCCCTTCTCGGCTATCGACAGGGTTATCATTAACAAGCCTATCCAGGACTTGGTATATGAGGTCCAGAATGATTCCTTGGCACCTTTAGATGTCCTACGCACATACGGCAAGGTTGCAGTCAAGGCTCACGAAAAGACCAATTGCGTGACTGAGCTTCTATTGCCTGAGGCAGAATCATGGGCTCAGTCCGAAGTAAACCTAAAAGGTCCCCTGGCGGGTGTGCCTATCTCTTTGAAAGACTCGGTGCAAGTCAAAGGATTCGATATTACTCTGGGGTATACCAAGTTCGCGTGTAAACCGTATAAGGAGGATGGTCCAATGGCAAAGCTGTTGAAGGATGCTGGTAGGTGACCTGTGCCGCGAAACATCACAGAAAGTATCCCTGCGCTAATGATGAACTCCATCAGGTGCGGTCCCATATGCGAAAACGGCGCTGCCCGTGACGCTTCTGTCGTTCGAATCAGCAAACGCTCTTTGGGGTCACTGCCTTAACCCACATGTCCCGGAATACTCTCCTGGCGGCTCGACGGGTGGTGAAGGTGCTCTGCTGGCTCTTGGTGGTCGCATCGGTATCGGGTCGGATGTCGCTGGCTCGGTTCGCGTTCCCGCTGCCTGGAGCGGCATCTACTCCCTCCGCTGTAGTACTGGCCGCTGGCCTAAGGTCGGAGTCAACACCAGCATGGCTGGCCAGGAAGGTGTTGCCAGTGTCTTCAGTCCTATGGCCCGTACTTTGAACGATCTCACCTATTTCACCAAAGCTATTGTCGGAATGAAGCCTTGGAACTACGACCATACCGTCCACCCTATCTCCTGGAGAGAAGATGAGGAAATTGAAGCCCAAAACAAAAGGTTGAGGATCGGCCTCATGAGCAACGATGGTAAGTTCCAAGAGCGGAGACATCAAGGACACTACTTGGGCCTTGCTGACCACTTGCAGGTGTCGTTCCCCCAACGCCGGCCATTGAACGTGCTATTTCCACCACAGTAGCCGCCCTCACCGCCGCTGGGCATACTGTATCTGAGATCACACCCCCCGCTGCGGCTGACACTTTTACTGGTCTCTCCCTCGCCTCGCAGCTGCTCAACTCTGATGGGTGCGTCACGTTTAACTCGCATCTGCACAGCTTTGAGCCATCCGACCCTGGTGCAGATCAGCTGACGCGGATATGCAATCTGCCCCGTCCTCTACGTTATCTCTACTACCTTTGGGTTCGGTACATCCGACGGGATGAGAAGTGGGCGACGCTGATCCGCGGGTTTGCCCCCAAGTCTGCGGCGGAGCTTTGGAAGCTCACTGCCCAGCGGGAAGCTTTCCGGGCGACCTGGCACAGCTGGTGGGATGCCGAGACGCAGCAGTACGATTTCATCCTCTGCCCCGTCAATGCGACGCCGGCTCTGCCCCACAAAGCCATGCACGATGCGGTATCCTCATGCGGATACACGTTCCTCTGGAACCTGCTGGACTACACGGCCGGTGTCGTGCCTGTCTCGCACGTGGACGCGAAGAAGGATGCTCTGTCTGGTCCGTACAAGAAGGTGCTGAAACAGCTGGGAGCCAGCAACGCGGTGGCCTACGGTGCCTGGAAGCACTACGACGCGGCGAAGATGGCGGGATTGCCTACTGCAGTGCAGGTGGTGGGACGCAGATGGCAGGAAGAGAAGGTGCTTGGATACATGGCGGCAGTTGAGGAGGCCTTGGAGCAGTATCAGGACCCGGTGACTGGAGAAGGGGGAAAATACCCATTGATTGAGCTTGACTAGTTTACTTACCCGGAAGTTTGTTTCGCAAATGGGGATAATGGACGAAGTATATTACGTCTGTTATTAAGTCTATAACCGTCGGTAGGGGAGACAATACAATCATTATCTGCATCGAGAATCCGGGTCGAGCCATGGACAGCCCAGGTCACCCTGAAAGAACCAGGGGATGGGTCTGGAGAGAGAGCAGCGGCCGATTACATCTAGCCCATCAGTTACTGATGTAGGAAAGGATACGATGACGGGGTTTAGGTTATGAATCGCCGAGCAGTGGTCTGAGTACGTCATGGCGACCATTGTTCATGTGATGGAGCAGGCGGAGGGGACTGGGACCGCCACCCATCCCGAATTCTCCAGGGGCGAGGCGCATCGCCGCATTAACCTTAAAGGGATGGCGTGCAACAAGCTAACGCTGGGCCCGGCCCCTGTCTGTGTCCGGTCCAGAGCATATTTTACTGTTCTGGATGTTAGCTGCATGAGAGAAGGTAGATAATTTTTTTTGGGAGGGTGTTTCTGCTACTAGTTTTGATCCATCATGTCGAGAATGCTAATCTCGGACAAGTGATCAGCAAGGTCAATGCTATCTCGGAAATCTAGAGGAAAGCGCAGAACCAGACCCCGATAAGAGAAAAGAAAAGGATGCATGGAGGGAGTGACCTGTCAGGCCGAAGCTTGCAGCGGATGGGTCCGATGAGCAAAAGAGCGCAAGCGAGGAAGATACTTTTGCGGTCAACCTTGGGATTTTCCCGCATTGACCGGCGGTGCTGGGCTGGTTGGGATCCATGGATGTGGGTTGGAATCACCGTGCGTTTTGTCGGGATTGCTGGGCTGTCAGGGAGGGTTTTAGCTAGGGATTTAAAGTGTCGGGGTGAGCGAGGGAGTGGAAGAGAGTGATGATGATGGTCATCGGTTCTGAGAAGTGTGGAGAGAGATTGAAGGGGAAAAGAAATCAAAAAAAAAGGAGAGCGCGAAAGTGTGAGAGAGATAGCACATCTTACGCTCACTGGAGGTGTGGAGGGAACTGTGCAGAGGATCGATCGGAGCAGCACCAGAGTTGACTAGAGCAGTAGTGCGAATGTTAGTCGCAGAACTAGAGACGGATCTAAGTTCAGTCAGGATGGATTAGTTTTTTGACAGGCACGAATTAATCGCTTTGGCTCTTTCAATGGTTGGGGATTTTGCTTTTTGGGCTCTCTTCAGCGACGATCCGCGCCGCTTTTCCTGGGACCTTTTCCTGCTCTGCTTTCGCTTCTCCTTCTCGCTCTCGCTGCTCTCTCTTTTCCCTTTTTTTAACTCAACTTTCTCGCCCCCCCAGACTTCCGTCTCTCTCTCTCTCTCTCTCTCTGCCTCTGCCTCTGCCTCTCTTTCTCTCCCGGATATTCTTCTTCCCCTCACCCAAATTTATCCGCTCACGCAATCTTCCCCCCCATTTCTCCCCATCCCTCCGTCATCCATCCTCGCCCCCTTCTTCTTCTTCTTCGCCTTCCTCAGTCCTTTTCCCTCCTCCTCCTTTTCCCCGGAATCACGTTCAGGCACGCCTTCCTGCATCCAATTCCTTGCAGCCTGCCAGATCAGCGCCAAACGTCGGTCCGATGATTTCCCCCTCGTCTCGCGTCTCGTCCGTCCCTCATTGATGCGGCCCAATCAAGTCTCCTCCGCCCCGACTACGACTAGTACTTCCCCTGCCATACTCACCACCACCACCACCACCACCACCAACACCCTCGTCCCCTGTTGCGCTTAAACAACCTCCCTTCTTCGCTTCAAATTCCGCCTCGCTTCATCCCTCCGTATCCTCCTCGCCTCGTCGAAACAGAATGCTACCCTGGCCGTCTGCCGTGCTCAACCGTCCTCGTCGCATCCTGTGCTCTTGATCGGCAATGACCCTTAGCGGTGGGAGAAAGCGAAGCAGAAAAAGAAGAAGACAAAGCCTCTCATGGCGTCTACAAAGGGTGTCGCCGCTGGGCGGAAGAAGGACGCCATTCACTTCGTCAATGCGCGCCCAGCATCTGAGACGGAGCGGATCAAAATCCAGCGGCTGGTCCGCGCCCATGTGGGCAAATGGATCTCCGACCAGACCAAAGATCGTTCGTCCGGCCCAGAATCGCCCGACAGCAATCAATCCCAGTCGTCTTCCTCGTCCCCAGATGCCTCCAGTCAGTCTCCGCCTCAGGGCGCAGTTCCGCCCGCCCCAGGCCTTCATTTATTAACGCCTCCGAACGGCTCTCCGTCCCCCGCTGCTCTCACGCCTTCCGCCCTTCCCCTGGCCTTCCCCTCACACCACAGTCCTCCCTCCGAGACACCTATTCGCCGTAGTTCATCGGATCCTTCCACACCTTCTCCAGAGTATGGATTCGCTGACTGTCCGCCCTTGGTACCGGGGGTGGTAGGCGAGTCGCATTTCCACTTTGATCCGGAAGAAATGGAGTTATCCCCCGATACCGTCTGGCAGTTCCAGCAACAAACTCTCGATGAAACACCCTATGATCACAGCGAAACTACGAAAAGGACTACAACTTCCGATTCCTTCAGCGTGCCGGCTCCCTCGTCAGCTACATCCATGGGGTTTATTGAGAGTTTTGGCTGTGTCGCCGTCGATCCGTTTCATACGAACCCAATGGATCTGGCGAGAACGGAGATTGCGGCCACAGAAGAATACTGTTCGTGCTCATCTCTTGTTCCTTCATTATATTTCTCTTCACAGAGCACTAACATACGGTATCCGTAGGTCTCTATGTCCTGTGGCCCGGCCTGACCCCCGTCTCCCCCGGTCAGGAGACGCGACCAGCCAGCACCAGCTGGTTACCCCTCGCTTTACAAGACCGCACTCTATTTACCGCCTTCGTGTTCAGCTCTCTATCTCACAAACGCCTTCGGTGGCTCAATGGCTGGATTTCACGGGAATCCTTCCTGCCAGAAGAGCAACGGATCCTGCAATGGTGTGAGCTGGAAACCATCCAGAACGTTACACGAGAAGTCAGTAATCCCAGTCGAGCGGTGTGCGATTCAGTGATTCTCGCTGTCATCTGCATGGCACATAATGTCGCAGAAGACCACGGACGCGGCATTCATCGAACTCTGCCGTTCGATGCGCCGCTACCACGTTTGCAGTGGCTGGACGTCTATGGAGCCCTTCCGCCGAATCTGGTTCATATCAAAGGTCTGGTGCAGATGGTGCGGTTACGGGGAGGCATCGAGAACCTGACTCTGCCCGGGCTGGCTGCAACTCTGTCCTTGTTAGTCTGAAGTCCCTCGAGATTCCCGCTTTCCATACTAACTTATAATCCTCAATTCTAGCTCCGACATTGTGACCTGCAGCACCTTCCTCATGCCACCCGTGTTCACTTTTATTCCGCTCTTCCACGAGCGGCGAAACTTCAGCCTGCAGAAAATGCTCGGTTTCACAACCGTTGATGTAGAGCGCCGATACGCTCCCCTCCGGGACATCGGCCTCACTGCAGAAATGGTCGAAGTCTTATACGCCATGCATCTCTACATGAGGCTCGTCGAAGAGCACATCAAAGCCCACCTCGTCAACCCCGACTACTCCCTCATCTCCGATCAACGCAACCTCACCCAATATACCCTCCTCTCCCTCCCCGCGGCCAGCCAACTCGACGGGTTTGCCGCCTACAAGCCGCACGAAATCATCTACGAAGCCTGTCGTCTCGCGGCCCTCATCTACGGCGTCGGCGTCGTCTTCCCCCTCCCCTACCAGAGCACCCCCCTGGGCCAACTCGCCAAGCTCATCCAAAACGTTCTCCAAATCTCCGACCTCGCCTCCACCTGGAGCCACCCGCAAGCCCGCATCGCCCTCTTCTGGGTCCTCGTCCTCGGCGGCATCGCCGCCGACGACCGGCCTGAACGCGCCTGGTTCGTCCACGTCCTCAGCCAAGCCGCCGCCAGCCACGGCATTAGATCCTGGGTCGACGCCCGCAAACTCCTCGGTCTGATGGTCTGGTCTGATCGTGCCTGCGACCGACCGGGTAGCGATCTCTGGGCAGAAGTGAAACTGGCTATGGTTAGAATGGAGTGAACTATACCCCCCATACACATACTCTCTCCACGTGCCATCTCAATTTTATCTTTCCATTTCTCTTACCTTTTTACATTTATCTTTACTCCTTTCCCATGGCCTTATTCAGTGGTCTATCCTTTGTTTTCCATTCTCTTATTCTATATTTTAATATTTTATACCCCGCTCTGAGGAAGTGTGGTAGATCAGTATGAATTACGAGGTTACGAAGCAGCAGAAGCAGTGGAATGGGATGGAATGGGAAGGTTGTGTGGCAGGGATAACGGATACCTGCTTGGTGTTGTGTTGTGTTGTGTTGTGTTGTTGTTCGTGCGTGCGTTGTGCGAGTCGCGTGTTTTTCAGATGGTTACTAGTTCAGTACACTCAGTAGATTAGATCTTACTTAAGATGTATGTAGCTATGAGTATATACAGGTGGTGGAAGGAAGAGAAATTGAGAAAGGAATATAGTATATAGTAATGAATTAACATCATCATTTTATTAATTCGTGAATGGTCGATCTGGAGTGGGGTGGATTGGATAATACTGAATATAAAAACACTGGGAAAGGAGAGAGAGACCAAAGACAGACTTGTGAGTTGTGCCCCTAGGCAGATAAACCATCCCATCCAAACAATGATAATCCAAGAAGTTGCTGCAACTATCTATGTATCTATCTACAGGGAAGGAATGTATAGGCAATAAACCTTTTCACCAAGGCAAGGCATTTCAAGAAGGTGGAACCCCAACTGCAAAGGAAGATCGACGCCCCCGAATACTATCACCCAGCAGCGGTGTCCTCTCATCCGCGTACCAGTCCCGAGAATTCACCTGGTCATCGTGGCCCGCCACGAGTCCACTCTCAGCATTGGCTCCATCGGTCACATTTTCTTGGGCTAACTTGGCGGCGGCTAGCTTTTTAGTCTGCCATGAGACGTATGCGACCAAAGCTAGGCCAACGGGGAACGTTAAACCTGTAAGCATCGCGTTGACGGGAATGGGATTGCGATGGAAGACTCGGAAGACGAGTGTGTCGAGGCCTGTCTGAGCGAAGTTTCCCAATCCTGCAAGACAGATGATGAGGCCGTATACCTTGCCGAAGGTTTGGAAGCCGAAGACTTTGGAAGCGTAGTCAGAGACGGATGTATAGTAGAAGGGGCGATAGATGACGAAGAGGATGATATTGGCATAGCCGGCGAGGATGCTGGGGATGCAACCAAGGAGGCCAATGAGCGTAGCGGTGATAACGAGGATACCAAGCACGACTGGGGTACTAGCATTGTCGAGGATGGCTCCGGTGAAGGGGACGGATATCAGGCCGCCGAGAGGGAGTAAGACGTCAAAAGTGGAATTCAAAGCTTTGGCACGCTCGAGCGAGTGTAGAAGATAGGTGTATTGTTGACGAATGGTGGCGACGAAGTAGTTGATTCGAAGCATTTGGAGGACGGTGAAGAGAGTGATAAGCACGAACCATGGGGTGCGAATTTGCTGCAAGGCTGAGCGGCCATGCAGGGCACCCCAGACGCCGCCAGCAGTGTGAGGGATAGACTCGGTCTGTTCTTCTTCTAGTTGTGGCTGGTGGTCCTGCTCGGGCGTAGGTGCATGTAGCAAGTCCTCGATTTGATTGATAACAGTCTGCCGCTGAAGACGGCGGTCATTGCGCTGCCGTTCTCCTTCGTTACGGTCACCAATAGCTTCATCTACTCGGTCAGCTGCCTCCGCTACGATTTGTTCTTCCGCCTGCTGGACAAGCTCCCCTGCCGTCTTGTAGGAGGTTTTGGGCATGACCGTTAGCTGAGCACTCAAGATGAAGATCGGTACAATGAGATAGATAAGGAAAAACCGCGATGTAGTGAAGGCGCCCTCGGTCATCTCATTTAACAGCCGAAACACGAGAAAGAGTGCGCTGGAAGCGTCGAAAGCACCCGTGAGGGTGGACAGGATAAGACCAGAATGGGTCGGGAAGGTGTTCGACAGTTGATACGATGAGACGAAGATGAAAGGTCCCCCGAGGGATAGAAAGAGATACCCTGGTAAGTAAGCATCAAAGGAAAGCTTGGGTGCGAGCCCGAGCAGAAGGCTGCCCACGGTTAAACAGATACTGCCAATGATGCCACATACTCGGGGGCCATGGGTGTCTAGTATGGCTCCTACGGGCAATGCTGACACGTTTGTTGCAACGGCGGCTACCGTAAACATTAGATTCAGCCTGGAAGCAGTCGGTTAGCAAATACGTGCTGTTAAAGATCCGTATTTGAGCCGACGCACCGGATGTCCTGTCGATAGCATACATCTGAGCCGCTATCGAGCTCGTCCTTTGAGCACAGGTTGCGGTAGACTCCTTCTTTGACGAATATGGGCTTGATTGCCGCAAATCCGAAGACTATTCCTGCAGAGAACAAGCAGTATACAACTGCGATACAAACCTGCACTTTGGAAAAGTTCAGAGTCCGTATTGCTCACCACTGAGACATACAACTTACAGATTCGTTTCGAACGGCCAACCTCAAAGGCTCCCGTAGTTTCTAAGCCCACAGGTTGCTGTGGCCTCAATGTGTCATCTTCTTCGGGTTGTTCTAAAGGTTCGGCTTCATCAGCCCGAGGGCGCCTGGGCGAGGAACCTCTATAGGGTCTATCGAACTCATCCACGAAGGTCTCGTTCCAACCGGGCCCAGCATAAGGATTAAAGTTCAGGCGATCTCGGAAGGTTGGACGACTACTAATGTTTGATTGAAAGGATGATGACAGTGAAGGCTCCGGAAGGTCATGATATCTATCTTCATCTTCAGAGTCCTCTGGTCTCGGTTGACGGCGGAATGCGGCAGGGTTCTGTTCCCAAGACTCCAAGAAGGAGATGCGATTGAGAGACATTTCTCTACTGTGTGCAATGAGATGTCAGGCATGGCTAGAGACAGGGACTTGCTGTTTTTTCAAGTGGGTTACCTCGGACAATCCCCCTACCCCGTGATTCTGGTCCGCCGAGCGTCCAGATATATATAGTATGGTATGTATGTAGCAGTAGATATGCGAGGTGGTATTCGCGAGGGACAAGCTATGACGATGTCTGGTTGGCTGTGGAGTCCGACCCGTTTTCGGCCCGTCGATCAGAAAAAGGAGGGGCGGAGAAGCTTCAAGAGCCGAAAGGATACGTGGAATGGGGTAGTAGATAGGGCAGATAGAGCGTGGAACGAGGATCCCTTGCTGCAGTGGAGGATCAATTGCATCTGGGCGCACAGAAAGAGTCAACGTCGGACGGTGATTGAATGCATCGCCGATCCGGGATTTCTGTGCTGCGCCGCCCAAAGAAGAAGCGGCGATGCGCTGCCAGCAATCACCTGACTGCTGCTTTCCCCGCGCCTGCTGTTTTCGGTCACGCCTCCCATTCCTTCCTTTTTCTCTTTGTTTGTCTCTTACTTCTCGTTCCCCAATTTTGAGGGATGGAAATGGAAACTCTATTGCCTTTTGGCTTCACTTTCCCCTGCTCATCTTATTTTCTCTGATCATGGTTCTTTCCATGTTTACCATTAGTACTAATCTATCCCTTCCTCCCACTTTTTACTTTCCTCCGACCGATTCGTGCCCGAATATATAATTGTTTGGAAAGCTTATCAGATGTCAATTGGCTCACGTAGCTTTATGATCTACAAGCGTCCCCCCTCAAAGCCTTTAGACCCTCCGCAGTCTCCCTGAAGGCTGCAGCTGCGCCAAAAGGTTGTATGACTATCCTATGTCATTGGTCTGAACCTCCTCCGGATCTAAGTAGCGGCATACTCGTGTGCTAGGTCCTCACGGGATCCCAGAAACCATCACAAAATGGGGTTCTACTTAGCACCGCTGGATCGGTGGTGCCACCAGAGAGAGGTTCTTCATCAGGAGACTATTGCGTCTAGATCTTCCATTCATCATACAATACAATGGGCAATTGCAATGCTATTCCTGCGCAGGCAGACCACTGGCTCGATGGGTTGACGAGTCACTGAACGCCTCCCAGCTCGACTGATGCGCTGTCGTTTGCTTTTCCCGCCTAGTAACTCTGCCCTGAAAATATTCCGGCCCTCCTGATTGGCAGTGGCCACCATACCACACTAGATACAAGCGGAGAAAACAGTGTTCACGGACCATCCGGAGGCTGGAGCTGCGGCACACCCCTCACCTTGGTGATGCGAACAAATCCATTCGCCGGAGAGCAGCAATGCTGAAGGGGGAAATCAATGGACATAGGCCCAAGATCTGCGTGAGCAACAGATAGGGTCAACAGGGGGCTTCATGTTCCCTCGCCAATGGCGCCGGCAGTCACAATCTAGACCCGTCGAGTGGCAGGGGTAGGGGGACTTAGCAGTAAGCCTCTGTCGAATGGTCATTACAGGACAATGGCGATGTATCCAAGATGCTCACTAACAACCCACAGGCTGGCTAGGATGATCAATACTAAGGTCACTGTGGCTGGTTGTTGGTAGCTGGAACCCACCGGGGCCATGCACGGCTGACATCCCAAAAGTCCGTCACTTCGCAGACTTTTTTTCCCCCTCCCCCCAAAGCTCCAAGAAACATAGTTGCTGGTAGCTGAAAGTTGGATGGAGCTCCTGACGAAAGGTGCAATAAAAAGTGTCCATTGCTTCCTCGCTAGGCTAGCTTGAACCGAAACGTTCCGGCGCTGGTGGACTTCCCATTTAGCTCGTGAGGATTTTCTGCTTCGGGCAGTGATCAGAGGCGGGCGTGTGTGTCCATCACCATGCGCTTTGTCGGAGAGAAAAAGTAGCGACAATCGAAGCAGCGGCATCATTTCCCGAACCCTGGCTAGACTCTCCCCATATTGTATCCAGGGAAATTAAAAACGGGCGCGCTGGCTTATTTCTCGGGTGTGATGGGGAACCGTTTTGCCGGCCATGTTTTGGGTTCGGTTTGGGCCCCTGAAAGGCTGAAACCTGGAGGGACTGGCAAAAAAAGGTCGGGTCTGGTGTTCACGCTAAGGGAGAGATCGACTCGAGCCGTTCTCGTTTCTGTATAGGGTTCTTTTTCCCTTTTTCTCGCCCCTCCAATCCTTATTTGCTCTGGGGGCTCCATGGCCATCACGCCGGCGCTCCACTCCGCATGAACCATCCTCCATTGGGCATTTAACCGTTGAACATTGTTCTGCCCATCCTAATCACCGTCGCTGAGGCGGTCGCTTTTAGCTGCAGCCGAGTAGTCCAACATCGACTCGGCCTGGCTCCCCTTTCTCCTGCCTCTTCCTCTTTATCTTTCGCACATCAATGGCTGCTTCCTGCCGTTGATGCCTCTGCCCCTCCATGGCTACTGTTGCGACTGCCTGTCGAGGACCGACCTGACAACAACGTGATGAGGGGGTGGTAAGTCCTGGCGGCCCCTGGTGCGAATCTTGTTTCTCTCTTTCTTTCTTTCTTTCCTGGCCCAGTCTGTTGGGATGCCATTTGGGCGGCATGCGGCCGCTGCTTTTCGACCAAGCTAATGCAACTGTCTACGTACAGTCTCACCTGTCGTCAACGCCATCTCAAATGTAATTCGCTTCCCCCTGCAGAAGCCCGGTTTATCGGACGGGCATGGCCGATTTTCCAGTTCAGCGCCTCTAACCATGGTCTTCTAGGTGACAAGACGGGGTCCTCGTGCTTGCGATGCCAGCGATCGGGACGGCAGTGTATCCCGGCACCGACAAAGACGGAAGAGGTCACTTTTCGACACGGGCAAAATCCGTCACTGCGGCCAAAGGGCCCTCCCCGCTACGGAGAAAGCGACCTCGCGTTCCCTCCCGATCAGATATGGGTTGGGATGCCTGCGCAGGGTTGGTCCCTCTGCAAGAACGAAGGTTTGAGACACCGCACTGACGACGGCTCTGTAGTCTCCTTCGAGGACGAGACGGATCGTACGGCGGCCGATTATCATGTTCTTCCGGTAAACCCTCCATCAGCATCCCGGAAAGACACATTCAAGCGTCGATCTCTAGCTTCCACGGCAACATCCACGTCGTCGCATGCCCTCCAGCCTGTATTGTCCCCGAGTGACAGCACTCCCTCCAAGGCCTTTCCACCACAGGGCCTGGACCCAGTCAATTTTCCTTTTGCATTTGATGAACTCCGCGATCGACAGAAGGTCGCTAGTTTCAATGAGGCGTTCCTCCTTCGGCACTTCCGAAAAACGCTCGGCCCATGGGTGCTTTACCCCATTCTTCGATCAACGATACGGTTGAATTAAGGCTAATCGTCGCTTTCTAGTTGGATGTTTGCGATCATGAGAGACATTTCTCTTTGGATGTGGTGGAACGGGCACCTACGAATCCTCTTCTACTCTACGCATGTTTGGCTATAGCAGCCCGTCATCTCTCCCATACAAACCATAATATTCCCCCGAATACCGCAGATGGATATCATGAGCGGTGCATCGGGATACTCTTGCCTGTTCTGGAAAATAAAGAGATCGAGATCAGCATTGATATACTTCTTGCATCTACTGTGATATTGCGCTTCTTTGAGCAGATTTCCTGTGTGTGCCCCTTGGATAAACCCTCGAGTCCGATAGCAAAGTTTTCTAATATCTCGAGCAGCTCATAGCCCATCGAACGATCTACAACGGCATCTCCTGGCCGGCTCAGTCTATATCAGCTCTCAAGTCGAATGCGCTACATCAGGCGGACTCGCAGAAGCTTCGTTTTGGGTCTTTGTGGTGCAAGATATTCAATTTGCCTTGGCATATCAAAAGCCTCTGCGGTTGACATTGAGTCCGTTCGGGGAGAGACTGTACCTCTTGTGGCAGCACGCCTCGTCTCAGAAAGATCGAGACTGGACGCATAAGGCTATTTGGCTTCTTGCTGAGACGATAAATCACTGCTATGGGGTAAATCCATCGCTGGAGATGGAAGTTGTGGGTAGGAGTACACTAAAACGAAGGATCCATGCTTGGGATCTGGAGAAGCCGGATAGCTTTCGACCACTGCATTATTCCGCTGCGGACCCAAGAGTTGGCCGACCTTTTCCCGTAATCTGGTTCACAAAGTCACTCCATGGTATGTCAAAGACCCTTGGTAATATTGATGACCTGGCCGTTGACGTTCCTCCTAGCGATCGCAGTACAGCATATTTGTATGGCCAAAGCCTTGATCCTGCAACAGGAACTCAAGGCCCTTTATTCAACGCCTAGTCCACAAGATATCCAAATGACCGAGGTACGCCGCTACAGACTGCAACCTTCTGTGGGGAGCCTAACCTGTGCTGTTCAGGGAAACATGACGCGGAGTCTGAGTATTTTGTTCGGAATAGCACTGTCGGTTGATGACGAGATATCTCTGCGCGTCATGGCATGTCACGCACTGTGCGCCTGTAAGTAATGATTTCTGCCCTGGCTGCGGCCCACCTGCTGGATATGGAAGCCCACTAACTGATAAATTGGTCCACCAGGCGGCTCTTGGATTCGTGACCCTCTAGCGCAGACATGTCTGCTGGATCTTCTCCGGAGGACCGAAGCTGAGAATGGCTGGCCATGGTCATATATGGTCCAGAAGCTAAGCCAAGAGTGGCACTTGACCGCCAGGTGAATGCTGTTGATCAGCTGATCAGATCATTCCGCGCTGCTTCTCAGCCGCGTCGTGATGATCATTCACTTTTTGGCAACCGACAATTGCTTGAACACCACCAAAACTCCAAATGGTCTACCACACTTGACCGCTGTTTCTGCTTTATCCGATGGCTCGCTACGAATCATGATCAGCAAGTGGGGACCGGCCCAGCCAGTGCCGGAGTACGCCGGCTTGCAGACACTGGCAGTCTGGCACGCCGATCCGCAAGACAACTGTTTCCTCGCTAATGCAGCCTCGGCCGAATGGAATTGGCTCCTTTCGCACTTTATCACAATAGCGTGTGGGACCGGGGAGGAGGCTGTTGGGATTCTATCTCGCTTATTCGCCATGGCGTGCTGAGTGAGTGGGGCTCATGAGCGTACCCACTGACTCTGGTGACAAGCCTCTTGACTGGGTACTGCACGCGAACGGGTTTGTTAATTTACCAGTAGGATGGGGAAGTCTAATGTGGGAGCCGATCCTCGAGTTTGGAGCACTACTTGAGGAACATTTATCCGATCAGTCCCATATGTACCGGCGGACGGACACAAAAGTAGCTTAGTTTCATGACTCTTTCCTATGTATATAAATATACCCAGACCTGTACTCCAATAGTATAGATACACATGATAAAAACTTATAAACCAAGAAGAGGAGGGATATCATCAACATATATAAACAAATCCGCCCCCTCTTCCCATATCCAATCACCTAGAGAAATACACCCCACCTCAACTTAATAAAACCCCATCCCCCCATCCGCCTGAAATGGGAAATTGAGAATCTCATCTCCAAGCATATTCCCTAACATGTAGAGATTCTCGGGATCAAACCCCATCTGCACCCCCAACTCGGGGAAAAATAATCCCTGTATCGGATGCCCTCCTCCCCCTCCTCCACTAACACTGGCACCAGCACCACCTGGAGTCACCACCATGCCATTCCCATTACTTCCACTACCCGGATCAGCCCCGAATCCCTGTACATCTTGGTACCCGGGGCTAAAGGCAGAGTAGTATTGGCGAGGTTGAGGGGGGTACTGGACCCAGTTTGAAGATGTGGAAGGTGGTTCGGCGGTGGAGTCAGTGGTGGGACTGGGGTTCAGGGAGTGAGGGTGAGAGTGAGGGGGGACGGGCAGGTCTGATGATGTAGACTGTTGGGGTTGGGTTGTGAGAAGGTCGGGGTAACTACTTGTTGAGGGTGTTGCGGTGTTGGGCGTGTAGATGGGTCTATTGTTGTTGGTTGTTGTTGTTGATGCTGTTGCTGTTGTTTGGTTCGGCGATGGGTTGTTGGTTGTACAGCGGGATTGAGGGTCGCCCATGGCGACTTCGCTGAGGAGGTGGAGGGGGGTTTGGCCTTGACCTTGGCCTTGTTTGGGGGGTTGCTGGATTATAGTTAGTGGTGTGATAATTGATGGATGGATGGATGGATGGATGGATGGGTTGGAGGGTGATGGGGTAAACGAACCTGAAGTCTATCTTCATCAGAGCACTTAAACAGCGACAACGCGTCTTTGAGGACAGGTCCCTGGTCTTTGCGTTTCATGAACCAGTTCCGGAGTAGAGTCAAGACGACGCTGAATTTAGCAGGGGTGCGACCGCCCGGGGATTCGCCGGCTTTGGTGTAATGGCGGATGACTTTGTCCAGGTAGTATTCTGTCTTCAGGCTGCTGAGGTCGATGACTTGGGCCATACGGGTGTCTGGGCTCGAGACGATGGAGTAGATCTTGATGAGAGCGACGATGGCGAAGGACGTTCGGGCCAGAGCGATGGTCGGGGCTAGGACTAGGTCTTTCGTTTCGATGGAGCAGAGGACGTCGATGGCGTCGTGGATGGAGGTGAGGCAGGTGCTTAGGGCGTTGATGTGAGCTGGGCTAGTGGGGCTGGCGAGATCGTCGTTGGCGGATTTGGAATCGTCTCTGTGGAATTCTACGTGCATGGCATTTTCGTGGAGGAAGAGGTTGAGGATACAATAGGCCTGTTTCATGATGGCTGGGGTTGTGGTTAGTAGGTGGTTAACCTAGGTTTGGGGGTAGAGGAATCAACATACGGGAATAGTGCTCTGGTGGAGTTTCTCGACGCCATTGTTCGAGTTGCCTTTCGAGGACTCGGAGCGTGTAGAGGAATTTCGGGTCTGAGAAGGATGATACGGTAGGGGCGTCATCGGTAGTGAACTGGACGGCGATATCTTCGAGGATGTGGGCTAGCTTTGCCCATTGGATCATGGCCTTGTCGGATGGTAAGGCGTCTGGTGACTTCTCCAGTATTTCCACGCATTCGTCCATATATGGCAGCCATCGGACTAGATTCACGCGCCTCAGAGAGACGGCGACCCTGTGAAGTGTTAGCGATAGGTTTGGCATCATTGATAAAGGGATACGAACTGCACGGAGAGGAAGTAACAAGCAAGCCAAGTCCGTCTCGCCTCGGGTGAATCCAGATCTAGGACGACAGATGACTTCTTCGAGATAAGCTCCTTGACTAGGGCGAACGGCTTCGACTTGGGGATCGCCTTCCGATTGAGACCCAGATCCATCGCGAGTGAGACAGCAATGTTGGACAACTGATAGAATTTTACCTCCTCGAAGTTGTCTGGCGGCGAGTACCACTTGCAGCACACCAAGATCGCCTGGACTAGATCCAGAGACTTTTCACCTTTCACCACGACTCGTTCTGCAAGCACTTTGTAGAAATCATCCAGCAAGGACAGCTGCAACTGTGGTTGGATAGTACCGATCGCGGCCGCAACTATAGCGTGAAACAGCACCGGCTTCTTCTGCCGCACCTCATCCATCGTTGTGCCCGGTGGGAACACCACCATAGGTATAAGGGTGGCCATATAGTCTATATATTTGGTGAATGCCTCCTCAGCCAGTGTCTCACTCACGAGGCCTCTGTCAATCAGATCACCCCCGCCCTCGCTGGCCGTATCCTTGGGTTGTGGCTCCGCTCCGTATCCCATAGCCCGCCATTGTTTGATAGCCTTATTGTACAATGATTGGTCGTCGGATGGGCTCGAAGTGCGAGAAGACACTGGAGCAGTCTCTTTGATCTCCCCACCGTGTTGCCGCTTGCTCCCCGCCGTGCTGGATGGTGACTTCAGAGGTACCGATCCATTAGCAGAGACATGCGTTGCGGATGGCAGCCAGCGCCTTCCCGGATGCTCCTCGCGTGGCGGCTCAAGAGTCGCGGGCGGCGGAAGAGGGTGGGTTTCATGGCCCTGGGAGGCCTGCAAGCTTGCCGTCAAGGCATCGATCTTTCTCTCCAGCTCCGCCACGCGACTGTCGGTTTTCTTCTGGCGCTTGCGCGTGGGAAGGGTCACGATACAATTTCTGCCGGCCTTGGCGCACCGTTTACATGTCCCATTGGGATGGCTGAGATCGGGCTCGCATCGGACTTTGAGTTGTCGGCAAGCTTCGCAGGCGCGCGGACGTCGTAATTCGGCATACGGATCGTTCGGATCGACGGAGTCGAGTTGAGAGGACGTGCTGGGGACAGAGCCAGGTTCAGGCCCGCTTCGATAGATAGATGGCGTCGACTGGGAGTGCGCGGCGCTGCCGTAGTAGCCGGGCCCACTTGCAGACGAGACGGCGGATCGCAGCTGGTCAGCGGGCGAGTAAGGGGACGGTGGCTCGGGGTAATTGCTGCTGCGTGCAAGAGCGGAGGGACCGGCGGCATTGGGGTCGGGATGTCTGGAGGAGGAGGCCGGGGGAGGGATATATGGACGACCGGCTGCGGTGCCGTCGGCAGGAGAGCTGTCACTGCCAGCACGCAGACGCGGATCGATCTCCATCGGTTGCGGGGACTGGGTTATGGCATGTCAGCCTGGGTTGCACGATGACGGGTGGAGGGTCGCCATGGCCAACGGATTTTATCACGACCGGCAAGGAGTTCCGATCGCCTGGCCGCGTTATTCCTAGAAGGGATAGTAAGAGACCGAAATGAACATCAAGCTTACATTTTAATTTGAGAGAAAAGAAGATGAGGGGGTGGAAAGCAAGACGCCAGACTCGCTTGGAGGCTGCAGTTGGGCGAAGGTCGGAGAACCGGACGGTCGGTGACCGACAGCCGACGTGGAGGCCTCAGGCGGCGGGGGGGTGTTTAAGCCTTAATAAGGAGCCTCCAGGAGATGCTGGATAAGATGCATTAGATATCTGAAACCACGTTTGATGAAACCGGAGCTCTGCTGTCGGGTTTGATGCGACACTTTGTGCGAGAAGAAAGAGATGACAAAGAAGAAAAAGAGAAGAGAGAAACGCGGAGACGCGAAAGTCGAGCGAAGGAGCCTCAAGTGGAGGGGCGGCTTCTGTCGCCTGCGATTTCTGGTGACTGCGACTGAGCCCAATTTGCCGCCAGACTTCAGATATAACTATATAGAAATACCATAAACATCGTCCATTTTTATTGCTGGTAGCAGTCATGGAGATCGGATTTTTTTCTTCGACGGAATTCCTATAATTCTCTAGTCTTGAGATGGATTTCACTCAGGCTGCCGTTCCTATCGCTGCTTACGTGTGCACCAAATGCCATCCCAATTCCCCTTTTCTATCCATTACCATCCCTCACTTATCGGATCAATGAGTATGTAAGAGGTGTAGCATTCGTAAATGTCCAATGTCCTGTGGAAACAGTAGTCGCTCTAACTAAATGGCCAACAATAATTGCACTCACACGCCGAACGGTTGCATAAAGTATGAGGGGGAGATAAAGAACACCAAACAGAGACACTCATAACTCTCTTCAAGCAAGCATAAGCACCCCCGGCTGCTCATCAGCTGCACAAAAAAAGGAGGGAAAACAGGGCCAGGACGCCGGCTCAGCAAAATGGTGCCCGGAAAGAACATTTGCCTCACCAAAAACAAAGTCACCATCGGACCGACAAGACGAAGGCGGAGATCCAGCCGCAACAAAACCTGCACAGTACAAACAAGGCTCGCTATGAAACGAAGAAAACAACAACAAGACATCGGGCTCATTCAGGAGACTTTATGCACCGGGCACTCCTTCTTCCGCTCAAACCATTCAACGATGCATCGCTTGTGGAATTTGCAGAGACACTCCAGCCGCACCAGCGACTGGCCAACCTCGTATTCCTCCATGCAGATGGTACACTCCTGTAGCCCTCCGTCCTGTCCCACACAATCCTTCTCCGTCGCCTTGAATACGACCAGACGAACTGGAACGGGTGAGGACGCCGCTGGGCTGCCGCTCTGCGGAGACGAACGACCCTGTCGACCATGGCTTTCAATACAGTCGCGGATATGTGCCTCCCGACCAGCCTCGTCCCCATTGTTACCCAAAGGTGGAAGCTCTTGGTCACAAATCGGACAGAGATCGCGCTCTTCAACGTGAGGCCGACGCCACGGCGCTACCCCGAGGGACGAAGATCGGGCTGTCGAAGACACGGGCAATGAACTGGCACTTCCTCCCGCTGGATACGGGAGTGGTCGAGAGGACGCACCAGAACCCATTGAGACAGGATGGAAGCGGGAACTAGACAATGATCCGTAGTCAATGGGCCTGGGCCGTTCCTGCAGCCGTGGAGCAAAGGCGCCGCCCAATCCACCAAACGTCGTATAATCGCTTGAGCCTACGGTCCGTCGTCCGGGCCGTGAGGGAAACGTACCTGACTGCAGGTAATCTTGTTAGTAAGTTGGGAAAAAGATCATTCCGAGAAGGCATACATTGAGACTCACCAGGCCTCCATTATGCGGATGCTGATTAGCGGGCGATGACATGGAATGATAAGATCGATGTCCAGATGGATTGAAGGAAGTAGCGTAGCCCCCCTGCCCTATGCCTGAGCGCGATTCTGCTTCCCCGCGGCTTCGAACAGTCGCAAACCCACGAGGCGGTTCTGGGTTGGGATCTGGGACGCAGGGGTTACACAGCCGCACCTCCTCCCCGCCTCCCAGGGCCGGATTGAGGGCAGTTGGGGACATGGCGGCGTCGTCACCTTCCAAATCAACAATCGGAGCCGCGCGCGGGGGGATCAAAGAGGAGGATGCATAAGAACGACTGGGGTCGCGCACGATGAACTGTCGGGGAATGGTAATCCGGTGGGGGGAACATGACGCACACACGACCCGGCCACATTTACGGCAGTGATGCTTCCTGTACCAAAAGCTGAAAGTTGTCCCGCAGATGGGACATTTCGTCACCTCCGCATCAGGCTGCCATTGCGGCCGTGTATACTCCACGTAATCACCAGTACCCGTACGTGACCCCGATCCCCGTCGATAGTTATCGGTTGAGCCGGATGTACCCTGCGGCCGGGACTGCGCTGGCGGCGGTGATGTTAGATCGATGGGATTGGCATAGGACGAAGGAGGATCCTGAGGCGTCTGTGCCTGGAAGGCGGAAAACCGGGGGATAGACCTGCTATCCATCGCTGCTGCTCGACTGCTGCTCGGCCCGGCTTCCGTCAACGGTTCGGGAACTGCACGCCTCGACCACGCATCCGCCTCCAGACTGACTATCCGTCGCTTACGATCCGACCCGCTGAGAGTGGATCGCCGTCTCTCAGTGCGTCTATCTAGTGCAGGACCGGCCTCACTTGTCCGTAAATGCTCCGAGCTCGCATGAGGCTTGAGACCAGCAGAAGGCGGTGGGGCGGCGAAAGCGGCGGCGGCGGCAGTGGTAGATGAAGCAGATCTGGAAGACGCCGGACTCGACAAGGACGACATGAACTGAGGGAAAGGAGCAGGCGTAGAGAAGGTCGCTGATGAAGATGCTGACTGTCTGCCGAACGCTGCAGAGGAGACTAATCTCCGCCGTTTGGACGACGGACCGTCATTGACTGAGTGGCGCGACGAGGCCAGGATTGGGGGAGGGATTAAGGCAGAACCGCGTTTCCGGGTAGCGTGTAGCAGGCGTGGATGACGGGGGAGGACTGATGCTAGGGTGCAGTCTTCCTGGAAAGAAGAAAAGGAGGAGAAGGGAGAATTGGAGAGAGCATAAAACAGATAGACAGTGGATGCAAAGGCGAAAAAAAAGAAAAGGGAATCAATCGACCTTTCGGACTTTTGGGCGTCGAAGGCAAATCTTCGGCCAGGAGGGGGTCTCGTGACTCGGGCGCTGGAAGGAGAAGCACGCGCCCCGAAAACACCAGCACCAGTTCCTCCCTGCTGACGATAATTTGGTCAGGAAAGGGATGACCAACGCGGCTGCGATGAGGACAAGAGACTTCGAGCCGCAAGAGTGTGTGTGAGGGCGTGATGATCAGGCGCTTTACCGCTGGCTGACGTTCAACAAGCCGAGGATTGGCCGCGGGGCAAAATGGCGGTCCGGAAGGTGAGCTTCTGCTGCTCTTTGTCTGTGTGTGTGTGTGTGTGTGTGTGTGTGTGTGTACCTCTTTTATCGTCAACCATGAGGCTCACACCAATGACTCCAATTACGGATGTCCAGACTAGCCAGTTCCGTCGGGGAAAATTACTATCAGTGTTTTTGGTCAAGTCTCGGAGAATCTAGGGACACAATGCATACGGACCACTGATCTGGTGGATCTGCCAGCTCTGACTGTCAGGCCACCGGGGGATCAGCCACCGGGGGATCGATGTCCTCTCTTCAGAGATAGGCCGGTGCTCGATGATTTCACATGTCTCACACTTATCTTTCAGCTTCGTACTTAGTATGTGACAATGGGCTACAATCGCTCTATCCGCTTGGTATGGGTGTAAATATTTCAATAGCAGAGTTGCTATGTAGCATTATCAGCACCATTGTAAACGCCTATCCTCCAATCTCCGTTCACTATAGTTAAATGAAATTATTTCCTAACAGTCCATACACGAAAAGAAACCGCCAACCTATACAATATGCGACGCTGGGATTGCAGAACACAAAAAGGCCGTACCCATGCCTGATTGGCCGGGTTGCAAGGGGAAACGGGGGTCGAAACCGTGGCTGCGGTAACTCGGGCCACGATGCAAGAGCAGGAGAGGTTTAGACAGAAGAGGTGGATATGAGACAAAGATGGATACAAGAATGATAACAAGGAGAAAAAGAAAAAAAAAATAAAATAAAAAAGACACACGCTGGCCAGCAGAATGCTGCAGGATCCGGTTGCTTATTTAACGGAAATCCAAACCCATATATCACAAACTCCTTGCACATAATCCTTTTGTTGACGACACAATTGGGAAAAGAAATTCGTCATCTCCACAGCATTGCCATCTGGGAAATAATTTCGCTGATGCGATGAGACTGACAAGGCCGCCTTCAGTGTGCCTCGTCGTGGTGATGCGCTTCATCCACCAGTTCGGCGGCGCTGCCCGCAAACGATGGCTCGTCCGGACTGGCTTCGTGAATATTATCCTGAGTGCGGTACTGTGCAACGTAACCCATACTAGATGGACGCTCAACACGATTACTTCCATCATTCACCCGACGACTTGAAGTGGTAGATGCGGTCGTGGAGGCAATGGAAAAATTGCGATCTCGGGAGGCCGAACTACTAGCACTGAACGGTAACCGACTGGTGACTGAGGCTGAGGGATGGAGTTGACCAGGATTGTGAACAGATGGTTCTGCTCCTTGACTGGGTTCGATTGCTTGAACGGCGGCCATATCCGTCACCACAGAGAGGGGGTTCTGCGTCAAATCCGGCTCTTCCGGAGCCAAAGAACGTACAGAGCCCTGGCGTCCGGCACCCGGTCGAGACGGCGACTGGGAGCTATGCTGAGAACCCGCGCGACTCGGAAGCTCAATGTCGCCGCCCGTTTCTACCTTGGGCAGAACAGTCTGCGTCTCCGTAGACCGCTCGTTTCCTTCACCATCCGAGTCGCTGTACTGAGCATTGTTCTCCGAGGCCTCACGGTTCTGCTCGGTGGCAGCCTGCTCGTCAGGTTCGTCTCGGTAGGGTTCATGTTGGTCATGGAACTCTTCACTTTCAGGGAAGAGACCAGGCGGTGGTGCCCTGCTGCTGCGTACGACCTCGAAGCCTTTTCCTTTCTCCTTGGTTTTCCCACGGAACAGACTACGGAAGAAGCCGGTGGCAGAAGAAACCGGTCCCGTGGGGTCAGCTGGACCAGTCTTCAACTTGCGAGTGCCAGACTGAGATAATGGCGGTCCCCGTACTCGGTAGTAGAAGTCGACTTCACGGACCGCGTAGTCCTTACGTGACTGCCGGGGATCATCAAGGTCAAGGTCATCTTTTGGTGCCGGAATGTACGCGGGAGTAGGCGTGCCCCTCCCAGAGACCGACGGCCCTTCGATAATATCATCATCGATCTCTCCATAACTTGAAGATCTGTGTGTGTGCCGCGATGCTCTACCCTTCTCTCCGGCAGCCCCCATATCCATGACCTTCTTGCGAGGTCGCGGCGGTCGATAGTATGGGTCATGCGGATGCATCGCAAAGACGGGACCGCTCTTCGGGGAGTTACTTCCTGGGGTATGGTACCCGGCAGCAAAGCCACCAGGCGTTGAGGGCGTAAAGAAACCGCTACTGTTTGCCCGACTGTGGTTTCCACCGTGCGCACTGCCTGAGTCAAAGATTGCGCTAGCCCGCCCTTCACTTGCACCAGCACGGTTCAAAAGCATGGCTGAGCTTCCGGAAAGGCTGCGAGGTCTCGACCCGTCGAACTGGGATGACAATCTGTCATCGGTGTGCGCTAGCATGGCAGCTTCTGATCCCATGCTTTGACGAGTGGCAACGCTTTGTCTGGGCACACGCCGTGATAGTTGCCGCATACCGAAAACCTTAACCAGTCCACCGCGAGTAACACCTCCTTCGTAACCTCCCGCACCTGCGAGTCGTGCAATGACTTCGATAAGGGTCTGCAAAGCGTTCAAAAAGAAGCCGAAGACCATTACTAGCGCATGAAGGAACAGAATAATATAGCCGATCCATCCTCGAGCGGCCTGTGAGATGCGCAAGGAAGGAACAAAAACGACGCTGAGCAAGATCGTCAGGAATCGAACGATGGAGAAGCACGCATGGTAGAGATTCATCGAGGTTGGCGACGGGAACGGTTTGAAGGCTATCAGGGTCAAGATCGACACGACCTCGCAGATGGCCAGTAGCACGATCTGAGCAATGCCGGAGGGCTGTAGCGCCCCAATTGCAATACCACGAATGAATGTCAAAAATATTGGCACCAAAGCGAAGGCAGCTGCATCGTCACAGAAAGTGTTGTAAAGCGGGCCGTAGAGAAGTACGGTCGAAAGATCGTCGAAAAGGTAAGACTTGGGTCGAGTAGTCGCAATGAGCCGCACTGTCCACAGGGAAAAGCCGGCCAGTATCACTATGACCACCACTGCGAGTGCGACAGAATATGCCGGGGATTCGCTGGCAATAACCAACTGGAAGAAGGATATCGATATAACGGGGAGCAGTAGGAAATTGAAGACGACCCGGACAATGTTCCCAACAGTGAAAGGCATGTTCTTAGATCGAAGGTCCTCCTCCGGGTTGTTAGCGATCTTGCGAGAGATCGAACGCAATCCGAAAACCACCTGAATAAATAGTGTGACGGCGACTAAGATGACTAGTAGCCAAACCATCATCCCGGGCCAAATATCACGCGCTGCAGGCATGCCGACATACTGATCCATTCTGTCCAATCCGTAGGTAGCATTGACGGCATAGACACCATCCTTGACGGGGTTTTGCTCGTTTCCAGGGTCCAGGAAACTCTGATTGAACATGAGTACGGACCAAGCAACCCGGCTGATCACAGGCTGATAGAAGCCAGGGTAGTTAAGGGTCAAGGAGCCGGTCAACACTGCAAACTGGATGTACTGTAGACAGTCTCCAAACCCAGGCGTAACTAAACGGAGCACATCTTCGTCACGACCGTAATTACTGGTCCAGTGGAAGGGGTCCGTGGTGCCCCATGGGCTATAAATTGCTGCCGTTACCGTGGCAATTCCGACCAGGACAAGAATAACGAGGGGGATATAAGACAAGGTGCTTTTCAGAGACGACCCAAGATCTGGGGTGATTGCGACGGATATACAACCGAGCTGCGTGGCAGCAGCGTCGCCAGACTTGATCACGAGCCTTGACGACAAGGTCGAAAAGTAGTATGAGGAAAGCATATCGTGTTCAATCGAAAAGGCACGCAAAGCGGACAAGTCCGACCTATACAGCGAGGGTATTTGTTAGCCAGTGCGCAAGACCAGAGTGAAACAGCGTCGAACAAAAGGGGAGTGCCTCACGAGTTGACGTAGAAAACGGGGCCCAGGGGGCAAGACCCCTGGAAGACCGAGTCGCAAAATCTTGTCGGTTCATGGTAAGGAGAAAAGCTCAGAACGTCGATTGACGACAGAAGGGTTGAGTATTTGTTGTTGGCGGTATCCAAATCCACGATCTTTCCGACAGTGTCATTCGGGTTGGACCACTGGGGGTCATCCGGCGATGGATAAGACTCCCCGTTCGCAGTTCCCGAGACGTTTCCATACACCGATATGTTCAGAGGATGAAGGGAGTCGTGCTGGTTGAAGACAACGGACACGTCGAACGGGACGAACTGCAGCTGTCGTGGATCTGATTGAATCACGGCGGCATCCAGACAGTTCTCGAAGTCCAGCAATACCGCAGAGGCAGGAGGTATCCAAGATATCAACAGCACAACCAACATCAAGCTAACACCACGGACCCATGATCGATCTCTGCGCCATCGCCATCGCCGCGTCGTTTGCTGATCCTGCGCGGGCCCAAGACCTTGGATATCCTGTCTTCTAGGGGCAACAGCTGAACCCGCATCATGGTGCCATCTCGCGTCGCGACGTACAGACATTTCGGCCATCGACAGCGAACGGGATGACCTCCTCGGGGAGGTCAGTCCCCCCGTAAATGAGTCAATCCACGTTGTCCAAGCGGTATCGGAGAATGCCAATAACCCCAGGACCTCAGGTACCTGACCAGGCTCCCAGTATAGCGAGTGACGTTTCCCAGTCGAGTTCCAACGAATGAACGGACGGCAGGTAGGATAAAAAACGGGCGAGTCCGGCGAGGGAAGGGCAAGCTGGATTAAGGGAAATGGCAGGGTGGCTTGTGGATGATGGGCTATCCGAGAACAGGAGTGGATTACTCCTCGATCTCCCCCAGGTTGGTGATGTAGGGGATGCGCACCATCACTTCGGGGGTTGGCGGGGAGGGGAATAGCCAGGCTCGGAAGGTGAGGTAGTAAACACGGGAAGTCAGCAGCAGTTGGTTAGTGGAGTGAGAACGAGTGGGAAGCCCGATACGATGGGCAGTTTAGACTTTGTGCAAGGAAAAAAAGAAAGCACCACGCTTGTGAATCTGCGACAAGGCAAAAGGGAAGAAGGAAAAAGGGTTAAAAAAAAATTAAGATAGTAAAAGAAAAAAGAAAGAAAAAAAAAGTTGGCATGATTGGTATGCGAGGCCCCCCAACTCGGGCTGAGCGAAAAGGCCCATCGATGCATCCACCATTAACGGGGGGGTGGGCTTTGCTTGCTTGCTGGCTGACTGACTGCCTGCGCCGTCATGTTTGTTCTCTTTGCTCTCTGGCAGCCGGGGAGCGACGGATTCAGTTTGGGGCGGTAGCACTGCTAGTTGGTTCTAGTGGTGGGTGGCAGTGAGTGAGCTTCTAAACTTGGCAACGCTAATCCTGAGGAACCAAGTCCCCCAAAGTCAGCCGAAAGGCAACCCACCCATGATTATCCGCACACAGAACTTTGATCTGCCCGGCCGGAGTAGTAGCAAGTCTCGTCTTTCTTGTTAGTGAGTATCATCTACTTGCTAGTTGGCTAATTGCTAGTAACGTACAGTAGCAACGAGCTACGGAGTATCTACGAGCTGCTAACCTCAAAGAGGCTCATGCTGAAGGTTGTCTCACCTCTCGGTCACTAAAATTACTCCAAGTATCATGGTCCACGAATTACTTGACAGCTATTATTATGTGTCGTTCATTTCACATTTGCTAATACCGCCCTACCTTGCGCTTCCTTGTCTCGCATCACACCGTGGGCTCAAATCAACCTAGCTACTGAACAAGTAAAGTGCTATCTACCAGGACTGATGAGATGGCAGCAGCCCCATGATGAAAAACCAAATGATTTGGCGGTGGAATATGACGGGCGGACAAAAGGTCGAATCCGGAAACAGAGTTGGGGAGCTGGGGAGCTGTGTCGGCACTTTCCTGACTGATGGCCCATCGCCGTGTAACATACCACTCACTCACTCACTCACTTATCGTCAAAGCCAAGGAAGAAGGCCGGAAAAGGCTAAGATCCCTTACTTGTCACTGCCGATTCAATGCCAATACAACCCTCAGATTGCTTCCCCTCCCATACTGAACATATTGATGAATTCGATCTTCAGTAGGATCTGACCACAGCAATTGAATAATTTCTTTTCTGGTTTCGTCTGCCAGGTCACAGGACCTCGGTTTCCTTGGGTCTCACTGAGACTTTAGTTTCTAGACCTTTCGACTGTGTGGGTTGCCAATGAGCCAAGACACTGAAAACCCGAGACAGTCGAACAATGTAGCCCTATACAACCGATATACATGATGACAGGTGGGTATCCGGGCGTCGGGATTCAGCCATGTCCCAGTCTAGTGCACAATGTCGCCACTGCTAATTGCACTAGTTAGTTAGCTATTCATCGAGATGAGTCGGTAATAAAGGTTCTTTTGTTAGTTAGCTAGCTAGCTACTGCCTATTTAGCAAGTATCACTTCAGACAGATAACGGGTAGTAAGTAGTATAGGTAGTAGTTATAAATTGGGAGAAGTAACCGTCATCCGGAAAAGATAGCTTAATACCAATTAGCAAAATAAAGCTAGAGAAGGAACCCAGCAAGCTGCCATTATTAGTCGGCATAGTCAGAAGAGATCCACCGTCAAGTCCTCTCCCAACTCTCAGCGATTATTCTCGACGTACGGGTGGCTATGGATCTCAAATCATTGGGTAAGCTATTTGACGGTTGATCCCTGTGACCAGTCCTTGCATCTTCCGGAGGCTGTGCCACCGAAGGATTATTCAATGGCTAGCAAGACAGAGATATTGCTCTGCTCTGTCCAGAGATCTGTTCGTTTATTCCCTTCCTCAAAGGCACAGTGGCCTGTTAAGGGGCGGGAAGAGGCCAGAAAATTTAATAATGTAGTTGCCTAACCGCGGTAGACTGCCCCCGGTGCTGAAGAGTTGACACGTTTCGCCAAAGCTTAGCACGAGTATTGCCAGTGGAGAGTGTTAGCAAGAATCCTATTAACACGCCAAATTTGAAGTTAGCGATCCTAGCTGAACCACTTTTAAGTAGAAAGCAAGTGTGGCGCGAAGTAAGTACGTGAGGGAGCGCGTCACCATAGTCATGCCTCTCAGAGGGAAGGATCGCAAAAAAGGGAGCAGTAGTTGGCATGTGGGGGGGGTTAGATATCCCACTCCGTACTATCTATATTATCGCCCCCTTCAAACATCCATGTGCTTGAAAGAATTAAGTGACTTACTCAGTCATGAGAAGACGTATGCTGTCTAACTGCCAGACTATTATCCGGTTAGCGATTTGAGCTGCGATAAGCGTGAAAGATCAAGCTCCGGGATTGTGGAAAAGTTCCTGACCAATCCGAGGGGCGCAACAATTATACCTAGTACTATTGTACTCAGATGCTTCCCTGTCTATATCCACGACTGTGTGCTACAGTAGTAGTGCCTAGTAAGGTTGCATTGGAAGATTTTAGCCTGCTACCTTATTTTATAACAAGACAGTACAAAGCGTCACGTTCTCCCGATGGTGATTGGCTGATAAGGTTGATGGATCTCCCAAATCTCGACTAGTAATAACCAAATAAGTAAGTAGGTAAGTAATTCCCTGGCAGTCCGTGATGTTGTACAACCGGTCGCCATGCACGGCTACATACATGCATGCGAGGTGTTGGCCGGCATCGATTAAAACGGAAAGCCGAGGCTTGGGCCCCAGCCCAGCACAACTACTCGATCTGAGTATCTACATCAAGGCGCTTGGGCGAACTTTATAACCTCACATTAATATATTTCTGTCCTCTTATGAGTAGTGACATTAAAGGGTGGTTCTGTTGTATTATGCGACAGGGGAATATGAAGGGACAAGATGACACTTTACAAGTTAACCAACTTGTGCTGCTATTTTGGTTCGCAGTTATGATTTAAATTATAGTTATATTGTTCGGAGACATAATCGATGCGTCAAAGACACTTAAATGTGGAGACTTGAGGTGATCGATAAATTCAATGGTTGATGATGCCACTCCGGCAAATGTAAATACCGTTCATGTCTGAACGTTATCCCTACGGAGTGCTATCATATTTCTGTTAGTATACTATGTGGATCAATAGTAGTAATAATATGGTGATATCTGGTCAATCGCTTAGTAGTAGTACGTAGTACGCCGTAGTATTACTATATAGTAGGTGCGGAGCACCTAGACAGAAGCGAACGCCAAGAAGTTGATGGGGGCGCGGAAAATAGTGCTGTCAAGCTTTCATCGTTGTAGGATGTTGTTCCAAGTAAATAGGTTCATTAGTTAACTAGTGGCTGGTGTTGACCCATAATCTGCGACGGCTGGGTAGTTGCCGCCCTGAACATCAGTCCCTACCATGAAGCTCATTCGTTGATGTGCATGAGCGGCAAAGGATTGCTCAAATAATTGGCTTTGCTTTGATCGACCGAGGGACTCTCAGGGACTGGGGGATAGCGCGACGGTGCGCCGTAGCGAAGACGGGAAATGATTGACCGGAAATGAGATCATTAAATTCCCCCCTTAGATGAGGGTCCTCAATCTCCAGGTCTTTAGGCAGTAGTAACAATTTCGAATCCGTGACTCTGTTAATGAACTGTGTAGGTTTTGAAGGCGCGTCGTACTGGTAGTAGTTGTTGTTGTCTTGCCGACATATCTATATGGCGACCATCAATGTATCCTAACTATGAAATGTATGCTGGCACGAATTTCATACCGAACAGATGATGATTATATGTGCGGCATTTGAATTTCTTGGCAGTCCTGCATGTCCGGCGAGCTGATCGTATACTTGTTGGGGTCCTATGGGCATCCCGCCCCTGTTATCTACATGCAGGCAAGAAGTACAGTGGCTATCCATGTAGGGTAGGGAGGTAGATAGTCAGAAGAGAAAAGCTCCGTCTTATGTGTAACTGATGAACGAGATCGTTCGAAGCCTCTAGCTAGAGTTTCAGTTTTGCCACCGCCAGCTGCAAGGTTGAGAATATCAGTTCAGCAGATGTCGGGAAATAAGTGTACATTATTATTTCTAGCATTGATCAACCTTCTTATGGGCTATCGAGTTCAGCAATGGCCGTGGTGATATCCTTCTTTCTCAACCACTACCACCACCACCCCCTAGCAGCGGGAGGCATCTACGTATCTACTACTTACTACTTGCTACTATCCGGCTTTTTCCCAAAACTTTCCCCCAAGCAGACCAACCGTGCAAGGTTCGCCGGGGGCTCGTCAGCGGCCCACCGAGCAATCAGCAGCCTCACTCCAAACGGACTAGGGGCGCGCGGGGCCAGTCCCGAGGGGGACTAGGGTCGTTTCAAGCTGAGGGTCGGGGCCAGCCAACGGAACGCACTGGGGGAGTGGGCTCCAATCACACATGCCACACCAGATTGATCGGTTTCTCTGATAACAGGGGGTTGTGTTTCTATTCGCTTTGATTCATCTCCAAGTCCACGTCAGTTTCAACCTGCGGTTTGGGTAGTGCTCCCTGGGCAGTTAATAATAGCAGTACAGTCTCATGGATGGTTTTACCGCCAATATCAACGGAGTATCTTCCTGGCTACTAAAAACAGCCCTCGGCTGGGATCGAGCATTCTCTTACCCGGATGGCTTGCAATGGAAAATAGCCGACCGGAGAGGCGGTGCACAAGAATGCTGCCAGTATTTCCCAAATATTATTGAGGACCCAGTTGTGGCCCCTGCAGTTTTAACGATAGCTGTTGACCTGCCATTCCTTTCCTGCTTTATGCCCCGATTCCATTGTCCCCCACGTGATCGACCAGTCAATGGTTCGCTGCTTCGTCTCAAATACAGTACAGTACTACTGGCTGGCTGATTTATTTACTCCTTGGGAGGAATGAGTACTAGTATAGTATAGTATAGTAGTACGTACGTAGTAGTAACCATCCGCCCCCATCACTGTGGCATTCGTAAGCACCAAGAGTAAGACACACACACAGAAAGAGAGTGGGAGAGAGAGAATGGAGAAAAAAAAGAAAAATAGAAAAAAAAAGAAGAATCAAGCATCCATTGTCAATGTTTATTCGACAGTCTAGAACCCAAGAACCCGTACAAACTCCCAAAGGGCGGGTACCGACCACGTTGGCCGGGATTTCCTGATTGTAGCCCCAAGGATTGATGAGGTGGATTGAAGAATCGCAACCAGTGGAACACCACTGCGGAGATCCTCCTCTCCCTAGCCTGCCTGAGGTACCCGTCCCTCGGTCGGAGAGAGGTTTAATAGCACGGGGTCGTACCATCACTCGTCCACATGTTCCTGATTGTTTGTGATCTTCTTCTTTTTTTCCTTCTCTCTCTCTCTCTCTCTTTCTCTTTTCCCCCCTCTTTCCTTCCCTCTTCTCTGACTGTTCTGTCCGTGGCTGGAGCATTGCTCTCCCCTCCCATATCTCGCAAATAGCTGCTGGAACAGCTTTGGTCTCTTACCCCGTCTCTCCCTTGCTACAATCCACACCTCCCGTCCCTTCTGCGGAGTACACAACCGGGCGGGCTGAGCTATAGTTCCCTACTATTACCACCCATCGCCTTGAGAAGCTGGGAAGCGCCGAACCCACTCGCGCTGGGCGTTTACAGATATACCTACCACTCTACCTTTGAGTTCATTGGTTAGTCTGGCTACTGCCTTATGCCCCTCTATCTAACCCCTGAAGTTTCCAAGCTCAGATAGCTTCCCCCTTTGTTGCAGCGCCGTTTCCTGAAGGTAATTTAATTGGTCTTGGTAGATCGCTCGTCTCCGAGTCCCACCAGACAGCGCAGGTAATCGCGCCAGTCCTGCTAGCAGTGTCATACAACCGGCCCCGTTCAGTTGGGTAATTGCGCTGCACACACCCACTTCTGGTGTTTGTTATCCGCTAGCTTGTTCCCTTTCAACGCCGCGCGTCCCTTTCGCATATTGAGCCTTGCGTGTGCGAACAGCAAGAAGTTCGAGCGAGTCACTTGTCCCACCAGCTGCCACTTCCTCCCTTCCTACTGCGCTATCCGAGCTGCTATCTTGTCTTGACGACTACCATTACTTAGTCAACTCACGATAAGGTGTATTCGTTCACGCGCCGTATCTACCCTTACAGAACTGTCAACAATAGTCCTGCCTTTGCCGATCCTCCACCTGCGCACAAGCACCTGCGAGATCAGCGGGGAATACAGACGGACAGGAACCGCATATACTTCATCAACCCATCCTGAATTTCCTGCGATGCTCAATAGCAGGACGTATCGTGTTTCGGAATCGTACCTACTTTGAACTTCATCGATATGTCTACATCTACTGAAGATCCCTTTGCCTTCATCACGAACGAGCAGAAGCCAGCCCCGGCCAAAAAGCCGCATTGGAGAGAGAAATTGTTCTCAAAGGACAAGCGGGTCAAGGGCTCTACAGATCAGCAGATAGAGGCTTTCCTCGCACCTACGCGCTCCAAATCTGTATCCTACGGAGCCAGCCAGACTACGCCTCCGCGATTGGACGCCAGCCAAAAATGGCCGTCGGCCCACGATGTCCTCAATGCGCCCTCATTGAACCCTGCTCTTCATGATGCTCCCCCGCCCGTGGACTTCACAAAACCACCCTTCAAGAGTCGCCGGAAGGGGTTGACAGTCAAGTTCAGTGCCCATACTCCCGAATTGATCGGAGAAGGCGGTGATGAGACTGACAGGCCGACAATTGAGATCTCTCTGTGTCGCAATAACCAGAATAGCCATGGTCCCAATATGGTCGATGATTTGGGTGACCGCCAGCCAAAGCTTCCTCAACTTCGTCTGGACACTTCGTTTGGTGATTTGAATGCCCCGGCGCCACAGCAGAGAGATGCGCCGAAGGGGACACGCATAGAGGACTGGAAGCCGCTGTTGCTACAAAACCCTCAGGACGCTGATTTCCTCATGACATTGAATTTGGGAGAAAGAGGGTCGCGCTTATCATTCCGTGCTTCGCCCGAGTCCCACTCGTTTGCCCAACGTATACGGGACAAGATGCAAGCTGAGGAGGGACGTGCTTTGCAGCACCGACTGCCAGATCCACCCTCCCCTGCAGATGAAGCAGGGGTGCAAAGTCCGGCGGAGGCTGTTCCTGACAGCCCCAGTTCAACCTATGAGACGCCTCCCCTGTCCGAGACAGAACCCAGCCCACCAGAGAATCCGTTTCGGGAACCCCAAATCCCTCCTCACATCGATCGCAGCCCAGTCGATCGCAGTCCTGAAACCCCCGTCCTTCCTTCTATACTCTCTCCCGGAGGAAGTGCCCAAAGCCTTTCTCCTCCAAAACGGCAGATCATACCCAAGATTGCGGACCAACCTGACGGGCCACCTCGTCCAGCTAGTAGGGATAACCGCGATACTTCCCGGAACCCCCAGCCGACAAAGTTTACGTTGCGGTCTGTTGCTAATCAATTGGGCGACACCGCCTTCACTGATCTGAAAGCGTACATGGCGCAGTTTAAAAGCTTGATCCAAGCCTCCGCAGAAGATGCCAGGCCCATACAGGACACCTCTCTGTCCGAATGGGTGAGAGCTGAGGTGTGGTGGTTTCTGCGGGGGAAGAAACGGCTCGAAGTTTATGCACGCTCGCGACCCTCCAGCTCTGGCACACGATCACCCCTTCTCAGCTCTACAGAAAGCGCGAAGCAAGCCATCGTGGATCTTGCTAAGGCCCTATGGATCAATGAACACGTTGTCCCTCAACATGATGAGGTGACCCGCTATGGCGCAAGGAGTATCGATGCTGTGATTGCAGTAGCCAACACGACCGGGAACGCACAATTGGCCGATCTCCTTAGTCTACACCAGGCGATTATGAACCATTCTCGCTCATTAGCCATGTCTATCAAACGAAACAACATCCTCGTGGCTATTGCATCGCAAGGCGATTCCGCTATACCAGTTGACACCAGTGTTTGGATGCGATATCCATCCTTCGCTCTGGACGTGGCGGCGGTCCTCTCAGGTACAGCAACAAGCTCACTGCTGGCGGACACGGCAGGAAAGGCCCCTTCCTTTGTACAAACAATGCCACTCAGTGATACCAGCCGCTATTTTAGCTATGGGACCATGTTTGTTAATGTTCTTGTCAGCTCGAATGAAGACGACATGCCGAAACTGTCTATGCCGTGCGCATTGTCCATAATACGTGATCGTGCCGACTGGTATGTCTTCGCCGCGATAACTAGTCAGAATGAACTTGTCAATGTTATGATCCAGTCGGACAGGAAAAAGGGCCCTACCTGGGACAGCGTGGACTGGCTAGTCCGGTCACATTCGATCAGGGTGAAGCTGCCACGTGGGTTCGTTTTGGAGGTCGCGTTTCAAGAGGATGATTTCAAGAATATCTGGAACATTGTCCAGTACACCCGCAAGACCGAAGCAAGTCTGCAGGCTGAGTCGGGCGAAACAGTAATTTTTGAAAACACTCTAAAGTCATTCCAGTATATGGACCCTGGGACGCCGAAAGCCTTCCCCGCTGATCCTATCGAGCGGTGTCGGCTTCGGTTGTTCGAAAAGACCATAACTCTGACTGAGGGTACTGGGAATAGAATACTGCATCAAGGGTTCCGCCTTGCGGTGCTCACGAGCCCAAAAGTCAAAACGCTTAGCAGCGTGCGTCACACCATTGGGTTCGGTACACCTGTTGTTTTCGGTCTGCTCCGAGGCGAGGATGGAGCGCCAGCCCTTCTACTCAAGGTCAAGGAGGAAGGGAGAACCCGTTCTATGGTGATGACGTTCTATGAATCGGAAGATCGCACAACCATGCATTCCTTGCTTCTGGGTATCCAGCCTAAGGCAAACGAGGTTAAATCACCTGAGATCCCTATCCGTGCATACACTGTCCAACAGCCTGCCGACCGTAACACTGGGCAGCCAGCAAAGGAACACCTCCAATTCCCCGCCGGTACAGTCTCGATCATTGACCGGGAACATACACATGTTGAGCATGGGTACGGTCCAACGGTGCTATCAGAGAACCTGCGTGCTTTCATCGCAACCGAATGGGGGTCTGTTACGGATCGGATCAATCTCGGTATGTTTCTCAGAAGACTGTTGAGAACCCCACTGACAAAATTGTAGGGCCCGGTGAACTGAAGCTGGGGCTTGATGTCAACAACCGGACGGGGCTCAGTCTGTACCGACCTGGGCAAAAGGACTGGACTGTATCCGTCGCTGAAAATCTAGTCCTTCCAGAGATGCCGGATAAGATATCAGCCTTCTTACAAACCGCTATGGCTAAACCGATGATCCGCCGATTCGACTTTGCATCTGTACAAGGTAATATCCACTGCTCTTTACACTGAGCATGAAGAGTATGTACTGATATACGTCTCAGATCTTCATATGTTCGAACGAGCTGTGACGGGCTACCAGGTGCTTTTTGACAGGTATGCATGGTTGATTCTTGTTGGGAGGGTTCATAACTGATCTTGGCCATATAGTGTGGCTTCCTCGTTCGCCATCTCACGACGCCGGATGGTTGTCCCGATCACCAAAAAGTGGGAATCCAGCCTGGCTCGCATCCAAGTGATCCGGCGCGATAGGATAGTGCAGCTGGTAGCCTTCTTCAGTGACTTCCATCATGGGAAGTGTATGAACTTTGTTCTCAAAGGCACCGACACCCTGGAGAGCTTCGGGAAAGCTGGCAAGTTTGGGGTTCGGATTGTGGATGCCAAATTTGCTCTGCCGAAGACTGAAGATGACCCGGCATCGGACTTTGTCTCGCTGGACTCTCCGGATTATCCAATGGAGCACGACGATATTTCAATTGCCTTTGACTCTGAAGCAGGTATGCCGAGTGAATCCCTGGCTCATGTGTATGCGCTGGTGTCGATGCTGATACTTCCTAGATCGGACGAATTTCCATGCGGCTGTGCCCGGGTCAGTCCGTGAGCCGTCGAGGATGAGCTCTCTGCGTCGTTAAGCTTGAAGCTAAATCCGACTGCCACCGATTATTCAGTATCCATCTCCTTTCTTGAGCACTCATCCATCCATTCATCCAACCATTTTCACCTAACCCACTAGTCGGCCCACGCGTCACGTGCCGGGTATCCGGTGCGGAGCAGCTCTCACCCCCTCTTCGGCTCCCCTTCCCCACTCTTCCTGAGTCACGACAGCAAATCTCCGAATGCCCGGCATACCCGGTTGCGTCCGCGCGGCCTGATGTTTCTTCTTCCCATTCTTTCACATCATCGCCATGGCTCCCGCTAATCGAGAAATGGGCGCTTCCACGCGCGCTCTACATGTCGACGATGCCCTGAATGTCGTCACGGATGTAGCTCCGCCAATTCACGTAGCCACTACTTTCCGCTACTCTGACAACCCCGATGATTTAGTGCCCTGGGCCGACCGCAGTGGGGTATGTCTTTCGCTCCCCGACCGAATGCACTCCGAGCTCGGTGCTAATCGTGCCCCCGTGTTTAGGATCAGAAGAACAACACAGCCCACGTCTATTCTCGGCTGACCGCCCCTAATTATACTCGGTTTGAAGCTATCTTGTCTTCACTCCTCAACGGACAGGCCATTAGCTACTCCTCGGGACTGTCGGCTTTGCACGCGGCGCTCGTCCTGCTTAAACCTCGCCGGATTGCCATTGGAAACGGCTACCACGGATGCCATGGCGTGATCTCTTTGTTCAGTCGCCTGACTGGGCTTCAGAAGCTAGATTTGGATTGCCCGGCCGAGCAGCTGGAGGCTGGCGACGTGATCCACTTGGAAACGCCGGTCAATCCCGAGGGAACCGCCTTCAATATCGAAGCGTATGCCCAAAAGGCTCATTCTCGCGGCGCGTACCTCATCGTTGATGGTACATTTGCTCCGCCCTTCCTTCAAGACCCTTTCGAGTGGGGCGCCGACTTGGTGATGCACTCGGGGTCCAAGTATTTTGGCGGACACAGTGACGTTCTATGCGGAGTCCTTGCCACACAGCGTGAGGATTGGGCGAAACAACTGTTTGAGGACCGGGTCTTCTTGGGCAGTGTTATGGGGAACATGGAGAGTTGGTTAGGCGTTCGCAGCTTGCGGACTCTGGAAGTCCGAGTGCAGCGCCAGAGCCAGAACGCAACCAGTCTTGTATCCTGGCTGAACGATGCACTGCGTGCGCCCAGCCCGGCTCCGGGAAGTGACGAAGCCGTGGTTCAGCGCGCCCTCGAACAGGTGTTCCACGCCAGCTTGCAGAAGGAAGATGAGTCTTGGCTGTTGAAGCAGATGCCTAATGGGTTCGGACCGGTATTCTCGATCACCATGAAGACGGAGGATTTTGCTCGGAAACTCCCGAGCAAGCTGGCCTTCTTCCAGCATGCCACCAGTCTTGGAGGAGTGGAAACGTTGATTGAGTGGCGGACAATGTCGGATGCGACAGTGGATCGCCGGTTGCTGCGCATCAGTGTTGGGTTGGAGAACTGGGAGGATCTCCGGCAGGATCTGGTGAACGCGTTCAAGGAATTAGTCGAGGATAAATAATGACAGAACTGAACGATATCCAAAGATATTAACTTGGTACTTCACATGATTTTAGTAATAAGATGATCTCTTGATCTCTATAGTAATAAAGTTGAAAACCTACTCCGTACCAACTGGACAACCCCGCCGCCACTCTTATCCATGTCCTTATCAGCAGACCCCGCACGGCGGCTTTGTTTTCTCTTTATCTTTCTCCCCTCCCCAATCCCCCTCAACCAAGCCAACCAACCAACCAACATAACAAATAAATACATCCACCCCCCTTCTCCTGATATTATAACTCAACAACATCCTACCCAAATATGTCTACAAGCACAACATTCCAAATCCACTACTTCGCCTCCGCCTCCACCTACACAGGCAAACAAACCGAACGCCTCCCCGCCCCCTTACCGCTCCCTCAGCTCTTCGATACCCTCGAGTCCATGTACCCGGGGATAAAAGAGAAGGTGTTGACCAGCTGTGGGGTTAGTCTGGGGGATGAGTATGTTGATGTAGAGGCTGATATCCAGGTGGTGATTCAGCCCGGGGATGAAGTTGCGGTTATTCCGCCGGTTAGTTCGGGGTGATTTTACTTTCTATATGGTATGTGTGTAAAGAACGGAGAGAGAGAGGGGGGTTGAGTTGTTTAGTGGGTTTGTTGTTTTTGGCTGATTATGGTTGGTATAGGTACACAATAGTGTGAAATAGAAAAGGTACATGCGCTGGATGGGGGGAAGTCTGGAGTATTAGGGTGGGTTTGCTTGGTTATATTTGAATGGAAGGCAACATAGGAAAGAGAAGGAATGAAAGGGACAGAGTGGGAGGGGATACATTAGGGGCGAAGGGGGGTTGGGGGATTGAAAGCATCAGTGTTATCATCACCGTCAGCAGCATTATTAGCGCCATCGTCTTCGTCGTCTTCAGCATCATCAAAATCAGCATATCGCGCATCATCTACCCATCCAACTTCTCCACACCCGCCGCCTTCTTCTGTCTCCAGAGCACGAGCCCGCAAACTCCTGAAAAGAAGAACATGATACTGCGCACACACCATCATTAGCTCGGTCTACGAATTCCCTCCGGACATATCTCACTCACCACATAGCAATGCACAACCCCCAAATCGACTTCGCCTCTAAACACACTGACTTACTCGCCCCAATCCAAGCTGTGTAATTCACTGTCCCGCCACTCAAATCCTCCAAATAACTGCTCAGATGCGTCGCGAACGTATACGCCGATGATCCGCTTGAACCGTCGCTGCTTAGCTTGTTGCATTGCAGATAGGATAGCGGCTTTCCGATGATGACTGACACCACGATCACGGCGATGAGGAGGAGAGTGTCGAGTATGGCTGATACTAGGAAGTGTAGGATGTTGTCGAGGAAGAGGATGGTTGTGATGAAGCTGTATATCACTGCGATGCTGGTCTAGGTGTCATGGTTTGGTTAGAGGGGTGGTGTTGTGTAGGTGCCTAGTGGAGGAGGGTGAAGACATACCACTGTGATAGTTCCAATGAAGATTGCTGGGGGCGTGGCGCCGTTGGAGACGATCTCGGCGATGAAGTTTGCTGTTAGCCCGATGATAGCGACGAGTGAGCAGAGCTGGATGATGCGTGCGCAGACGAAGGTTGCGCCGAGGAGTCCGTGGGGTGCCATCTTCTTCTCTTTCGATTTCTTTTTGTTGATGGTAGCTGTATCTGCTATGGCGAATAGATGAGTGTATTATAGGATAAATGGCTCGATGCCGTATACTTCGCGAGAGAATAAGCTGTAAACAGAAGGGAGTGTTGTGCAGTATTCCAATCACACAAAAAGGACCGCTAGCCAAATGGCCGTGATTAATATGTATGCAAACACGACAATTGAGATCAAACAATGATACAAAGGAGTGTAGTAGCACAACAATCCAATTGAAAGGAATGTATAAAGACAATAATAGCAAAGAAGACTGAGAGAGACCGTGAGTTTTCGCTGTTTGGCTTGAGTGTAGACAAAGCAAATTGAGGACAAGAACAAACCTCTTTAAATATTCCTCTCCCAAGCACCTATTCAGACCATAAAGCTAGACGAGAATCTACAGCACACGAGCTCAAGTTCCAGACCCAGACAAATTTAGCTACACCCGTGCCGTGTTCTAGATCCGACCGACGATGATCCATCTGGATCTTGATTGCTGAGCTCTCATTGCGTGATGAAGCGCCGACGGGACGGTAGAGTCTTGTCCAGACTTGTTTGGAGAGCTTTGTTTGGAGAAGGTGAAGCGAGCGCTTACTTCATAGCTAGCTATCAAAAGGATGAGCTCAGGTAAGTGCGCGGTAGAAAAAGCTAGGGCTGCACAGGGATGGGTCTACTCCACACCGGCGCTTGGAGATGCCATAGCGGGAACGTTCCTGGCCAACGACCCACGAGAGCTTAATTGAACCTGAGACGTCTGGCGTGTGGATGATTGGCGCGGAGAGTATTATGGGGTTTTATTGCAGTGGGGAGAGGGACTTGCTCAGCCTCATTCCGTCTATTACTATCAGAGGGTCAGTACGCCTGTACTTGGATGGGGAATGGGGATGGGAGGCGCCTGCAATGCAGATCGCGCTGTCGCCGTCCAGCTTCTCGGGAGAGTCGTCTGTGGCGTTTTCTATATTAAGGATATGCGTGTGAATTGATTGGGATTGTTTCGTGGAGAAGCGCATTGATTCAGGGTAAATGACCCGTACCTGCAGTGGAAGGATTGTAGACGGGATGTTGTGGTTATGGGTACTGGCTGAGAGTGAGCGGCAATCTTCCTTGATATGGTCTTAGCAATGGGATCTGCTGCGACTTGTACCGCTTTGGGGGTTGCTTATCATGCTAGTATTGTCGGTGTCTGGTTGTGTTTTGGAGGCTTGTTTAATTGTACATAGGTGCTTGGTACGTCTCCGTGTGGGTATAATGCTCATGTACGGAGCTGGTAGGATATGGGTAGTATCCTCTTTCTAGTGCGCTTGCTGATTAGGTGTTGAACTAGGTTGATTGTTAATAGCTGTTTGGACTTGTCATCGTGTCCTGTAAATATGTAGAGGCAGAGCTCGATCATGACGTAAATCTCGTGGTCAATTTGCGGATTGCTTGGGAAGTTGATCTGATCCTGCGCCACTCCTGCATTAGCTGATTCGAGTTGTCGTAGTCAGACCACTATTGACTGCGCCTCTCGCCTTGTTTATGCTACTGGTCGCTGCGAGCATCGGAAGGAAGGAAGGATCCAATCATGCTGAGAGTACAATTCACTGCTTTGGTGACGTGCCAATGTTGATATTAAGGACTCATATTGTCACGCGCCAACCGTTTGGTTAGGGAGAGGCCTTACTCTAGGGGGGATGTTGTATCGTTGGTCAATGCTTCGATATGCGCATACTGCTTGCCGTCGAAGAGACAGGTTGTTGAGCTGCGCAGAAATAGTAGTTCCCAAAGACTAATGCAGAAAGTCCGCGAACCAGGCAGGATCTCCACTGCAGGTCAAATTAGTATCAACTATGACAAGGTCCTGTTATCTAGCAGAATGACTCTCAGCCGTACACGCAATGGCTGCTTCGTTATTCTAGTAGCGCTTCAAAAGTCCCGAATCCCCAAAGGGGCTTGATGGTATTGGTATCTACTACCCAATCCAGATTTGGCATCATTGGTAGATCCCAGCATGCTAGGCATTATGGAAGCTTGAAATTGGATAATATATGCTTTTCGAGGCGTGTTGTCATTAGTAGCACGAGGGTGTTTATGCTATCCTTCAATGAGATGGAAATATCCATTGCTCATTATTTTCACAGCGATGAACGTCTCAACCAGAACCTACCAGCATACATGCTTAGACTTTCCCCACAGCGGTTCCCTCATCAAGATTTGGCTGAATGCCAGAGTTCTTTGACTGTTATATGTTCTGTTCTTGGCATGAAGCATCATGTCTCTGTAGTTGCCAGTTAAGCCACGATGGTTTGCATCATCCAGGTAATAGCGTATGCTGCTCAACAAAGATTCGAAGACTGTATGTGAATTGTTCACAGTGCTAAGTAGATGGCATATTTCTGCTGACGTCTCCGAGCTGGCCATCCATTTGGACACAAAACCCCAGCCATACTCACACATACTACGAGCATAGTAGTATATATATTGTGCATATCAAGCGCTTCACAAAGATCTTCCAACCACCTCTGACCGAGGACAATTGACCATTAAGCCAGTGCAGTAAAGGCATATACATCGTAGTATTTCTCCCAAGTTAGTTTTAGATGCAGATGGTCAAAACTAAATCACTCACGCACCATGTTTTATGGCACTTTACACAGTCTCAGTTATAGGTAGACAGTCCAGCCGTCATTATAATGAGCTAAAGTGCTAAGATCACGCATAGAGTAATGAGTTATTGTCTTGTTTGTAGATAAACTTCTATGGAAGTCTTTCGACCCCTCCACAAGGATAATAGTAGCTCACACCCCCAAGTCAACAATTGCATAGTTCGGGCAAATTTCGGGATTCGGGGAAGCGCCAGGTACGCATACTCACCGCCCCAGCGGTAAGTGGCAACTGCCGGCAGTATATAGATTTTACAGCCGCGGAGATTCGCCGCACCTGCTTCCACGCCTTTCGCCCATCAAGGAATTGAGCTCAAGGTTGTGGGCATGTATGATGGGTGGTCCAGAATGCCTCTGTTACTCCCAAAGACGAGAGTATTTCAGAGAGCGGCTGGTGTGAAATACGCGCTCACGCCGAGACTTGTTTGCGGAGCTGGCTCGCGCGCGCCACCTATCTTACGCCGCAGCAATCTCTCAGATTGCTCACAAATCGTATCACGGAGATGCTTTAGCACAGGATCAAAGGTACGGACCCGTCAAATCTTGTCAAACCTTGCTGGCTAACTCTAATTTCTTGGTAGTATCTCGATCAGGACCTGTTAAACTCGTCAACCGAGGTTCTCAACCTCCGTCTCAAGCTCGAGTTTGACGAGCACAAGGACATCCGAACCTACCTGCGAAAATGGCAGCAGTCCCATTCCAACGACTTGGACCCTGTCCGAGGCCCAGGGACTTCGAACTCCCTGGACGCATCGGCACCTTGGGTGGGAAACATGCTCAACGACAACCGTGAGGCTCGCGATGCCGGAAGCGATGCTCTACGAGCGGCAGATGATTCTTTAGAATTCACAAACTCGGCCGATGAAGGAGAGGGACTGCATCAATACTTGGAGCCGGGTGATCTGGTGGCGATGACTGCGTAAGTGCAAGATACTACTTTGTGCTGCTGTACTATGGCCGCTAACTTCTTTGCGAAAACAGCGTCGACGGCATCCTGACATTCGCCATCTACATCCGCTCCATCCATAAACAGCAACAATTTTATACAGACAGAGGGAAATGGCGAATCGCTTTTGCCAAGGATCTTGACTATGTCGTCAAGGGATTTGTGCCTCCAGAAATGGTTGCGCCCCTGCTCCCGCACGTCCCGGGCGCTGCTGCTCAGATGAAGACAGAGTTCCAATCTGTGACCGAAGGCGGAGTCCCGAGAAATGTTGGTGCGGAGCTTCTCAAGAAAATGTACACATTCGACCAAGAGGCGCAGGAGCTGTACCGCGCAAATGCAGCCCGATTGGACAGCATTCATGACATTGTGGCCGATGAGGAAAACTACCGTGAATATACCTTGGAGGAGCTGACCTGCAAGGCGCTTGATATTGAAAGGGATCAGCTGAACGATGTGCTCTTGTTCCTCGTCCATCGTGTCGCTCACGCTAATGCTTTCTTCATCGAGTATGATCGGAGTTCGCTTTTTGCCAACCATTACCTAGTCAAACCGAGACGGATCGCTAGAGTGTTGGACACGGTCACCACGTGGGCACACGAGCACCAAGATCACCTTTACCTGAACGTAAATGGTAAGGGGCTTCCCAACTTGAAGGACCATCCTCTACAAAAATTCGTCCAAAAGGCTCAGCGTCTCATCAAGCGCAGCCGAACCGCGCGGGCGCCCACAACCATGGCTTGCGTCGGCCCAAGTGCTCATCGGTTCACCCCGGACCAGGATGGTAAACCTACGGTCTATCGCGAAATGGTTACAGAAAAGTTCAGTGACACCGATCTTATGATCATCGAGTACTTACAACTATGGTGTCTTCCGCCGCGCAGAATGACGTCTGGGACCATGCGCTCGGCCGGTTCGCACATAATGCGCAGTACAGGCATGTATGGCGCTGTGGAACTGAATCCTATGACAGCTACTCTGTTCCTACAAGAACTGGGTGTTTTCTACCCCTGGGAGAATATCCGCTTGTTCGACCAAGGCCTGGCTCTTCCCGGCCACGGCATTTCTCCCAGCTCGGATGCGGCGTGGGAGGAAGTCCAGCAAGAGTCGGAAAAGCTCAACTCTCAGGAGCTTCCTGATAAGATGAAGGATGTGCGTACTGACTGGGGTGACCTACCGGTTTATTGTGTGGATGATGCCACTGCCCAGGAGATTGACGACGGCGTATCTCTTGAGCGCATTCCGGGAATGAACGATACATTTTGGATCCGCGTACATGTTGCCAACCCTACTGCATTCCTTGATTCTGAAGGGAAGGTTATGCAGTACGCCGCATCGCGTCTCCAGACGATGTATGCCCCGGAGCGTACATATCCCATGATCCCGAGCTCCCTCACGCAGAAACACTTCAGTTTGGCTCCTGGCCGTCCAACTCTCACCTTCAGCGCGAAAATGAATTTGCAAGGCGAAGTTCTTGATACCAACATCACGAATGGAGTGGTTAGAAACGTCATCTACATAACACACGGCAAGCTACGCAGTCTTTTCGAACCTAGTCCTGAAAAGGAATTGGAGCCCTTGAGAGTAGGGGGAGAATTGCCGAAGCGGAATTTGCGTGAGGAGTTACAGGAGGAAGTAGATGAAAAGGATGAGTCCAATTTCCGTACGCTGAGACAGTTGATGCTGGCGTTCCGGGAACATCGTCGCAAAAACGGCGCCATGGAATGGCCTTCATCGCCCGACATCTCTCTCTCAATGGCTGCAGGGACAGAGCCTTTGGCACCCTCCAATATGAAGGTGACTGAAGGGCGTTACGTTCTTGGCGATCCCGTCATTGAACTGGCCCAACAACAAGTTGATCCTCACGAAGTTCCTGATATGACGAAGCGCAACCTTATCTCGACTCTAATGAACCTGGCCTGCTGGGTCTCTGGGAAATGGCTGGCCGAACGCAACATTCCCTCCATATACGACGGAACCTACTATCATCCGGAATACCCTAAAGTAACCAATGAGAATCTGTCCGAATACGGAGGGCAAGCTTGGCTGCAGTTGGCAGCCCCGAAGGGTGTCTCTTCGTCTAGTCCTCTCCACCATACGCCTCTTGGACTTGACGCCTACGTCAAAGCAACCAGTCCTCTACGGCGGTACACTGACGTCCTTGCTCACTATCAAATTGAGGCTGCGCTTCGCTTCGAACACGAGCATGGCCGCCGCCTGGACGCCCATACGGATGAGCCTGCTCTTCCTTTCTCTCGTGGATATGTTGATGAATATATTTCTCGGTCTCGGTGGAAGCGCAATCGCATACGGGAATGTGATCTGGCCTCGAAGCAATTCTGGGCATGCATGCTTCTGTTCCGTGCCTTCTACTTCTCCGAGTGCCCACTACCCGAGTCATTCGAATGCTTGATTCAGCGGCCATACAGCAGCACCTCCATGGCTGGAACGCCATACGGAAATGGATATGCTGCTGTTATCACATCTTTGGGAGTTCGCTGCCAGGTCTTGATACCCGAAGAGATGTCGGACGCGCCTGACCTGGATATCCTCAGTATTGTGGACGCTAAGATTACTGCTGTTGATATGGCACGCTCCCTTGTGGTCATGGAAGCAACGCGGGTCGTTAAGCCGTTTGAACGGGTGGGAGAGTGGAAGTGATACACATCTGTACAGTTTAAATATCGAGTCTTTGGCCATCGGTGTTGTTGTTGGAGTTCCGGTAATAGCATCAATTCTTAAACGCTCTCATCTCTGGTTCATATACGAAGCGCCTGGGTGTCTACATCATACTGTATCATAGCTTGCAAATAAAACACAATGTCAATATACTAAATGGGCAAGAGCAACAGGGCTCATGTAACTTCCCTCGTCACGTCTCATTGATCCCCACTACTCGAACCTTGAGCGTCCACACTCCCTTTTCCGGACGCTGCACTACCATCTCTCGCGTGAATTCCATATCCTTTGGGTGCGTCTCGCAAAGTTCCAGGTCGAAGCGACGCACAATGGCTGCCAGCGTCATGTACAATTCTGCATACGCCAGGCTGATCGCAATGAGCTCACATTATACATCAGAAGTGGAAGGTTCTGTACTCACTTCATGCCAATACAAATCCTACTGCCTCGTGTGAAAGGAACTAGGTACCTGGTAAGGTTGTCCCCTCGGTCGGCAGCTTGGATCCACCGCTCGGGATTGAAGCTTTCAGCGTCACGGAAGATCGCAGGATTACGGTGGACGAAATAGCTGATTGTGCTAACTGGAGTCTTTATATACAATTACTGTCAGTTTTCTATCGTTGTGTTCGAACAGTCATGCTTACACCAGGCGGGATCTCGTATCCCTTATAATATAGTGTCTCTGTTGGTGCCACTCGCGATGGCCTCAAAGCCGCTGCTCCAAGCCGGAGAGCTTCATTAATGACAGCCGTCTATCAGTCACAAGAAACTAGTACTCAGTGTCAATGCTCGCATTTATGTAGTTTTCGATTGCATACCAGGTATGGCAGCCTCTCCAGCTGTGCCCAGTTCGCTTCACTAGTTGGCTCGGGCATGACTTGCTGTAGTTCTTGCCGGAGCTTGAAATACATGTCTTTATTCCGCAGAAGATGATATGTGGCCAACGTCAATGTTGCTGCCGTGCTTTCGGTGCCCCCGAGGAGGACAATAAAGCTCTCATCGCGCAGGCGAGCTACAGACCGCTCGCTGGCAGGTACAGAAAGATCACTCAGAGCATGGTAGATTGTCCTTCGTTTTGCCCCGCGTTCAGACGCCAGAGCCTTGTCTGATTGACGGGCAATCTGCTCCTGCATGTCATAAACATTAGACAGTTCGGGACGAACAAGGCGCATGAGCTGTATTGGCAAAGCTTTGGTTAGGGTGGGAATAAACGGAAAAAAGCGGAACAAATGACAGGCACTAGTGCCCTTAGCCAAGATGCCCCATACTATGTTTCTTTTGGCCAGGTCTGTTTCTCTCAGATACCCGTTGTCTTTGCCATAGAGATAGTGTGTGATGATGTCTCCCGTAAGTGCAGTGAAGGCTGTACTTAAAACGAGCACCGCTTGCTCGGCATTTACCCGTTCCAGGTGCCATGCAAGAAAGGAAACCTTTTGCTGAACGACTCCGGAGAGCTCAATTACAGCCTTCTTCGAAAAGAACCGATTCAGTGGGGCTCGACGAGCGCGGTGGAGGTCATGATCGACAGTCGCCAGCGCCGCATACGATGATGCATAAGCTGACACCATGCACGGATCCTTCTCTCGCTTTCGGCCACACCCAGCATAGATTTCGTCGTACATAGATGGGTCAGCGATATGGACTTCTCGCGGGTTAATTCGCACAATTGGACCTTCAACTATCGTCAGTGTGTTGCATTAACAGTGGTCTGACAAAATACCATATATTCTATGCATTTTCTCAATTTCCCATATGAACTTTCCACCACGAATAACATCATGGTAAAATTCATGCAGGTGAGTGGCAGCTGCTAGTTTGGACCCTGGGATCCTGCTAAGGGGATGAAAGTAGATACGGTAAATTGCTCTCACGGAGACGCAAAAGACAACCAAGAGTGGAAGAAGAAGGGTAAACATTTTATACGGTCAGTTTACCTCGAACCTTCACCAAAGACCGCATCTTAACGGTGTGGTCTGGAGTGATATACCGGCTACTCATATATAGTAGCAATCCCTGCACAGAAGGCATGCACCCATATTGCGAATCCCCTCGATGAGTAACGCTAAGAGACTCACTTCTCAGACCTCGAAGTCGGGATGAAAGTCCGTCCAATACATTGACTCGTTGATATTCGGCGCAATTCGCGAGACCTGGCTCGTGTTTCCGATAAAGAGTCGTCCAGCAGGCCCTACCATGTGGCATTCTGCTTATTGCAAGTTTGTGGCTAAACAAGCTACATACGCCCCAGGGAAAGTGTTACACATGCGACCCGAATGAAAGTGGATACATCGGATGGCGCCAGGGCATCACCATAGTCGAACAGTGTTACCAGTAATATCAAATGGTCGTCGACGATCCCAATCTCGAGTACCCCCACTTGTCGAGGAATACGTTGCTATCTTCCGTCCTACTGAGCAGAAACATGGTGGCTGAGCGAACAGACATCTGGCTTGCAGCTGTGCTAGGGCCAGGTGAGTACTTCGTAACCTGAACTGATTGGGATCAAGATTTTGATAGTCTGGCTGACACAATTACTATGTTGTGAGAGGAAAGGGCTACATTAATATCTTTAGTCTAGTTGTGCACCACTGCTATTGGATCCGGGCCGGCAATATTATATCCAGCATGTCATCCCGTCTTCCGGCCGATCTCAACATACTACGGGTAAGCAGCTAACTGACCATATAGAATGCAGGAACTGTGTTGTAAACCGCGCCAATATCAAATTTGCAATCACTCTAGGGCTTCACGCCTGCTTCCGTCCTGATTGTAGCGGGCATCCGCTGTAGCCGCCACCGCATATTCTCCGAATAATGTCCAGAGACAACCCGACGCACGTTTGCTCCAGGACTGCATGGTTTACGAGCAGAACCAATACTACTGACATAAGCCACATGCACAGGGCTACGTATGTCATATTCTCCGATATCCCAAATTATAAGTGCTGTGTGAGAGCATTAGAAAGAACCGAGACATTGCATTCAATTTCTATGATGAGACTTTCATAGTTATCGAAAGCATGTTGTGTTATAGGACCCTTTTGTCTTGCAATCTTTGTCAATCCTATCAAGGTTTCGTTCCCTATAGCAAACAGTCACAGAGGGGAAAAGAAGATTGTCTCGTGCACGGCAACTGCAGGAATTACGCCAACGGGCGGCCCATTCCGCCACCGTTGATATCGACGGGACTTCCGAGCGGTTAAGAGCGAACTATAAATGGTAGAGAGAGTAAATAGCGGTGGAGAATTCAGGCAAGTGATGATGGATCTGTTTGTCATGAGCTCAGAACATTAGCAATAGCCTCGCGGGAACTTACCCTACACGTAGTTACCCGGACCAAGATGCCGTGCTAGGCTGATGTTACCAGGCACGGGGCTGTATAGAGTGCTCACCGATTATTCTCTACTCTATAGAGGGATATCTTAAGTTACATGGGATCAATTTAGGCAATCAACGTTGTGGATCATCGGCCCTAGTTAGGCTCGGTGGTATTCTAAATTCCCTCATTTCTGCACCTGCTAGCACGACGTCGAGTAGTATCTGGGACATTCCTTAGTAAGAGTAGTTAGTTTGGCATCAAACAACATGCACACCAAGTAGACTCAACTCAGCGCTATGCCGTGCCCCTCTCTATCACATTGCATTCTGAATTAGGCGGCTATGAAGGGTTGTCCATGTATACTCTCTACTATGAACAGAGAAACAAACAACACTCTACACAAAGAATACAATTGCATCCATCTATTTTCATCCTCAGATAATACACACAGTTCTTCTCTTCCCAAAATCAACTATGTACTCCGTACTATCTATCCTCCTCCCCCCTCACCATCAATTATGCAAACTCACAAAAAATCCCCTCTAAATCCCAAAAACCTCCTTAACCAGCGTCTTCTTATTAACTAACACACCAAATCAGTCAGTAAATCATCACACCAAGTAAAGAAACGTCCAAGTGACCCTTCAGATCAATCGAAAGAAAGAAAGAATAAACTCACCCTTCCCCATCGCATTCCTCGGAATCACTCCCTCCAGAACCTTCATTTCCTGCGGCATCTTATACCCCGCCAGGCGATCCTTCAACGCACGACGCATATCCAACGCGCCCCAGGGCTTATCGCCGTTCCGACCGCCTCCACGAGTTCTATATTCAGGTCTGAGGACCACGATCGCAGCGACTTTCTGGCCCCATTGTTCCGAGGGGAGGCCTACCACGGCGGCTTCGGCGATTTGGGGACTACATAGAATAATGTTAGATCAATTGATGTTTGTTGGGAATGGGGCTACTCACAGCGAAAGCAATTCCCTCTCGACTTCCAACGCACTAACCTTCTCTCCACCCGTCTTGATGATATCGACGCTCAGACGGCCCTGGATGAAGTACATAGGGCCCTGGGCCCATTCTCCACTGGTACCGTGGCCGGCGGTGGTGACTTCTCTGCGGACGGCTACGTCGCCGGTTTTGAACCACGGTCCTGACTCGTCAGGGACGAAAGACTCACGCGTGGCTTTTTCGTTGGCCCAGTATTCCTTGAAGATGGTAGGACCGCGGAGCTGGATCTCGCCCTCGCGTTCACGGCCGGTGGCAGCGTCGCGCTCTTCACCGGGTTTAATGACCTCGTTCGTTTCAGTGTCGACCAGTCGTGCTTCTACGGAGGGCAGAGGCCAGCCGACGCTGCCGTCGACCCGGTCGGCGAACTCTAGCCCGCAGCTGATGGCCATGCCTACTTCTGTCATGCCGTAGCGTTCGAGAAGGACGTTACCGTTGCTGAGGTCTGACCAGGCTTGTTTTGTCGGCGTGGGGAGGGCGGCGGAGCCGGAGATGTTGAGGCGGAGGTTTTGGGGGGAGATGGCCTTTCGGGCTGCTTCTTGGGTGGCAGGGGGCAGGTTGGGGAAGGAGGATAGCAGGCGGTTGTAGATTGTGGGGACAGCTGTGAGGAAGGTGATTTTGCTGGGTGTGGATGTAGATGCGGAGGATTGGGGGAGAAACGGAGCGGCGAGGCGCGTCCAGACGGCGTCTGTGTTGAAGGGGAACATAAATTCAATGGAGGAGCCGGCGAGGATGGGCGTCACGATGGCGTTCACGGTGCCGTGGATATGGTGCAGGGGGAGGAGGTGGAGGAGGTGGTCTTGCGGCGTGTAGTTCCAGGCTTGGAGGAGAGAGGCGGCTTGGGCTGTTAGGGCGGATTGGGGGATCAGGACGCCTTTCTGGGGTTGGTTAGTTCTGTCTCGGTGCTGAGTAGGGATATGTGGAGGTGTGAGAGGGTCATACGGGTCTGTTGGTGGTGCCGGATGTATAGAGCATCATCCCGCCGCGCGATTCGATTCCGATATCCTCCAATGATACTGCACCCGTGTTACTTGCGCCCACTTTGGTCTTCTCCTTGATGTCCAGGATAGGTTCCCGGTCTAGGCCAGCCTTAAATAGTTCTTGTGCTTTCCCCGCATATTTCTCCGTCGCAAGCAGCACCTTGGCCTGGGAATTATCCATGATATACTTCAGTTCGCCGACGGGGAAGGCGGGGGACAGCGGAAGGGCAATGGCATCGCTAGCGAGGATGGAGAGCAGCGTCACTAGTACACTCCGTTAGCAAATGGCATTCCATTGGGATCTCATGCATAGGACGGGGTCACAGTACCTACGTAGTCGTAGCTATTCTCAGCCAGAAACGCGACCCTCTCGCCAGACAAGCCATCTTTTCCACCTCCGGCAGATTGAATAAGCCGTTCCTTAGCTTGCAGCACATCCGCAACCAGATTCCCATATGTGAAAGATCGAGCAGATGCGCTGTGGACAACCGCCAGGTTCGATTGATCGTGGTCCTGGAGGGCCCGGAAGAGAGGTAGATTCGGCAGGGAGGATGAGATCGATCGACGGGTGATAGATGCCACTAAGGACCGGGAACGACTAGTAGGACCACGACATCTCCACGCTAGAAGGGTCTGGAGCGAATGTTGACGAGACGGAGAAGCAATTGAGCCCCGGCAGAGGAGCGGCATCATGGTGCGTCCGGACATGACTGGAGAGATGCTTGAGGACCGTATGACATGACCCAGCTCACGTCAGATAGCTAGAGTTTATAATTGCCTCGTTGCGCAGGTGAACAATGTCAATCAACGGATTGATCGATACCCAAGGCAAAAGATAAAGGCGGATTGCGCGACGGAACTGATGTCATTTGGGAGGAAGCGCATCGGAGCTTTGCGGTCTCGGCAACGGCACTTGCTTTGCTCCGGCTATCGGTGCTTGAGGGACGCATCTGAAGCAGCATGTTAAGGTTAGAATGATGCTGATAGCTTTGCATCGAACCAGTCATATTGGCCGGCGCTTGTCATTCCGGAAGAAAGAATAACACGCCTGGCAGGGTGTTTGTTCATGGCTGAATGCATTGGATGCTGATGAAGCATCGGACAACCCCCGACCTGCGCACCATTCCCAAAGCAGTAACCCGCCCACTCCGTGGCCAATTGCGGTCTCCCGATTCTCATCGCTCAGCATCAAGAATCCCCTCCGTATCTCAAGAAGACTCCAAGACCTCATATCTCTCCCCTTATCTTCAAACGGGACTGCCCCATCCCCCTCAATGCTCCCCCGCACCTCCCTCTCCGGCTTCCTCCCCCGCCGCGTATTCTCCCTTACTGCTACCAGAATGGCCTCCACCTCCGCAACCCCCGTCGAAGATCTCATCCGGGAGAAGGTATGGCTCATACACACCTACATTCAAGCCATGATTCATACAAACTCAATACTAACATATAATCTTGAAGATCACCACCGCCTTCTCCCCCTCCACCCTCATCATTCGCAACGATTCGCATCTGCACGCACATCATAACGCAATGCGCGGATCGACTTCTAAAGAGACGCATTTCCAGTTCGTCATCCTCAGTACTGGTTGGGATTATGGCTTTCTCTAATCTATCGTTGTCTACTAGTGTGACGATTACCTCTCCCTCGTTTCAGTCGAAGCCCCAGCCCGCGCGCCATCGTATGGTCTATGGTTTGTTGAAGGAGGAGATGAGTCGCGAGGGTGGGATCCACGCGCTGCAGTTGCGGACAAAGACGCCGGAGGAGGAGCAAAGGGAGGAGGAGAGGAAGGCGGCCAAGGCTTGAACAGCATGCATACTTGATACAAGATAAGGATACGGGAAGAAGGGTTGATGTTATTTCTCTCGACTGCGTCTCTGCGATACCCATGAATAAATGCATTATACAGTCGATGGAGTGCGTTCTGCTTCAACGGCGAGGTTTGGTTTATTTGAACGCATACAGTTCGTACATACATAAAGGGATATTATTATTAAGGTAGTCGGATTATTACATGTTCTAGCGCCAAAGGTAGGGGCAACGAAGAGACTCTAATATATACACTGCGATAGCATCAAGCGCATCCTAGCCAACGTGCAGCGACAGTAATTCGTCAGGCCGCATACGCCCCCAAGACGCAGAAACTATACACGACCGATCAGTGGATACAGACAAACAGCGACGAGCGATCAAGCAGACATAGGAGACGATTCAGCAGGTGGGTGCTTTTCAACCAAAACACGGCAAAACGACAAAGTGGTATAACAACGGAAGAATCACAGCAAGCGAACGATCCTCGACTGGCTCAGCTTACCGTAAGCGTAGAGAACAGAAGTAGAGCATCGGACGAGATCAAGGTACACAAACGATCAGAGGTCGTTACAGCCCTTGCGTAAACTTGAACGAAAAGCGAACAGAAGCAGGACAAGGTTGAATACCTCGGAGGGTATCTGGAGATATGAAGGGCATTGGCGTGGCGAAGCATTTATATCAGCGCAAGGTCGAGTCATCAGATCAAGCCAAGTATAGCATATTGCCATAAGATTCACGGGCTCTATTTCGAGGACTTGTTGGCTTCCGTGACACCGACAGCAACACCGACGACGATGGCGATGATGAGGACTAAAGATAATTGTCAGCCTGGCCTATTACGTGGGTGCTCACATCGGGGACACTTACTGACGACAAGCAGAGCATACCACTTCCACTTTCTCGCCCGACGAGCGCTGGCGATAGCTTCCGTGATCTGGTTGTTCGCGTTCGAAACGTTCTGCGCAACATTGTCTGCATCCTGGTTGATCTGCTCCACAGCAGGCTCCTGCTGGTGGACAAGCTCCGCCACTTCCTGGTACAGGCGGCCAAGCTCCATCATATCCTGCTCGATCTTGCGAATGGCGGCCGATCGCTCCAAAGCGGCCTGCCTGGCGTCGTTGGCCTGTCTAGTCCGGCTACCAGTAACCTAACCGAAACGTTAGCATGGACTTTCTGAAATCTCTCGAAAGAGCATACCTGGAAGCTCTGCTCCTGGCCCAACAAGACATTGTCAACACCCTGCTCGATCTCCTCGGGGGAAGCTTCGGGGTTGGCGATCTCATAACGTCTGCGAACCTGCTCCCGCAGGCGCTTCTGGAAGTCGGACTGGCATCTCTGGTACTGTTCGATCTCTCGACGGAGGTTCCGGCTAGTGACGTCGATCTGGGTCTGCACACGGCTGTCTCCGGAGCCGGGGGTCTGCTTGACCTTCTTCAGAAGATCGCGGAGGTAACGGAATCCGTTGTTCACTTCATCCTCGATGTAGTCCAGAGTCTGGCGAGCGACCTGGTCCTCCTTTCCGGTACTCGAATCGAGCAAGGCGTTCTGGGCGGCCGCAAGCTGGCCCTCGCGCTTGGCGCGGAGATCCGCAATACCGTCGTTGATCTCTCTGCACTTGTTCAGCAGCGTCGTCGCGTCGGCAGGCTGGTTGTAGGAGCCCATTTCTGATATGCAAACGCATGTTAGGCAATCGTCGGGTCAGGCTGGGAAGGGTACTGGATATGGTGCGCCTACCGTAGCTACCGTTGCCCTGCTCCATGGCATTGGAGTCGCTGTAGGGGTTGGCATCTTGCTGGCCATAGGGGTTGTACTGGCCGTAGCCACCCTGGTTTCCACCGTACTAGAAAATCGGCGAGTTAGCAGGCTATTTGACGATGCGCAGGTGGTGAATAATAAGGGGTGGGGTAGCGGAGAGGGTCAGGATAATGACGTTCTGGGTGTCGACATACACTCATGGTGATAATTTATCGCTATCCTGAGGATCTTTTTCAGATCAAATTGTTCGTACAGCCGTCAATTCAGACACTGAGGTCGTGATGCAGCGTGGGTCACTGGTCGCAGCGAGTAATTCCGACAGGTGGACGTAGCTCGGGTTGTACGGGAAACGAGAACGGCTAAGGTGAACGCGCGAAACGGCGATGAATTGCGACTACCGCAAAAGCGAGGATTAAGAGTTTCGTGGGTAGATAGAGTCGAAGACTGCAAAAACAGGTGAAGCGGTAAAAGGTGGAGGAGGGGGATAAGAAGGGAAACGATACGAGTAGCAGGCAGAAAAAAAAAAGAAGCAGTGAGGGAATGAGGTGAGAAAGAAAGAATGGGGGAAGGACGAAAGAGTGACGGGTGAGACAAGGCGGCTGAGCCACTGGCGGCTGCAAATCCAAAAGGAAGCGCTCGACGGTTGACTGGCTCTGGCCCGCAGATGGCAAAAATGTCACTCAACAACTCTGGACGACGAAATTCCAATTGCGCCCGGAAGAAAGGGTATAAAGTAAGGAACGGCTGGGGGTGGGAAGGGGAAAGAAAGAGGAAAGTGAAGCTGTTTTTCTTTCTTGTCGCTCTGGTCAATCAGGGGTGAAACCCAGCACTGATGGGTTTTTCTCGATATTATTAGTAGGGGGCGTCTAGCTAGAGCACAGACCGACCGGCGATCCTCGAGTCCCCTTTTTCCCACGATGATGATAATCAAAACATTCACCCTCTATGCCCTCTGAAACAGCTCGGTTGGGTCGAAAAAGTGGAATCGGGATGCTGGGCTGAAGGCCCTGGAATGATACTCTGGGTGATCGAGGTAGATAAAGTGCTTGTGATCGTCGGGTTGCACTTGATGCTATACACAGTACTTTTCATCAGACGGTCTCTGCACCGGGGAATCAGGAATCGCCCTGACAAAATCACACCCTTACTTGCGACAATCTTTGCTTTTTATTGCCAAGTTTGATTGTGAAGCTAAGATTTAAGAAAAGAAGATCCCAAGACATAACAAAGGGACTAATCAGCAACTATCTACATTGTGTCTTAAAGCTCTCCACTCAAGTGTGCTGCTCATCGAACAATTGCAACTGCTGTGCATCCATTATTTCGTCCATCAAAGACGACCATTGACCCTTAAACACCCAGCACGAGCTTTTCAATTACGTTCCTGAAGCCGTGGAGGGGCAGCCTGCACGTCACTTCTATGTACGTACTCCATAGGATGTGATCTGGAAACCATGATCTGGGCCCTGGCAGGGTAGAGCTTCAACGGTCTCCCCACCTGCCACCCAGCTTTCCATGACTACGCGCCCAATCTACCCCATACACGTCCCCGACACTGTTAACGAAATGAGCAGCGATCAGACTCGCGATGAAATCAAGTCTAATAAAGCTTTTTGAGTACAATATGTTAGCTCAATTTCCCCTGACGCTGCTTCCCCACTTCACAATCTCCAGCAACGGCAGAACCATGCCGTCAAGTTTCACCTCATTAACTCGCATGTTAGCATGCATATTAATTCCAACATTTCCATCGTCGTTCCAAACAGCTGCGTAGGCCTTCAACACACCAACCAAAGGCATAAGCAATCCAGCTCATCTCATCTCAGCTCAGCATCTTCCACAATGGGATTTCCACAGCAGCTCCACAGCCGCGAACTAGCTTGGCCAGCGTGTGCCTGTCTAACCCACAAGCGAGGGTAAAATTAGCAACAACGAACTCCATTCCCGATGCAGGTGTGTGCAGCCATTCTTCGAATCATGCTTCTAGGCAGGAAATGTCGGTGTCTAAATGGCAACGTGCCCACCGCCACACTGATATCAGCGTAGTTTAGCTTGAGCTGAGCCTCAAGTGGATGGAAAACCAGACACTGCCCCATTCCCTCGGTCGGGGCCCGTGGATAAACCTCAGGCAGCCGTTTTACCGCTCCGTCAAGAGGTCACATGCTACCAGGCAATGAACTCTCACGTTACTCCATCTTATCCCTCGCATATTGTCGCGTGGCCCAAATGCTTGATCGCTTTGAAGAAATACACAGGTGGGTTCAAGCGACAAACCTTATATCTAATGTATCGCAGCAAGGGATGTTGAACATATATCTAGTACTTACTTGGTACCTACATGAAACAGGCATATGCCATCTTAAATTAATGGTCTAGATGAACTACTAATAGCAGTAGCAAAGTCGCATGTCTCTTACTAACCCTCTACAAAATCAACCCTCTTTAAATCGAAGCCAACTGAACCCTTCAACACCAGTCAATGAACATAAGAGTAGTACGAGACATAACACCTCCTATCATCCTAAGCCACAGCCAACGGACCTGAAAGTACTAGGTATCACCCAAAGTACTAATGAAACCAGAATACAAAGCCTCAAGACACAAAACAATAAATCATCTACTACCCATCCAACAACCCAGTACTCCGTACAAAGTGCTTGATTCATTAAACATCATAATCCAAGCGCAATCATTACCACAACCATGCCCAAGCCCACAGACCCAATGAACCCAATCCAAATCCTACGGTCTAGAATCCTCCCCATCCACAGAACCCAAGTCCCCCAAACCATGGAAACCGGACGAGTAAGGGTCCATAGCTACCACAGCTATCTACCTTGCACACACAACAATTTGCAGTCACAAGTTTGCACTGAACCCACTTCACCTAACCAGACATCCGAAGATTCCCCATACAAAGTAGATAGTAAGCGACCGACTGACTGACTTGCACTCTAGAACCCGGCTTTCCGTTCTATCCCATTTCCTTTTCCGTTCCGTGTGATGATTGAGTCATTGCAGCAGCATGACTGACCAACTACAAAGAAATAACCTACAATCTTTTCATTTCTTGGACTCTTTTTATGTGGTTATTTCATGTTACTATACAGGTAAATATTAACCACCATTGTGGATGGTTACCTATGCGTACAATAAATTCTTGCTTGCTTGCTTGCTTGCTTGCTATGCACACACTACACAAGTAGACCAGTTAGTCCATTGAGTGCACGAATTTCTGGAGGCTGGGGGAATTACCTAACTTCCATTATTCATAACAATTTGTCGACCAGACTAAAAACTAGCAGATAAGCAAGTTCCACTTGTCCGAGTAGTCTAAATTGGTGTGGTGGGTTGCTCGAGAATAATTTCAGGCACGGGTCGGCTTGGGGGTGAGTGGGCACTGCAGGGTCTGCTCTGCTCTGCTTGACGGACGGACGACCTCCGCCGGTGAGTGATACTTTTTGTCTGATTCATACAAGTAGGATCCAACCACAAAATTCAGCCAGACAACGCCATAAATTATATTGCTATGCTAATCATGATACTAATAACGAGGGTAAATAAAAACAACTATGCATAATCCGTACATCGTATGTACACCCGCCCTTTCACATTCTCATCTGCTCTGCAGGTGCTCTTACGCGGGCCTGCGCGACTTCGCATATATCACGTTCAGCGCGTATACACGAGAACTGCGGGTCAAAATATTATAGTACATTAGAAATAATAGAGGGTATCGAGCGGAGTGAGTGCTTTTCAGTTCTCTTGCTCCTTCTTCTCCTCATAGGCCGGCGGGGCAGGAGCATCCGGATCGTCTGCGTCGAGCGCATTCAGCTGGTCTTCCTGGTCGTTGAGGTGGTGGTACACCAGCCAGAAGATAATACCGGCAACGAACGAAGCGCAAGCCAGACCCACGAACATCCACATGATGGCCGGGTCATAGGCAGCGGGGGTCAGTGCCTCGGCCAGAGCGGAACCGAAGGCGTTAGTGAGCAGGTACATGGACTGCACGAAAGACTTCATCGACGGAGGAGCCTTGGTGTAGGCATACTCCAATCCAGACACCGACGCGAAAATCTCAGACAGACCAATGAAGACATAGGCAGGCGTCTGGATAGCAATGTGCACGTGGTTGCCGGTGGTGGACCCATCAACCTCCGAAGCAGCACATCCGGGGTGCTCGTAGCATGGCCCAGCGGAGTAAATGAGGTGCTGAACAATGGCGGCGTACATCATGGCCAAGGAGGCAACAACGAAACCCAGGGAGATACGGGTAATCGGACGGAAACGGATGCGCAAGCGACGCAGCAGGGGATAGACAAGGGTCTCCAGGACGGGGATGAAGACAATGATGGAGATAGGATCAAAGTTCTGCATCAAGTCGTTCGGGATTCCGTGACCCTCCATCTGGCCGGCCTGGGTGACAAAGTTGCTGGAGAATTGACCGTAAACGACCCAGTAGATCGGGTAGAAACAGAACACACGGCAAGCAACCAGCGCACGCTTGAGCTCGTCGATGAAGTGGTCGTCCCAGGGCACGTTGGTCCTGGTACCGTTGTTGGCCGCCTGCCAGCTGGGCTTGGGAGCATCCATGTTGCGGTTGACAATCATGATCCACAGCGCCTTGAAGGCGTCGGTGATAATGGAGCCCTGGGGAGGGCGAACGACGTAGTACTTGCGGCCGAAGATGAGCACCATGGTACCGACAGCGAACATGCACAGGCAAAGCAGATAACCGGACCAGAAGCCAATGTACTTCTCCATGTAAGGAGTGGCCAACAGAGACAGCGATCCCACGTTGATACAGCCGTAGAAGATCATGTAAATGCGCTGAATCGTAAGAGAAGGGTCAATGACAACACGCTCGCCCTTCTTGGTGGTGGACATGGCCATCTTCTTGCGCTTGTACTGGTCGGCAATCAGAGGAGCAACGTTACTCTTGATACCGCCAGTTCCCAGACCAATGATCAGGATAGACACAATGAAGCCACCAACACCGGCTCCATGGTGAAGAGCCGTGGGGATGGACGTGCAAACCAGGATGAGGAGTCCGACCAAGTAAATGATACAGAAAACCACGATGGTCTTGTATTTACCGAGGTACTGATCAGCGACGATGGCACCGATGATGGGGGTAACTTTGGGCAAATGTCAGTCCATGACCCCAGACATTTGATGCAGTAGTGAACGAACCATAACACCAGAACTGGAAGAAAGTGGTGAGACCAGTGGCTCCTTGATGGCCCATGCCTAGGGCACCGCGTCCCTCACTTCCGTCCAGTGGACGATCAACGTAGTTCTGGAACATGCCAGACATTCCGTAGTAGGTGAAACGCTCGCACAGCTCGACAACGGCGACAAGCCATGCGGAGATGGGCAGATGCTCGGCAACATGGCGAAGAGTAGCGACTTCCTCAGCGTTGGGTTCTTCGCCGTCGGGGGTGGGACTGAGGGCCTTTTCGCTGGCCTCGGTGAATGCCGCCTTTTCGTTCACAATAGTTTCGGTGCCGTGGCCCTGTTGTTGCGGCCTGGGATATCAATCAGTATTGGCAGGAGGAGGGAGCGAGATTCGAGTGAGCTGTGACGGAATAGTGACTCACTGAGTCACAGACACGGAAGATGGCCAGCCCACAGGAAGTGTGAAAAAAACAAACGACGAAAGGCAATGGAAACTTACTGAGTGATCTCAGCCTCATGATCTCCAGACATCTTTGCAGGGACCAGGCAGAAAATCCCAGGGGCGAGCGGGAGGACTTGAAACGCAGATTTTCCTCTGGAAAGATGGGGAGGCACAAGATACTCGCGAGGGAAACGGCGCACACCTTATATCTCCCGGTGGTGGGAGATATAGAGAGGTAGCCGAAGCGGGACCGTTCCTGGCCCTGGAACCAATGGCCACCAGGAAAGGGCCCAGTTTGTGGTCAAGTGAGAATCTGATTCATTATAACCGAGGAATGAGTCCGGGCGCAACCCAGAGCCCGGAGGCAACATCGATATGACAATAATTGACAAGCAGCGTTAAGCATCAGCCGAGATGGCAAAGGCTCTCGGTGATTGGCCCATCGCGCGCAGAGCCCGGCGACATCTTGGGACGCCAAGAAGTCGGAGTTTGCCGGTGAGAGGCCGATTCCTTCCACAAAGTTTCCACTCCCTCGTGGCTTCCCCTCACACCAGAGAATTTCCCATTTTTCTGCGTCTCCTTTCCCCTGGTCGCATGTCCATGGTGATGATCGTCGGAGTGCTTCAATCCTCCAAGATCCGTCAATAAGCGAAATCCCTTGCCTTCCATGCAAGCCTCCCAAATCAATGGCATGCGGAACGGCCGCCGCAGCAAAACTCAACCGTTTGTCTGACGCCAAGCAGGACCAGGACTAAATCGTTCGTGCCGTCGGTAGGACCACCATATGCGGAACACGTTAGGTAACAGGAATCATTAAGCTGCTAACTTGCAGATAAGTCTGGCGTGTCTCATTCGTAGTCCGGCGGAGAACGACTCAAACTCCGTTGATGTTCTCGCAGGGCGCAAAGGGGGCGCGCATGGTCGGCACATTGTGTGCAATTTCCCCCGCTCATGCGACAGACGATCAGCAGCAGACGGTTGCAACGTCGGGCTTCCCCGCGCCGTGGTTGACTCGATGGCTAACTCTGTATGGAGCGCATGTAGATTGAGACCCATCAGCTCATTGTTCCTTCCCTGATAAACGTAGGATGTAGCGTGTCTTGGCCACAGCGGTGCTTATCTCCCTCAATTCCTGTCGGATGTCCGGTGGAAAAACGTGGCAAGTGAGGCAATTGTGCCATTCGATCAGGATGGGGGAAAGGATGGAATCATGACTGTGACCTGGGAGATTAGTCCATTAGGCTTCCACTGAGACATGCAGTCCAGGATGTAGCAATAGCAAGGTGACAAAGGAAAGGCCTCTGATCCGACAGCTGATGCTCACGGCGCGACAGTACTAGTAGAGACTCGAGAGACATTCCTAATTGGGGGTGGAGTTCATAGCCGACCGGCTCAAGCCGCCCAGAACAGGTCAAAGGCGGAGTTGCCTGGACTGATCATCCGGGCTATCGTATGGAGTAGTGGCATCAGGCAATCTCTGGGGTTGGATTTCTAATGCACTCCCCAGAGTACTTCAACTCTGCAGTTGAAAGAAAGTGAACAACCTCACCTGTGCCTGGTAAAAGGGGAGAAAATGGCAGGCAGCAGGCAGCAGAGCGCGGAAGGAGCGCGACCCGTTCAGGTTAAGTATCCTGACCCCCTCCGAAGTCCGACTTCGCTTCCCACAACCACTGATTCGTCATCCGCTGGCTTTGACCTTTTCCGCCCATATTGACCGATGGACAGCCAACGATATCTCCGAACCTGCTGTGATTGCCCTTGCAGCGTCTCCTTATCTGGCCAATGCCATGCACTAGACTCCAATGACTCAGATGTCCGTCCGACCTGTCGACACAATTAAAGCTTAGTCTAGATGACGTGCTTATCAATCTCGAAGCTGGGGCCGGCAATTGGATGCATTGCAATCACGGCCGGCGAGGAGAAAGGCGATCTTAATATATGTCAAGATCCGTCACCGACTTGGTCTAATGACTCGACACTAAGGAGCACCTGCAGCGGACTTCACAGTCCGGCTCAAAGACAATCAATCATTCTCTGCAGGCGACTGGTTCGCTTCCACGGGCTTGGCTTGAGAAGGAATGGCAGGAGAAATACGCGACCATAGTGATCTTCACGGTGCCTTTGACTCATAGTGAATGAACTGGGAGGGGGATCTTCCGTCCAAGAGGACCTTCGGCTCTTACTTGACCTTGGGAGTCATTCAAATTTACAGTCCAGCACCCCCCGATGCCGCAAGAGCTCGGCCGGGAGCCAAGCCATCTGGATTCGAGGCTCTATCAATCAGCTTGTTCGAGATGGTGTGTACGGCAGCTTATTGGGCATCAAACAACGCTTTATTGCTCTTAAGGTAGGCGATCATTCTTGTCCCTGCTCCACAACTCCACATATCGGTGCGAAACACGAGACTGTGAGTCAACACCGTCGTTTCGTTTACTAAGTAACTATAAGTAGAGTCATGCATACTTGGAAAAGCGTCTCACTTAAGAGAATAATGACCGAAACACTATTTATAGCGGGGATATTTCGGCGTTATTTCGTCGCAAGTGAAGTGTTGACCTTGGAACTGCAACAGCTGACCAGGGCGCCACAGCGCATTCAGCTATACACTTCTTACATCTATTAACAAGAGAAGGAGCAGAAGGGAGAAGGCATATATGATTGTAAAGGGATGGAATATCCCTCGTAGCAAAGTAAAGGCCACCATGGCTTATTAGCCGGAGAAAAGCAGTATGTCCCCGGCTCGGACTCGAACCGAAGCCATGACCCAAGCAAGGATAATGAATGGAATGAGAATACCTAATGGGTATAGGTGAAGCTCTGACCAGTGAACTACAGGGTTTTGCTCCACTATTTACCTACCATGGCTAGCGTGCTACGGACAGAGGATACCTTGTTGAGGCTGCTCACCGAGCAGCTGAGACGGATACTCTGTCCTCAGAGATTGTTTAAGACCTCACATAGTATGGCAAGATTCATTGTGTCGCTAGGTAGAAACGATAAAAAGGGTTAATTAAGGAAGCCGGCACAGGTCGTCCGAACCATGGCACAACCATGCAAGGATAGGTGAAAGGATAAAATGGGTGCTTCTGCAAGCGAGAGCTACGGGAGGCTTCGGGTAAATTACTACGAATGACTCGATAGTTATCCATGGGACAAGAGAAAGAATTTGTTCTGTTCTGATTGGCTGTCGTAGGAAGACTAGATGTGCGTATGTGCACCCGGCAAAAATGAAAAACGAAAAAACAAGTGCCCCCACGCGGGATTGAACCGCGGACCTCTTCATGGCAGTATTGGAATACGAGTGAAGCGCTCTACCACTGAGCTACAAGGGCTGACTTGTTGAAAAACGCCTCCCAACAATAGACTATAATCTACATACCTATGTAATAGCTCTATTCGAACTCTCGTTCAAAAGATACGAAATCATACAACTTGGGCACAATAATGCAGATATTCGTACCAGCAGTGGGATTATATCGAAGCACTACACAGTTTTCAGCAAGACATTTTTCCACGTGGAAAGCGACTCATTTAGCTTTGTCTATGAACAAAGGAGGTCATACATTCTCTTCTCTGTCCTTGTTTCACTCAGTTTAAACGATGTTGAACTCACATCGTGACAAGAAATCCTGGGACCTGGAATTGATTACTACCATAATTCTCACCGCAGCCATCTTCCACATGACTACACTACAATCACTCATCTCGCCCACAAAATTCCTCCGTTATGGCAGTAGTAGTACTAACAGACATTCCCCTATCCCTCGCCCTACTGGGACCACGGGACGATCTGTACATAAATATATCTTTGACGACGAAACTACTAGTAGTACGCCGCCAACAAAATCATTGTATGGGTACCGTGAAACCCACCACCCCAGAATAACATCGCGATATGATAAATATAATACACTGGAATATTAGACAGGAACAATAATCCCCCCTATGTACTGATGAGGGAGGAGAAATCACTAATTCGGAAGATTTACGTATCTACTAATAGCCCCAAAAACATAGCAAATCGGAAATAGGAGGAAGACCAACGACACAGACTTCGGAGGAGGGAGCTAGCGATGATCTAGAAGTGAGTGACTTACATCCATGGATGATCATCGATGGCGATATTGATGGCACGTAGCTAGCCAGCCAGCCAGCCAGCAAGTTAGCTCTGCGTACAAAGAGCAAACCCTAATTCCTACATCGCCCGTTACCAGAAAAGCAATTCATACATTCAAGTACGAGTGCACGAGACAATCAGCGATACTCCTAAACCCCAGTAGAGCTCCTCCTCATGCCACCCTTTCTAGCACGAGTAGGGCACCTGACGACTTCAACAATGCCCGTGGCCGCAGTTTTTGTGATCATGTTCAATGAAATGAAAATAACTGTATCCCACTTCCACAGGGATTGGTGCTATTATGATATTCTTATTCGAGTCAAATATACACTCTCTTGAGATTGAATTTGTATACATCAGTCATTGAATGCTGATTTATCCATACCCGATACCGGCAGAAATGCTACCTGCAGATACCCAGATAGTCAGGAGATAAGATAACCAACGGTTGATAGATAGATAAACCAGGTCAATCAATCTCCGTGCATTCCGGGCTTAATTTATCTAGTCCATGACTTGCATAAGATCTTCTCTAAGATGAGTTAGCAGGTAGATCTAGGATTGGATTTAGGGACATTGGGTTCGGGTTAATTTGCCTCATGATTAGCGAAACCTAAAAGAAGGGAAGAAAATTAAGGTTATCAACATGAGGTTAGAGGCAGATCAGTCAAAGTCAATTATTTAGGTTTCAACATAAATGATGTGGTTCTCTAGTTGAGAAGGTAGTAAACACTGCTTATTCTGCTGAAAGCTGATATTTCATTGCTAGAAAGCCATACCACAATACCAGCTCAAGGATATTAAAAACCTCAGTAACTTGCGCTAATAGCTCAGGGATTGGGAGACCCCGGCTATTGATATTTTCTATAGAAACAAAGATACAAGCCTTCTCGTGCCCCGCTGGTTTCTAAGGTGGTCTCATGATTGCATGTATGAACAACTTTTATTATTATAGATAAATATCCTCGACTCTAGATACAAGCCGTAGCGCAAGCCATAACTGCTTGCTTCCTCGCTCTAAGGATAACTCATATGCATCATCTATGTCCTGTACCTATATCATGCGTCCTTCACATTTCATGTCCGTATGCTTCATGTATAAAAACCCAAACAAACCGCACACCTCTTCCTGAGGAGGCGGTCCTAAAATGCATGACTAACTCACCCATTTAGTCTCAGCTCGTAACGCACTAAATCTTATACTTCAAGACCTTTCCAGTCCTCGCCAATCTAGCTGCACAGAGCAGACAAAAGCCGACGAGCATCGAGCACGCCGCGAAGAGCTGCGCATATACATAGCGGCCATTGTCTCTGGTGATCAAGACACCAGCGATAGGTGGACCGGTCAATACAGCGAAACTGACGATAGTCTATACCCAAATTAGTCATAAATTTCGCCCCTTCCCACAGAAAGTTGGGAGAACGGAGAACTCACGAAAATCATTCCCATCCTGACACCCGCTTTCTGCAAATCAGTCGTCAAGCTGCTCAACGTAGCGGGAAACATTCCCTGCAAACCATTTCCCACAATACCATAAACAACCGTCCACGCATACAGCCCCGATATAGAAGTGACACCGATCATGGCAAAAGCGCAAATGATGGAGAACAGAGTGACGACAATGAGAATATTCATCGGACCGGTATACCGATCAGCCAGGTAGGCAGGGACCGGACGACCAATGATACCCAGACCATTCAAGATAAGCGTGAAATTAAGCGATTCTTCCTGAGAGATCTTGATGATTGCAACACCAAACGAGCTCAGATAGTAAAAAGCGAAATAAACACCCCAGAAAGTCAAGAAGATGCCGACCGCAAACAAGGTGTATGATGGTTCCTTGAATGCAGCGAGTTCAATAAGAGGGCCGGTTTTCCGAGGGGGCACTCTCGGTCTGGCTAGAATGTTGCAGATGATTAGACAAGCTAGGGTGAAAAAGCCGAAGACTCGCATTGTCCATCCATAGCCGATCTGTGGGATCAGGTGCTGGAACATGACTGTGAAGATCAGGCCGCCTGTGGCGCTGCCGCATGCGCAGATGCCGACGGCGAGCATTTTGCGTTTCGCGAAGTAGGTGGATGTTACTGACAGCGCTGGACAGAATAGGCATCCGTTGCCGATACCGCAGCAGATTCCTTGGGCGAGGAATACTTGGTAGTATTCTGTTGAGATGGAGGCCATGAACATGCCGAGGACACTGAGGATGGTTCCGACCACTACAGTACAGTCATTAGCATATTTCTTCAATAGGGAGGATTGAAATAATTTGGGAATTAGAGCACTGAGACGTATCTCTGAAGATTGTGCAAAGTAGACAAGGCAACTCACCAAAAACCGGCCGAAAGTGACCCGCATCTGTAAGCCTCCCAGTAAAAGTACCAATAAAGAAGACAATAAAGACCTGAACGCTTCCAATCCACGAAACATCCGAATCCGAGCGATTGAGAAAGTCGACGTAATAAGTCTGGAAGATACCAAACGAATTCATGTAGCCCCTGGGCACTTATTTCAGCATACTGTTCACGATTGGCCAGCACAAAATGTAACCACGCTCCTGGAGGAACCAATTGAGCTTTCACATGTGCAAAAGCGAAGCATTGGAACCTACCAGGTATTCATAATGATCAAGTGTCCCACTAGGACCTGTGTCCATGCGAGAGCTCCGCCATCTGGAGGGGGACCAGGATCTTTCCAACTCGCGACGCTTTTTGATTTTGACAAGATCCCCCATTTCTTTTCTTTGATGGTCTCATTGTTTATTGTCTTCTCGTCGAACTCGGTTACTGCATCTGGATATGCTTCGACCCTGCCATTGTCGGTCATGTTGGTGGTGTTGTTGAGTTGTACCGACGAATTGGTCAATTAGAGTAGTATAATAATGAGAATCGCACGCGGATCGCAAATTAGTTTATTAGTCGGTAGAAAGGTAATTCGACCAAACTGCGACGTACTTGATTAGCATTAAATGTTTCGAGACTGCATGTCAACGTACCTAGTTATCGCGCATCTCAATGTATATATTAGATTACTGACCGTCACAATTGCATAATTATAAAAGAACAAAGACATACAGACAGGAGAGAAATTGCTAGTCATAAAGAAAAAAAATAAAATGAGTCAATAATAATGGTCTTAATGCGGCGTGGCGAGGAATATTTCCTCGTAGTCCGGTTTCGGACTAGTCCATGTTACAGGGCGCGGATATGAAAGAATTTCCTGAAGGAGCAAGTCAGCAGAGACGCTTGGATCCGAAGCAAATTGACGGTGAAGTCCTAGACTTGGCTACACTAAGATCGACTAAGATATAGTCTCCAAACACTAAGATAAGTCTAGACACGTCACCGTAATCGGAGTGGGGCATGTATCTGGCTTCCCCGATGTTACTCTACCATCCCAACTCCGTACACTAAGAAACATCTTGCCACGATAAGCACTAACCTGTTGATCGACTATATCAGTGCATTCAAAAATACAGAAATGGGCTTAATTGAGGGGTAAATTGAACAGGGATCAGGTACCAAGTCTGGATCAACTGATAAGGGAATTGTGCTCTAATAAAATGGGCAAATGCCCTGGTATACCTCCGTAGAAAGGACACGTCTTCTTGCTTCCTGTGAACATAGTAAATCTATACTCTTCGAAGATATTTCTCTTGACTAGCAAAATGGCCTCACCACAAACCGTCTACCTCGCCGTCAGCCAAGCGCACACCCTCTCCAGCACCCCGGAGACACTCCAGGCTTTGTCACAGCAGTGTCGGCAAGCGGCCAAGCAGACCCCATCCCCCGATCTGATTCTCTTTCCGGAAGCTTACATTGGGGGCTATCCTCGTGGGGCGACCTTTGGAGCCAAGGTAGGATCTCGGGACGATGAAGGCAGAGAACAATACCTGAACTACTTCAAGGATGCGGTGGATCTGGGCGATACTCCTGAAGGAGCGGGGGAGAAGTGGGTGAGGAGGGAATTGGAGGGGCAGGACGGGAGTGGAAGTGGAGTCCGAAGGGGCGATGGAGTGCGCGAGGAGCTGGAACTAGTGGCTCGCGAGACGGGTATCTTCATCGTCACTGGATTGGTCGAGAGGGCTGGAGGTACTCTGTACTGTGCGGTAGTCTATGTGTGTCCCAAGTTGGGAGGTGAGTATCTGCATGTACTTTTTGATGTGGAGTGTGGAAGCTGACACGATGGATTCCTCTACTTAGTGATTGGCAAGCGGAGAAAGGTCATGCCGGTAAGTATTCCTCAGAGAATAGTATCGTTGTATTAGTATGGTATCAGGCTGACCATCACCAGACAGGAAGTGAGCGTCTGGTTTGGGGCCAGGGACAGCCTTCCTCGCTCCGCGCGGTGACAACCACCATTAAAGGCGTAAAACTCACCTTGGCAGCTGCAATCTGCTGGGAAAACTACATGCCGCTTTTGAGACATTCTCTCTACAGCCAGAACGTCAACCTCTATCTAGCACCAACTGCCGATCAACGCGACGCTTGGGCCCCTCTCATGAGAACCATTGCCTGCGAGGGCAGATGTTTCGTTTTGAGTGCCAACCAATGCCACAGAAAGAAGGACCAGCCTGCTTGGGTTTACGGGGAAAAGTCTGAAAGTGAGGAGTTTGCTACCAGAGGGGGCTCTTGCATCGTAGCCCCGAGCGGAGATATGCTTAAGGGGCCGCTCTGGGAGGAGGTAGACGGCATGATGATGGTGGGGGTGGATTTTGATGATTGTCTGAGATACAGATTGGATTCAGATGCTGCTGGAAGTTATTCGAGGTATGGAAGTGTCCTGTTGGATTCTGGTGTGTTGTTGCTAATTGATTGAACAGGAACGACTCGTTTAAGTTGATTGTCAATGGACTTGATATCAGCCCCCCTCTGTGAATGGTTAAGTATGATTCTTAGCTTACATGAGCAATACACATCTGTGATACTCTGCTTTTTGCACCTAGAATTTACATTAGCAAATTAGGAAAACATGCAATCCTTTGTAGAAATTCAAATTTCTACAGACCTGACAATGGATGATTCCAAGCTAGTTTCAATGGCCGTATTAAAACTGTGTCCTCCGTAACAAACATCCAACATTAGCTCATGCTCATACTGCATAATATTGAGTACACTTCTATCCCCAAACATCACCACCGTCTATAACTCCCAACTCTCTATACTCAAATCACCCAAAACACTATACAACAGTATACGACACCCTACTAACCCCCTTCGACCTTGAAATCTTCTTCACCTCAATCTTCCCCACAAGACTACAATCCGTCACATGTGTGCCCCCACAAGGATAACTTCCCAATCCTTCCATCTCAACCACTCTCCCCAGCGTCTCACCCTCGGGCAACGCAAACCCCTCCGCAACATAACACTTCTCCTTCAACTCCTCCATGGACCACCAATGAATCCTAACCGGACTCGCCGACCGCACAAACTCATCCGTCTTCGCCTGAATAAGCTCCTTATGCTTACCCTCCAACGTCCCCTCAAAAGAAACCGACGCCGAACCCGGATAATGCGACGCCTTCGACTCCTTCACCGGGGGAAGCACACCTTCGCGACACAGCGCATGAATCGCCAAACTCATGACGTGTCCAGCGGTATGAAGACGAGAGTGCAGGTTCCGCTTCTCAGCGTCAACGCGCTGCTGGACTTCCTCCCCGGAGTCGAACTGCGTAGTCCCGACCGGGACGAACCGACCCAAGTGAAGGATCTGGTTCCCCTGGGCTGGTTGGCGGACTGACTTCACTTCGAAGATTAAGTCTGCTTTGGGCGCTACGTCCGTGGTCATGGTTCCGGTGTCTGAGGGCTGGCCGCCGCCCTGGACGTGGAAGATCGTGGAGTCGGTGACCACGGCATGCTCTATTTCGGCTGAGTCTTTGGCCAGGGCTTGGTCTGCCTCTGGGAGTTTGGAAACTGGGATGATGGACAGAACTTTGGCGCCGTGGAGCAGCAGTTGTCCGTCTTGTTGGTAGATGAGCTTTGTAGATTCGGCCATCTATTGATTTGTTAGGTTGTTGCCCCGGATTCTCCTTACTAGGGGGTTTTAGACGTACCGTGATTGGGCTAAATCTTTTGATGCTCCGTTGGGTAGTACTGTAGAGTCTTTGGGAGGGCACACGCTGGGATATAGATAGTCAGAAACGTAGCTGTCGGTGCATTTGTAATTGAATATCCAAAAACCTATGTTAGATTCAAAAGACAGGGTGTGGAGTAGTGGGTGCTGAGCAGCCTATATGTACCTGATAGATGGGGGTGGTCCGAGCTTCTGGCTAATGTAACGACCAGCCCTTGTCACTGTCAGGGCGTATCCGCGCTAATGTATGTAAGATTTGTAACAGCTCATTATCGGTTTGGTCACACTTTCATTGTAACCATAAAGAGGCGAAATAGCAAAGACTTGAATTTTGTGAAAGCCATAGCAAAAAAAGTTTCATTAACAAACATCACTGAACTAAACAACATCCCTTTTCCATACTCGTTATCTTCTATAATACTACCCACATGAACACCTAAATCCGCCAAAGCAACTCCTGCCCCTGCTCCCATTGGTCCCGATCCCTGATATACCGCGGATTTTTCGCCACAATGGAGCAAGGCAAGAAACGCGTGTGGTCAATGTCGTAAGTTACGCTTCCACTGACACCATCCAAAGCGGCAACAATAGCGGCGTCACACATGGTGTGACACCGATGTCCCCAGCGACCGGCAATCGCCTCGCGAATCCATTTCTGCTCGAGCTGCTGCTTCAGCTCCAGCGTGTCAGTCTCCAGCGTAGCAAGCTCGAGGTGGCGAAGCGCATCCATAATGATAGCAGCGGCCGGAGCCTCGCGAATCTCCAACGCCTTATCATCTGTCGACAGAAACTCGAGCCCGACGAATCGGCCATGACCGAACTTGCCAACCTCCTTGTTCAGGAGTGCAATAGCGTCGATGAGGGGAAGCTCGTCTCCGTTGATAGAGGAGAGGCTGCCGTTCTCGAAGCTGATTGTGAGCTTTTCGGGGGCATAGTCGCCGCTGCGCCGTGTCCATTCGTAGGCTTCTTCAGGGATGTTGAAACCTTCCGGGTCACCTAGCGGACCGTCTTCGAATTCCCGACACCACAGGTTTTCGTCTCCGCTCAGTTTGCGCTCAGCCATGATGGTCAGTCCGGCTGCAGATAGCTCTGAGGCTTTCTTCTCGCGCGAGGTCACGGAGTGGACGTAGGGGCTTCCGAATTTCCCGGAGAAGCCGTAGAGACGAATGCAGTTGTTCAGTCGGGGAAGACTGTTCTGGCTCAGGTTTGCAGTGTGGAGGAGCAAGCCTGCATTCACGGAATTGGCATAGTCTGTGATCAGACGAGCGATGACCGGACGGGTGAGGGAGCTGCTGATGGGGAACATGCGCATGTATGTTGCGTGAGCACGAATGGCTGGCATGACACCATCTTTGACGAACAGCTCGCGACCATCAAGACATTTGAATGATGCGCCGAAGTGCGCAGCGTGTTTGGTAAGACCTTCCTCGTCTACTGGAGCTCCAACATCTACCGCTACAGCGTGGATGTTGGTGTAGCCGAGCTGCTGGAGCTTGAGGAGCAGGTAGGTGCTGTCCAGGCCACCGCTGAACATGGTGACGACGGGGGCATCTTTTCTGTCGAAGTCCGCAAGATGCCCGAAGCTTTCAATGGGTCTTCTTTCTTGTTGGGAACGGACCAGCGCGGCCTGAGCCGCGACAGCGTCAGTGGCACCCCCGTGACCGTTGGATTGTACAGTCATTGTGTTGAGTTATGTGATAAAAGAAGAAGAGGTAAACAGAAAAAAAGAAGGATATCTTAAACGCTGCTACTGATGTTGCATTTCATAGCTGTTGTTAGAGGTTTATATCATTACCACGATGGGTAATTATACTATCGCAAAAGGTACTTCTGTCCAAAACAGCCATCACTCTTACACTTCACCTTTAGTCAACCCGTGGCTAATCCCTTTCTCTCCATTAGCCGCATCAGAATACGAGTCTCCTCGACACGACAAGTCCAGATCTTCGCAGATGGCAATCTACAGCAAGCATCTAGGCTTCATCCTCATCTGCAGGCTGCTGTACCAATTCGCTAGCAGATGTAACCCATAATACGGACATTGCCGCCTCTCCAGGTGAATGCCGTTTCATGCTATACAACCATGCTAAATTTGGGGGCCGTTTGGCTGCAGAGAAGTGGAGCTGGGGGATCTAGCCCGTTACTAGCTGCTTCGTAGTCATATTAATATGAGGTATATACAATGCACCGACATCGGGTTCATCCCGGTACTTACAGGATCGATTTACGTGTTCGGGTTTTTAGCTGCTAAACTACTGTGATAGGGGTTATCAGGCTATGCATGTGATGTGGAGAAAGTAATGCAGGGGGTGAATAGCTTATACATAGCCTCAAAATGGGTTAATTGTTATGTCTTCTCTGGAGAGTAAGCCCTAAACTGCTTTGGGTGAAGTTGATTGTGGCAAGAGTTGTGGGGTAAGACGGTTACAAGCGCGGACTAATCCCGTGCGGTTTCTAGATCGAGTCTGAAGAATTGTATCTTTTACCTGCAGAGTTATTGTTGGTACACTTCATGTCAACTAATTATGCATGCCTTTAGAGGCGTCGGCTCCACGAGCCTATCATCCCTCTAGATACCCAAGCTAGAGGCTTCCTTCCGGGAAAAAGCACCAACTACATGCCACTTTCTACTGCCTCCTGAGTAGATTCACTAGCGCTTTGACCACGGATCTCCGAATCCTTCAAGCCTCTCCTTGTGTAATATCGAAAGGTAATCTCATTTGCCTCCCCGATATCTACCGAATAAGCTCAGATCATTACTTGAGAAGGAAGGCGTTACAGATTTGCCATTAGTAGATCGACAGATCCCGCTAACAATCCTTCACACTCGACAAAAGTACTGTACAGTAGTTATGCTTAGCTGCTTAGTAGTGCTTACGCATAGTAGAGGCTGTATTCGGGTAATAGAAACCAAGTAACCAATCAATCAATTGATCGATCAATCCTCTGTATACCTAACTAGCATTCGTTTCATGCCTCCTGTCGCTGATGAAGACAGCTTCCTCTTTGAGCAAACATGCCGAGCAAGTCGTCGTCTCATAGTCGCCTCCTGTTTGCCGTGGACCAGATCCTGAAGATGTTTTGCGATCTAGAACAGCTAGCAGGGTAGTATCACCACTTTAGCGAACACGAGGATGGAATCGTCTATCCTTCTACGGGTTACGTTAGGATGAATCACGCCATCTCAAAGCCGTCTCTGAGATTCTGGCCCCTTAGCCGTCGGTGGAAGTAGGACGGGACTTGAGGAATCTGTACACATCGGAGAATGATGTTGTAGATACTTGCCGTGACTGCCACAAGAGGGCCAACTCCAGGGGCATATAAGGAGGTCAAAAGTTGCATGTCTGGCTTCGAAAACAATCCAATTCTTCTTTCTCTCAACCCAGAGACATTCCCATCAAGCGTTCTTTCTTCCTCAAAAGTTCCAAAATGGCCATCACCGAGCCCATTCTCGTTGCGGAGTCTCTCCCGACAATCGAGCTTGATCTTCTCCGTGCAGACAATGAGACGGAGAACAAGAGACTCCTCAGCGTTTGCCAGAACTATGGCTTCTTCTATCTCAACATGACCAGCGACCCGGAGCTCTGCCAACTCTGGGAAGACATGCTGTCCATCATGAAGGGGTACTTCGAGCAGCCCCTCGATATCAAGATGCAGGATGCCCGCAACGACGATAACTTCGGGTAAGTCACATCACCTAACTCATCCTGTACTTCATCAACGACTAACCACCCCAGCTACGAGCCTATGGGCACCGAAGAAGGCCCCAAGCCCAAGACTCGAGACGGCTACGAATCCCTTAAGGTACATCACCACCCATACCCCATCCGCACCCTATCACCACTAATAGACACCCAGTTCTCCCGCCGCGAATACCTCAAAGGCTCAACCGACCTCACCACCAGCATCCGCACCAAATCCACCCCCTTCTTCAACTTCATCAACCAAGCCCACACCATCACCCTCATGATTCTCTCCCGTCTCTCCACCCAACTCAACCTGACCGGCTCCTCCCGCTTCGAAACCTACCACGCCGACCCCGGTCCGTCAACCTCCACCCTGGGCATCCTGCGCTACCCCAAGCACGAAGCCGGCACCAGCGAGCCCACCAGCGTCGGCCACAACGAGCACACCGACGTTGGCACGCTCACCTTCCTGCTCGCCGCGCAATGGGGTCTGCAGTACTGCTCCCCGCAGACGAAGCGGTGGGAATTCATCGAGCCTCGTGCGGGACACGCTATCATCAATGTTGGCGATAGTTTGCGCTTCCCGTCTGGTGGGGAGCTGGCGAGTGTGGTGCATCGTGTTGTGCCGTTGAAGGAGACGCAGGAGGAGGACCGTTACAGTATTGCGTACTTTTTGAGGCCGAATGATGATGTTACGTTTAGGGATGCCACGGGCAAGATGTGGTCTGCTAAGGAGTGGCATGATTTTAAGTTTGATGTGTTCAAGAGTCCCAGTACGTTGGATGCTAAGGGGAGGTTTTTGACAGGGATGATGCTCGAGGAGGAGAGGGGCAGGTGGGCTGGTGTTGCTGGGGTGGAAGGGGGGGTTGCGGTTGCTGTTTGATTTTGTTGCTCTGGTTCTGGGATTTGGTTGGCCTTTTGATGTTAGATAAAACGGTGGATGAGTATGATCATGCTGGAATGTATGTTGTGAGGCTGTTTTTGTGAAGGAATGGTATATTAGTACTGAGTTCTAAGTTACATGCAGAAAACTGTATATTTGACATTAGAAAACTTGGATTTAAGCGCATAATACTTATGTCTGATACATGAAATGAATAAGAAAAGAATGAAAATAAAGATGGAAAACAAAGAAGACTGGTTTGAAATATTCGCCGCAAGTGGCGTCTGCCAAATGATCTTCAGTATGGGAGTAAGCAATCTGGCAGGGGATTTCATTCCACCATCCTCCGTATCCCACATCATATAAAGTAGAGGATAGAAAATACATTGAGAGATGACATAGGCCGACGCTAATACGAAACAGGTGCGAGTTGATCTGATTCCTCTAACTCTTTCCACTCACTTAACCTGTACCAGCATGATGTCTGGCGCCCCAGGTGTCAACTTCAACAGTGATCCAAGTCTGGTATCCGAGAACACCGCAAACGCATACTAGGCATAGAAAGGTAAACCGCAAACAGAAGGTGCCTAAGCTGCTAGCAAGGCTCCAGCCACGCACTGCGGTCAAGCGCCGACTTCTCGTTCTAGTATACAACAGCGTGCTATGAAATTCAAGACTGCCTGTTTCGAGAAAAAGCTTATGATGGGATTTGGTATGTGAGATATTATCTAGGCTTCCTTTGGCTCGACTTTGTATGATAAGGCCCTAAGAATAAACTATCGCAGATATGCGGCTAATGTCGATCAGGCTAAGTTGGGCATCCATGCATCTGCCGTGATTTCCCCACCAGGCTAACACATGACGCGTTATAATTCCTCGGATCTTCTTTCCTCTCCCAACAGCGGCCTTGATGCTTCAACTACAACATAAAACGCGCTTATAAGATATTTTGCTCCTTTCGTTTTATGTGAGAATTCCACGAAATGTCCGAAGATCTACCTGCTATCTTGCGGTTGCCCGCTAAGGTGCTGTATGATTCGTCAAAAAATGGTAACTGTGCTGAAAACATATGCCCTCTATGTGACTGCCTGGAAGACCTCCGCGTTGTAACCGCGGCAAGAGGTTCTTCAGGGCGCCGTAGAAGCCAATATTTCAAGGGTGGCGTGTTGAATAGACCAAGGATCCAGAGAGCCTATTTCCACGAACCTTGTCATCAGTGCAACACTACACCCGAGGATCAACTCTGTGCGAGATGCAAACACATGAGGCTCAGGCACCTGATACAGTGTTTACTTTTAGCCTCTCATGCTGACGCGCATGCGCTAGATTGCTCTGAACGATTTCAAACCACACTGGAAGATATCTATCTGAATTTGGGATGCGTCCAAGGCTTAGAAGAACGTTCCCATAGCTGCGAAACCTGCCGTATGTTTTCAGGGCCAGCTAAAGAGGTGATGGAACAAAGAGATCTGCCACCTGGTTCACAGTGCTTCATAAGAGTGGGAAGAAATCTACATATAGATGGAAAGACAGTTGGAGATGTCAAATGCAGTTTCGGAATGTGGTTGGACGTGCACGTCCCCCAAGAAAAATTGATCCCTAGATTGTATTTTTATACGGAACGCAATTGGTGGATTAAGGGTGCGTATTTCCTCAACTAGTAAGAGGCTTTTGCTACAGGGCAGTGGGTAATGACTAGCATTATGCAGGTAGCAAGGTCTTTCTCGGGACAATTGAGCCTACTCATGGCCATCACCTCGTTTCTACACCTATACCCCAACAGACGGTCGACTGGCAGAAGGTTAACATGTGGGTGAGTGATTGCCACAACTCTATCAAGCGCGAGGGTTCCCTCCAGGCAAAGCCTGATACATCGCAAGTAACTGGGCTTCGTGTTATTGACACCAGTCAACGGTGCATTACCATTGCCCCTGCAGCATGTCGATATGCGGCTCTGAGCTATGTGTGGGGGGCCACGAGCAGCGACTTGCAGGCAACGACGATGAACATAAAAGACCTGATGAGGAAAGGCTCTTTAGACAGCCGTTCTCTACCACAGACTATCGATGACGCCATTGTTGCTTGTATGAAAATGGGGATAGGTTATCTTTGGATTGATCGCCTTTGCATATTGCAGGACGACGATCCTAGCAGAAAAGCTCATTGGCTCAACTCTATGGGTGACATATACGCACAAGCATATGTAACAATCATCGCTCTGGCTGGAAACAATGCTCAGCACGGCCTTCCGGGGGTAAACTTGGTGAAGCGACCGGCATCCTGGACTGGAACAACACAGGGGATATACCTGATTGAGAAAGCCCCCGCTTATACAGAGTGTTTACGGAAATCGAGATGGTCTACTAGGGGTTGGACGTTCCAAGAGGCGACGCTCTCATCACGACGGCTTCTATTCTCCGACACAAGAGTTTTCTATGAATGTTCCAACCACAAAAACATAAAAGATGAGTTAACTGGTGACTACCCCAATACCGCTGAAACCGCAGGGGCTGCGCTATTGAGTTATGCCAAGGTGGTGAAACAGTTCACGAAAAGGGAACTAACTTGGGAGTGTGATGTACTTCGCGCATTCGCAGGCGTTCTACACACAGGATGGGGACCCGAGAATTATTATGGCATACCCCTTAATATCTTCAGTGATGCAATTCTCTGGAGGACGGTGAAAAAGAAACCGTATTCCACGAGGCATGCAGCTCCTGGTGATGCATTTCCTTCCTGGTCGTGGTCTTCCATCAAAGGTCGCATAACAGTCGAACCATCAGCCAGGGAAGGTGGCATATTTGCAGAAATGCGGGCTTCTCTAGCAATTTGGGCGATCCCTCGTAGGGCGAGACAGCGACTAGAACTTCAGATAATCGCAAATACCCTGGGGAAACCAGAGAAGCCGAACAAACTAGATGATGTGAAGTCGCCCAACAACAAGAACGAGAAGGAAATGACACATACTGCACATGAGTTGTATGCTCCTTGTAATTTCAGGGACTTACGTACACGACTTGGCGTTGTGATGGCCTGGAGATGTGGATGTTTCTCGGGATCTCTACCGGGCATACTCAACACTCCATTTACGTGGGGCGAATACAAGATTTTTGCTAGGAAATGGAGAACCCTTGGGCATCTCTGCGATGAGGCTCATGGAATGTCACAGGGTAACATGTCTGAACAAGATATAGAAGCGCGATTTCCTTCGAATATGCGTCAAGGATGTCCTCCAGGATCCATCTTTGTCTACACTCAATCACTTAATCTCAACCCATTACAACTAAGCCTGAAGAAGAATAGGTCGCTCCAAAAAGACATACTTGCTATTGAAGTTGGCGATTTTCTTGCCCTCGTCTTCGATGGCTCCATCAACATCGAGCGAATCAACCATGTTCGCCAACATAATCCCGAATCTTGTTTCAGTCTGCTTGCTATTTCACTTTCAGAACCTTGGGTCTCCGAGACAGAGAATTTGGAACCAAGAAACGAAGACTTCTGGTATGATTCTGCAGGAGTATCATTGAGTCAAATTACGCATGGTCCTCATTCGATCGAGCTTATGCTTGTTGAGACGGAAAATGGTATTAGTCGGCGTGCTGGACTGGCACGGGGTTATCTAAAACGATGGATAGACCAGAACCCTCAGTTCCAGACATTCCACCTTGTATAGATAGCATGGGCAGAGCTGACACATAGAAAAAAAAATCATCCTGGAATTAGGAAACTGTCATTGAGCTCATCAGGCCCTGATAGACGGTACCACACATGTAAATTTTGCGGCTCCCTTTGGGTTACTCCTGGTAAATAACCCTCGGTCAGAGTATGGCTCGACAGAAGGAACAGAAATTGGCCATTCTTTTTATTGCCCGTTCTACAGTAGTACTTACTAAATACTAACTATAGAAGCCACTATAATTACCCCGGCCTAACCTTCCTTCTCCTTCCCGATTATCTTTCTTTCCCCAACCACTCAACTAACTTTGCTCCTTGTACGTAACAAAGTAGTCTGTAGATTGAGGTGCCGCACCCCAATTCTGCAGAGCACAGAACGGAAAAATACCCATTAGATACCCACTTGGCCTCCAGAATAATTCGAGAAGTTATTATCTCGCTTTAGCTGTTGTAGTCATGTATCTCTAGTGTGTAGGCTCCATGGTGACCTCCGACGGGCCGAGCCATCCCACTCCCGCGTCGGAACTGGCTACTCAGTGACTGAATCTAGTACTTAGTACTTAGTACTACTGTACTGTCTGTCTTACTTTAAAGAGTCTTTCTGATATAAGTTGTTGCTAAGGATGGTAACGGTGCCGTTATATAACTCGCGCTTTATGGGATTATCTTTTTGTTTTTCATACCCTAACTATTTACTTGACTTCAATGTAAATACCGTAGCGAGCAGCCGCTCTAGGTCTACCACACCAGCATTCATTAGTTATTCCGAAACGGCTCTCCAACACATATCGATCGCCTGAGATCGGTGAACCTCTCCAGCCCCCCCACCTGACAACTAAAAGCTGCTCAATCAGCCTTCCCATCGAATTCTTTCCTCAGTGCGCCTGCAGGCTTCTTCTGCAACAGCGAGGAGATTTGTTTCTCCTGGTTCTTTCTCATCGCTTTCCACGCGCCAGTGATACGGGCGGTGGAAGGCAGGTGCGAGTTGTTCCCCCCGCGCGGTGGAATCGATTTCGGATCCAGAATGCCCGCCCGGACCATTTCATGCACACTCTGGTGGATAACGGCATCCTCGGGGATATCGCGAGGCGCGCCCATGTTGGGTGGCCATTGGCGAGGAACCCATTTGCCGTGTTCTAGTTCGAGTCGCGTGAAGAGGGGGAGGATTTCTATACAGGTTAGTATGGCTTGGGTTATCGCAGAGAGATAACTGCACGGCAGAGAGACACGCATACCGAGAATCCACCAGAAGATTACCATCAGAAAAGTCGCTCCCCGATTGAACATGAGCATATCGTGTGGCTGGTTCGTGCGTTTCCGCACATCATATGCTGTGGTCCCAGGTTCCTCTTTCCCAGGAAACGCATTCTCCCTTTCCACTACGTCTGCGACATTGAGCGTGTGGAAGGATAACTTGCTTTCCGAGTTTTCCAGATGAAGAACCTCCTGCAGCATCCAGTTCAAAGGCGTATCAGACAAAAGGTGGAACTGTCCAGGCGCAAGACTCCAGCCCCCTCCCACATCACCATGGTTTCCTGCAAACCAGACCTCCTTCAGATCCACTGGCTTGGTCTTGTCAAGCAGCACCAGGGCAGGTTTGAATTTGAGTCTACGCTCATGGATCGATACGGCATGTCTGATGTGCCGTGCGGCCGGACTGACAAGGTACTGATGCGACTTCCGATGGAATGGAATCTCGAACTGGCCAACGCTGTTCACGCAGTCAAATAATCCAAGAAAATGGATCTGCACTTGCGGGCGGCAGAAGGTAGTATTGAATTTCTTCATGTATGAAATCAATGCCTCATCCTTTGCAGTGCGATCGGTCTTTCCTCGCGCTTGTTGGAAATTGCTGAATGTTTCCCAGGCAAAGTGGATCATCTCCTCGTTACCCTGTGAGAGAAGACCAAGTTCGTGAATCATCTCCGCTAGAAATCGCGCAGTGTATGCTCCCCGCGAGAACCCAAAGATATAGATATGATCACCCGGCGAGTAATACCGCATGATAAAGCGATATGCTGCGAGGACGTGACTTTCGAAAGTGGTTCCCACCCCCTGATCGATGGTGGTTATGATATTCGACTGCAGTTTTCGCGGATACCGAAGCAATCCGGAGCTGGACGATTGACCTTCGACGTAGGTCCCAATCCCGGCTGGCTAATGTGTGAGCTCAGTGCTAAACATACGCTTTGTTGCTGATCTTAATCACCATACTACCTAGTGGGCAACTTACGCTGATAATAATGGAACTGTCCGGGTGTGTTCTTTTCGAGCATCTGGTATATTTTGACGATATTCGAGTCGCGCTCAAATCCCATAAATTGATTGCCAGTGCCATCGAGGCAGAGTACGAGCTTTCGGGGACCAGAATAGGGCGCTTCCGCGCTGCATGCCTGATCCACTGTTGAGTGTGGCATGGCTCGGGGAAATTCTGGCCAGGTGCAACAAAGAACGAAATAACTACGAAATGGGAGAAACAACAGCTATAAAAGATGGATGAACCCTAGAAACAATAATAATTATCAATGACACAGTACGGGGCATGCCAAATACCCAGCTTTTATCAAGGGTATACGCAACCGTCCAAACAGCAGCACCTTCGGGGACCTTTAATCATGATGCCCGGCGCCGATCATGACGGGCCGCGGGGAGGAGACTTCAGCACGAACCGCTAGTGGGGGTGTTCGTGAGGTAAAAACTGCCGAGATTGCATTCCAGCATCTATCATTAGGTCAGCTTTCATGATGATCGAGCCGCTGCATGAGGTCTGTGTCCCGCCGGGGTCCGACCCCTTCTTCATACCAATGATTGGCTTGTCACTATGCTGATCTATCCAGCTGAAAACCACAATGTTTGATGGGACCCCTCTCGTTGTCACTCTCTTGCATAGTGGCTGGCTGAATTTCCTCCACAAGCACGACCACCTGAGGGGTATCTACCTTTCCCTCTGCATATGTGCCGTCCCTGCTGCCAATCAGGCGACGTGTGGCTGGCGAGGTCTGCAGGCTGTCGCAATGACAGCTCTGGGCGCGCGGCCAGACCGGAACTCGTGCTTTCAGCTGGGCTGTGCACGCACGATTGATAGGTGTTTGTCTGCTCGGTGTTCCCCGTCAGGGTCTTCGGGGATCTCTGCTAACCCACGCGCCGGGATCGAGGAGTTTTCTCCCAGCTGGCCTTGGTGGCCTGGTCGTCATGGTACACTGAGTTCGAAGAGATCGGCCTCGAGTATAAGTATTTCGACACACATCTCATAGTGGTTGCAGAAATGTCGCGATAGACTGCTCTTTTCAAAACAACGAACGACTGAAGTTGTATCTCGCCCAATTTAACCTTCTTGAATGATGGGCTCCATTTTCATTGCTCTTCTCCTTTGCCTTCTATCTTATCTCTACCTGCGGGTCTTTGCAGATGATCTGACACGACCTTTTCAAATACTTGCCAAGTTTTTCTCTTCCCATCAACACCCGGCATGGAAGCTAAGGCCTCGTTTCCTTCCAAAGGCCACAAGAGCGGCTCTATCCAGCATTGTCGGAACGGGAGAGGGACTTTGGCAACGACTATATGCGAGGACGTTCCATGCACAAGAGTTAGCAGAAGTAGAAGATGACGTGAAATATCAGGCTGGGGAGCCATATGGAGATCCCGATGTTCTTGCCACAGGCCTTGTCAAAGATCTCTCGGCCCTGGGACTTAAGGGCAAAAGAAGCGATCTTCGTACTTTGATCCAATTAGTGAAGGCTAAAGGAAAGCCGATCGATGATCGCCAAATGCTGGTGAGTTTGGCTTCGGCACATAATTCAGTATTCCGTTGTAGAGATCCATTGCTAATGAAGGACTCATCGCTGCAGATGGAAAAAGTCATCGCCATCGTTTCGATGTTACCGCGAACCTCCAAGTCCCGACAGAGGTTGACCGGCATCCTGATCGACCAACTCTGGCAGAGCCTAGAGCACCCTCCGCTGTCGTACTTTGGGAATAAGTATCAGTATCGCACTCCAGATGGGAGCTACAACGTTAGTCCACAAGCTCCCCACCTGCTGTCTAGGAAAGGGTGAGGACTTTACTGACCTATATATGACTCTAATTTTATAGAACCCTTTAGAGCCTGACCTTGGCAAAGCAGGCAGTCCGTATGCGAGATCGGTGCCCCGGCTCAAGGCCCTGCACGGAGTGCAGCCTGATCCTGGCCTTCTTTTTGACCGTGAGTTTCGAGTCTCGAGCTTAAACAGTAGAGTACTGACAATCATAATCCAGTCCTCATGGCCCGTGATGACACGACTTTCCGGGAAAACCCTGCAGGCATTTCGTCGGTTCTATTCTATCATGCAAGCATTATCATTCATGGTGAGTTTACTATACATAGCCGACATTTATATCAAGCCACTTGGCGCTAAGACCATCTAGATGTCTTCTGCACGAACCGGCGCGACCCCAATATTTCAGATACCTCGTCATATCTGGATCTCGCTCCTCTGTATGGTTCCAGCTATGAAGACCAGCTGAGGGTCCGCACTATGCAACGCGGGATGCTTAAACCCGACACATTTCACGAGAAGAGGCTGTTGGGTCAGCCCCCTGGTGTCAACGTTATTCTTGTCATGTACAATCGTTTCCACAACTACGTGGCCGATGTCCTGCTGAAGATAAATGAGAATGGGCGCTTCACTCTACCGCCAACAACATCAGAGGACGCAAAGCGGAAGGCACTAGCCAAGCAAGATGAAGACTTATTCCAGGTGACTCGCCTGTAAGTTGATCTCTTACATTTGTCCATGACTGTTGTATGATTAGGAATAACTCAGCTAATACTGGGATAGTATTGTGAATGGGCTCTACGTAAACATCTCACTGCACGATTACCTTCGTGGACTGACCAACACTCATCACTCGGCGAGTGACTGGACACTGGACCCTCGTTTGGCCGTGAGTCGAGCTTTCGACGCTGATGGGGTTCCCCGAGGCGTGGGAAACCAGGTCTCTGCAGAGTTCAACCTCCTATATCGCTTCCACTCTGTTATTTCCCGGCGGGATGAACAATGGACAAACGAGTTCCTGAAAAGTCTGTTTCCTGACCTCAAGAAACCACTGGAGCAACTTACACCACAAGAGTTCATGCAAGGTTTGATAAATTACGAACGGAGCATCGAGAAAGACCCCAGTAAGCGGGAGTTTGGTGGGCTGAAACGCAACCAGGATGGTAGGTTCAATGATGCCGACTTAGTACAGATCCTGAAGGACAGTATGGAAGACCCAGCCGGACTGTTCGGAGCTAGGATGGTTCCCAAGGCACTCCGCATGGTCGAGATTGCTGGCATCCTCACTGCTCGCAAGTGGAACCTCGCGTCCTTGAATGAAATGCGGGACTTCTTCAAACTAAAACGGCATTCATCATTTGAGGACATTAACCCTGATCCTAAAATTGCCGATCTCCTGCGAAAGCTGTACGATCACCCGGACATGGTCGAGATGTATCCCGGGATCTTCTTGGAGGATGCCAAACCTGCCATGGATCCGGGTTGCGGTGGATGCCCTCCCTACACTGTTGGGCGAGCGGTCTTTAGCGATGCAGTTACTCTCGTTCGATCGGACCGGTTTTTGACTCTGGTCAGTTAAATCTCTTCATCCAATCTGCCGCTTTCGAGTGGACGAGCTAACAGGAAGCTAGGATTACACTGCGTCTAACCTCACTAATTGGGGAATTCGGGAAGTTCAACAAGACTACGATATGTGAGTATCCGTGGGAGCAACGTGATCCATAACCATTGGCTTAGTCTGATACATCATAGCTTGGGAGGCTCAATGTTCCACAAATTGATCCAACGCGCACTGCCCGGATGGTTCCCTTACAACTCGCTCCACGCAACCCAGCCAATGTTCACCCGTAAAATGAACGAACAAATTGCGAAAGAGATTGGAACAATCGATAGATATAGTCAAGAGGATCCAAAACCGCCACCCCATACGATCATGCTCGCCAACCATGCCACCACCATTGAGGTATTGAAAGACCAGGATACATTCCGCGTCCCATGGGCCCGATATCTCAATGATATGATACCGGGCAAGAGGTTCAATGACTATATGTTAGGAGGAGACGGTCCGGTTAATGCAGCGCAAAAGAAGCTCGTCAAGTCCATTCTGTTTAGTCCGGATCAGTTCAACCAATTGCTTTCGCAGACGACTGTTAGGCTAGGCAAAGAACTTCTAGAACTGAACACCCTGCAGCTGTCCAAGGATCTGAATCAAGTCGATATCATTCGAGAGTGAGTTGATCTATCTTCTGACACTCATAGTCTTTCATTATAACTGGAGGCTTACTGACACAATCTAGCGTTGCAATCCCCCTCAATGCAAGAATAATGGCGGACCTCTTCTGCCTGGACATGAAGACCCCAGAAAATGAATCCGGCAGCATGAACGCAGCAACGGTTTACAAACATCTCATGAATGTCCGCACTTGGGGCTTTAACAACACCGACCCAGGATTGATGTTGCAACGCAGAAAATGGGCCTCTGAAAGCGCTGAGGCCCTTGTCAAGACTACTCTCAAGGTCGTCAACGAACAAGCCCAGCCGCAGAAAACCCACTTGCTTGGAAAGTTGACTGGCTATCAGCAGTCGGAAGTCAGTACTCTGCGTTGGTATGGGAACAACGTAGCCAAGCAAATGATGGAGATGGACATGACTGCGGCTGAGACAGCGGAAGTTTGCTGGCTTACAGCAGTTGGGGGTGTTGGTGCGCCCGTTGGGCTGGTTCGTATTTCTTCTAATCCCCGACACAGCGACACACGCTCTTCTAACATAATCCTCATCACCTAGATCGCCGACGTCCTACAATATTACCTCCGACCGGAAAACATCGACCACTGGAAAAAGATCCAGAATCTCGTTTCCCAACCGGACAACAGTGGCTCCATCGACAAGCTTCTCCGACAATACGTGCTCGAAGCGCAACGTCTAACCAGCATGGAATGCACCGTTCGCGTCTGCAGAGCCCATCGCACCATCAATGATCAGGAATTCAAGCCAGGCGACGTAGTCATCACTCTCCTCGTAAGTAGCTCACCCCACATCTCATCCTCCTCCTTGAATGTCTAAGTAACTCCATCCAGGGCCCAGCCTGCCGCGACCCAACCAGCATTCCCGACGCGGAAGTATTCAAGCTCGACCGACCCTCAAACGCATACATCCACTTCGGCTACGGCGCTCACGAGTGCCTAGGCAAGGAAATCGGATTGACATTCGCTGTCTCCATGCTCCGAGTCCTAGCAGGATTGAAATACCTCAGACCAGCCCCAGGCGACATGGGAATGCTGAAAAGTATCATCGTCGATGGGAGACGGGTCTATCTAAATGATAGTTGGTCGTGGATGACACAAGATCCGACTAGTAAGTGCTACTATACATTTATCAACTCATCTTGTTAACAAATCTTGCCCGCATTAGCATGGAAACTCCACTTCGCCGGACACGGCAAAGGCGCATACGAAGCCCCAGCACCACCCCCGCCAGCACCTACTTTCCCAGTCATCGACCAGAATCCTGATACCAGCGACGAGGACGGTGTCGACGATACAATCTACTCCACTGTACCTACTAAGCATCATCATCATGGAGATCCAGAATATACAAGACAGGAAAGCTACACCATGACAGACGGCGGAATGGGCATGTCGACTCAGTATTCGTTTGGGCAGCACCATCACCATCAGTATCATGAGATAACTAGGACGTCTTCGTCGTCATTGCCTTCTATGCTTGGGGATGATGAAAGTTATGGGAGGTTTTCGGGGACTTTGAATTGATATGCTGGATGAGAGGGAAGGAGAGTATTTGAGGTATTCATAGTCATAGTTATTAATGAATGGGATGAGCTGTTGAATAAAATGAAGATGAGGGATATGTTCTCAGCTGTGATAGGTATTATCATACTGTAGTGGCGATATGATAGTGTACTTCAGAACTACGAGCTGAAGCTGTAGCTGTAGCTGTAGTCGTCTTCTGGGATTTGGCACAGACTACTTAGCTAGCTGTGACCGTAACACAATCGGAGCAGGATAGCCAGCCAGGGCCATAAGAGAGAGAATGTGTCGCATTATTACTATACCTTGATGCAAAATCCTCTGCGGATTACGGATGTACCAGCCATCCCGTCGATTTGACCCATGGAACCGTAAACTCTAAATAAAAAAGGGTCGAGAAAAAAAAAGAAAAGAAAAAAGAAAAGAGAGGAAAGAAGGAAAGAAGGAAAGAAGGAAAGAAGGAAAGAAGGAAAGAAGGAAAGAAGGAAAGAAGG